TTTTACTCTGGTCGGTTCTGAAAATGGTTCACAATAGACAGTATGAGCTGTTTTATGGCCTCTGTTACTTTAAATCCAAATAAGCAGCTCCCAAATCAAAGTTTTTACTCGCATGTGAAAATGGCTGCAAACAGATACACAATTACACAATTGTACATCTTTGAAAAGCAGAAGTGGAGCCTTCTGCTCAACCAATAAGAATACAGCAAGTGGTTTCTGAATGCAAGTCAACAACAAAATACTCATCTTTCCCAGCAGCCATTTCACAGCACATACAGCAGAAGAAAAAAAAAAAACAGCTGGCCAAACATGCTGGAACTCCACTTGGGTTGCTAGGTAACGGGCTAGGTTTCACTGGGCTTGTATGGTGATGGACAGTGTGCGTCAATTATCAACAAGCAGGGAGGTGTTGCTCATTAAAACAAAAACATTAAGTTATTGCCAAAAAAGGCTTTTTTTCTCTTTTCAGAAGCAGAGTCCCAAATGAAAGCATAAAAATATGCAAAATGTGAAGTTTGCATCATAGATCCCCTTTATATGTCACTAACTTGGTGAAGTCAGACCTTCTCCTGCAGACATTCGACCAGGTTGTGGACGTAGAGGATCATGGTTCTGTAAAACTTGAGCTGAGCCTCAGAGGAACTTTCCTCCAGCAGCTCTAATGAACTCTTGGCGTTCTCGGCGTCGCCCTCCATCCTCCTCAGCTCCGCCTGCCGGGCTCTGTACACCTCCTTCAGGGAGTCCAGTCTGGAAACAAAACACAGTCAGGGGAAAAATTATCTTATATTCGATGACACAAAAAAAACAACAACAACCACACCTTAAAAGAAATGCATCAATCTGGAATAAAGAACGTCACAGGGAATGGAAACTTGAATGTTTGTTTGTATTTGAGAAATCAATTTTTATTTTCAGTGAATTAACGGCAAGCCCTTTAACTGTCACTAAGAGTTGAAAGTAGAAATGTTTGCCCTTAGTGTAATTTCAAGATGTTTGTGTTACTTCTAATGTATCTACAGGCTTCCCTCACAGCTTTTCAATATTTCCAGCTCTGGAAAACAGAGAAAGAAAAAGATAACTGCTTTTGTAGAAATGTAGAAAACTTTTTGAGGTAAATAAATGTTTATCTTATTTAATTGAGTCACATTTCTTCATTATTTATTTGTTACTGCATTTCTAATTTTGCCTGTTTTATTAAAACATGCCTCTCTTGTAAATGACATCTTGGATCTCAATGGGAATCTGTATAAATAAAAGTCTAATAAATTAATATCATTATTAAAATGGTTATCAAAAGCACATTTAGCTTATGTTATGCATTTTGAATTTTTGTGTAGACACCATTAACTATGGATCTCTTTACCAATCTGATTACATCAAACAACTGATTTTTAAAGATAATTAAACACCTGGTTGTTATTTAGATAAATGATGCTACATTACAACTTCAGTTCAGAAAAGCATCCATTAGTTTACGTTAAGTAGTCAGACACAAATTGCAGTTTGAACAGTGATTCTGCTAGTTTCAGGTACAATAAGTTTAAAGTGAAGATACATTAAACCTGTGTTCCTCTATGTCTGAATCAGAGTGGTTGTGGATTGTTATGATGTGATTAAGTCCAGGTAAATGAGAGGAAAACTAACTTTTTAGTGATCCTTTTCTTCACCGTTGAGACAGAAACAAGAGGAAGGGTCTTTGGGATCTTAGCCCCTGTTAGTCTCTTTTTGTGTCCTCCTCTGTCTGGCCTGCTGCTGCTGCTGAAGCTGCTGGACTCGCTGCCAGACGGACTCTGAGAAGGAAAAAAAAGAGAAATGTCTCTTTTCCAATTGGAAAATAATCGGAGGGACAAAGAGCATGAGGAGATCACATAATGAAGAAGAATGCTAAGAAACTGTTTTTTATTTTTACCTGTTCCCCTGGTCGCCTCTTGACTCCCTTTCCAATCTGTGTCTGCTCCCAAAGTTCCTGCTCCTCCTCATCAGTTCCTGACAGACTTCCATCACTTCCTCCTTTATTGTTATACCAAAAATATAAAACAGACAACACTGCATCTTTTTTTGTATTTACCTATATTACATCTTTTTCCACCTCTGATCAGATGTATTTTATTTTATTTACTGAAGCTCACAGTATCTCTGGTTGCTCTCTCTCAGGGTATCACCTCATCTTTACCTAGTTTCTCTGCAATCCTTTCCCTGATGCTCTTCATTCGGGGGGCGAACTCAATTCTTCTCTCATGGTCGTCTGGCTCATCGTCGTCGTCATTTTCAACTCTGTCCTCTTCATCATCTCGGCTGTAGTGATCTGGGGTGCTGCCAGCGGAGCTCCGGCCGTCTCTGCCCAACGGTATGAACTCCTTCTGGGCTCGCGCCGCGCGCCGCTGCCTCCTGGCCGCGTGTATCTCCTCTGCTTTAGGGATAACGGCTGAGTAGCCAAAAGTTAGACGGACTGTGAACACACTTTCTCTATCACAACTTCCTTTATCAAATACATTCAATAAACATGAAGACATACTTGGTTTGGCAGCAGAGCAGCTGGAGTCAGAGTTGGAGCTGCTTGCAGGTGATCTAGCAAAACCTCCATCACTGTTATTGTCACTATCGTTACTGTTGTCATCATCATCATCGTTATCATCATTATCATCATCACTATGCTGAGAATACGGTGAAGCTTCACTGCTCTCTCCATGACTGGGAGAAACAGATGGTGGGGCATCTGCACCACCAGAAGCTGGAAGACATGCAGTGCAGAAGAAATTTGATCAACACACAATGATTATAGACAGAGCTACAATAGATAAATTATTTAGTATTCAGTTACTCGGATGATTAATCAGAGATATTTTAGGCGTATTAAGAGTATTAGAAATACATTAAAAGAAGAAAATGAACAAACAATTCAATTCACTATTGAATTTTTAAATGCAACATTTTTTTTACAGAATTCATAAATTCTGTACAAATTCTGACACGCGAGTAGTTTATTATTTTTTACCTCACAAGCAAATTGTATAGATTTTAAAAAAGATAAATATTGATCTGGACTTGATTTAGGTTCATTACTTTTAGAGGAAGAAGGAATCAGAAAATGGAGAACCTTTTGGTGATTTTACCTTTGCTGCGGCTCGTCTTGATGGGAGGAGCCTCCTTCTTCCTGGCTTGAAACACCACAGCTTTATCAGACGACCTCTTTAATTTAAAAGTTGATTCTTCTGCTACAAGAAGAAATGAAAAGATTTTAGTTGACATTCTGACCATTATGCAAGTATCTTTTAGCTCAAATCCAACTTTTAAGATAACTGGTCTGCAACTTCAAGAGCCATATTTGCCTCTGGTGTAGCGAATTAAGACTTGTTTAGAACAGCAAATTTATTTATGTTTTATAAAAAGCTACTTTTGAAAATTTGTAATTTCAAAGATCCACATTTTAGTTTTGTTTATGGGTTTCATAATAAAGATGATTGATATTTTTCTTTCTGTGGAAGTTAATGAAAATGGAAAAAAGCACATAATTTCCAACTTAATTATTAAATAAAATAGATCTCAAAAGAATATCGCTGGTATTTTTAGTCATTATATTATGGAAAATCAAGGTAACAAATGGGAAATCTGCTTAAAGGAGCATTTGGTGTTAAAATGTGTATTTGGAAACACTAGTTGATTCATTGTTGAGCCATTGTTAATCATCAAAACAGCCGCAGGTTGAAGGCTCCTGTTCTATTTCAAAGAATTAGTCAATACATGTGCTTTTGTCACATGTATTGACTATGTGATTTATGCTTGTAATTCATGAGATTCAACTGTCAACGACAGAAAACCTTGATTTATTAAATTTAGCGCATTAATTTAGTTACCTTCTTTATCGTCTGTAAAACTCAGGATGGAGCTTTTCGTCGTTTTTGTCCCATCTTTCTCATCTGTGTCTTCCGTCACTTCCAGCGCCTCGGCCGCGGCTTCTCCATCACTGCTGTCCGCCTGAGGAGGTGTCGCTTCCCGCTTGGAGCTGCAAGAGATACCGCGGCTCTGCGCCGCTTTGGGAGGCTTATTTATCACCGACGGAGCCTCTTCGGGTTCATCTCCTTCTCCGCCGTTCTTCTGCTGGTCCTCATCCTCGCTGGAGCTCTGTTTTCTCTGGCGAAAGTTCCTCCGTGGCTTCTTGTTGAACATTTCTGTCTCCACAACGGCCTGTCATACGTTACTTCTGACGTTTGCAGTAAAGTGTCGCAAAACAGCAGCAATGCACCACGGGTAATGTAGTAAACAAGCGTATACTGTGGAAAACAAGCGCAAGCTAGCCATATTTCAAAGAAAATGTATCATATAGTTTATAAAAGTTTCTCATAACTATTCCAGGATTGGAAAATGTGTAATGAAAAGTTAATTTGGGGCCTCAAATATCTGTAAGTCCTAGTTTTGATGGTAGATGTTGGTAATGCCAAGTCAAATAGATGTTTTTCTTTCTCTTTAACATTAATTCAGATGCTTATGAGTGATATAGGGTCGCTATATTTTTGAATTTCCAAGTTTCCAGGCAGGCGTCACAGTGGCGCTCCAAAAGGAGGGCTAAGTGGGGCCATGACTCCCACTTGAAAAATGTTGAACACTAGTGGCCACCAACAGTGGCAGGGTGTGGGAGCAGACATCTTATTATGTTCTTCAATTTATTTATTTAATGTTTGTATTTTTGTGTGTGTTTGTTTGTTTGTTTTTTAAGTTGTGCCCCCCCCAAATAAATAAATAAATAAATAAATAAATAAATAAATAAATAATAAATAAATAAATAAATAAATTCAACTTGCTTCCCCTTTAAAAATTATCTGTGGCCGCCACTGAATGGGCAGTTTTCCTCAGTAAAATTAGCGATAAAATCAGTAAATTTCTCCTTTAACGTGAAGAAATGACAGTCCTTTGTCTCTCCATGTCCATCTGTGGAGCTGGTATCCCTCCCTTCCTCTCCGTCTCCTCCCACCGCGGTCGGTGGGACGTTAACTGAGCCCCGCTGCCTCCGGTGAACACTCGTCGTCAGCCATGTTGTTGGTGTGACACACGGAGCTGTCAGCAACAGGTTCCCAGAGTTTACCAGCGTGGGTGAAACTCACCAGCCTCGACTCTCCGTGGACAATAACCCCGACAGCGTGTTCGAGAAAGCGTCCTGAAGTGTTGGGGGATACTTTTGAGGCGACTCGGAAGTTGGTGTTTTCTCTGGTTTGACCGTTGGAGAGAAAGGTACGCGAGCCAAACTGCTTGTCTAAGCACGACTGTAACTTTGATGTTACCTTGGTAAAGAAACCAAACGATGACTTTTAACTTGTATTTATACTTTGAGCTATAAATAGTCACGGTGTGTTTGCTTGTGTCGTAACTTTTGATTCCAGGAAATGTGTTGGAAAAGTGATGTTTGGAGGGAGTGAAGCATCTCCTCGGCTGGTCCCCAAACTGACCGGGGCTGTAGTTCGGTTAGCTAGCTAATTTCTGTTCTCATTAGCTTGATACGTTCGTGGACTCTTGCAGGTTCGGCGTGGATGGGTTCAGGGCTGTTGATGGAAAGTTTGCAAAGGCAGATTTGCCGGAAAGTCTCTTAAATTCCTCTCGGTTGAAACTAGTCAAACAGGTTGCAGGTCTCAGTGAGTGGTGACAAGTGATCAGGGAATGTAACTCTATCAGTTCATCAACAGACACATAGAGGCTGGCGGATTGTCTGCAGAAAGGAGAGGTCTGGAGAGAGTGACTGTGCAGGTTTGGCTTTCATATTCAGCCTGTTGCGAGCTTTTAAAGGCAGGAGAGAATAAACATAAACCCAGCCTTTAGATATGTTGATAAAACCTTCAAAAGAGTTTAAAACAGCATTTTAATTTCAATTTACAAAATAATTTATGTGTTCTAAAGGAAAATTCAAGTATCTTCAAAGAGTTGCTGAGATGATGATGCTGTAGGCATTAAGGATCTCTGGTAGCAGTCAGTCCAGCAAATTTAAAGAGGCCTCTGACCAAAGACTGTTTCTATCTCGTGACAAAAAAAACATTACATTGCAATTGCAGTGTTTCCATTAAGTAAGAAATTAAATTAAAATCACATGTGAATAAGCTGGTTCACGCCATAAGCTGTAAACGGTTACATGATACATAAGGGTGCACTGATTTATCGTCCAGCCGATTTCCATAATTTTGGGAGATGGGAGATTGACTGTTACTTACATGTATCTATTTCAGCAAAAGGTCTTAAAATCAACCGCTGTCCTCTTCTGCTCTCTGATTAGAAAGGTTTGACTGACAGGCTGGCCCTCCAGGTCGTTTGTAGTTAACAATAGTCACCATACTGTTGCCAACTCAGCTATCCAAATATAGGATTTTTTTCCTACAGTTAGAAACATTTCATATTAAAAAAAAAATTGGTATTACCCAAAATCTGAATTGGCAGGTCAGGCCTTTATAAAATTGGTAATTACTGATATGCCAGAAAACTGCAATCGGTGCGTTCATAATTCGACCATGGCGCTAATCATCATCTATCATCCTCCTTCCACTTCCTGTTGTCTTCTTCACCCTTTTCGGACTTTTGATCGTGTGACTTGGTTTATGCGAAATAAGAGTTTTGATACCTCTGAGAAACCACCTCATCCAAGAGCAATAACTTTTTGTTCAAAAATATGTTGTTTTTTTTCTACAACTGTTGTGTTTCCATTAAGCAAGTTTATTTTATTCATTCAATTTGTGCAATTTTATGGTTAATGGAACTATAGCTTCTTTCATTCTTTGCGAACAGCTAAATTTTCTGGCAGCAGAGACGATATTTCACAGTGACATTTCCTGGATGACTCCATCAGTTGGCAAGCACTGCTAATCCACCTCATTTGGTTTTGCCACTCCACTTGAAATCTCTGTTGGATCAAAAGCCAGAGAGAGATGTTGGGGTTAAGATCATAATGAGATAAGATGAATGTAATCTAAAGTTGTTTTTGAATATGCCTGCATGATATCAGGTCAACATGTAATTGTGATATTGTTAGTTGGGTTTAATACAAATGTTTCTTAATATCTTCGCGTCAAAGCTATGTGAGTTTTAGCTAAATAGTTCATAAAACCTCCTTCTGTCGAAACATGTGCATTGTGTTTAACAGGAGAGAAGCTGTGTCAGCTCTGTGGTTGTGGGTAGAGAAATCCTATTGGTAAATATCCGCCATCGGCCTTATTAATATTGGCTCAAAGGGTATCAGAAAAAGAGAATGTCTTGCCTTGAAATAAACTTGGATTCAGCTAGAATTATTTCTTAAATTAAAAATGATGGGTTAATCCTAAAATTGAGAGGGAAATTCTTCAGTATTTGCAGGAATCTGGACCTTAGTTGGTCTGATTAAGCATGAACACAGCCGGATGTTTTTCTATGGAGGTACTTCAAGACTTTAGCTGACTTTTTTAAAAAAATTTTTTAACCAAACTCTGCTCATCTTCCGGTAAATCTTTGGTTCAACATACAACTTCGCTTTTCTGCTGGTGTTGTTTCTTATTGTGGTTAGAGTGTTTTTATTATACTTGACCACAATCAAAGAGACTGATTATTTTATAGCAGATAAATCAAACTCTAATGTGTGGCTATGTTTGCACTTGTACTCATTATATTGCAATAATCTACAAGTTTACAATATCATAAACATAAAGCTGTGGAAATGCAAAAAAACACTGAAAGAAATAATGAGTGATTTAAAATGACAAAATGCACAAATTAACCTATAAGTCATGTTGACTATAGAGAGAGAGGCTGGATAATTTTAATTTGAGCAAGACGTAAACGGGTCACAAATTAAAGATGTGCCAATCAATCAGCCTTTGATCTAAATCTGTTTTTATTCTAGACTGGCTGTTTGGTCTGAATACACATTATTGACATGTAAAAATAGTAAAACTCCCACTATTCACAAAGTAAAAGCATATGTAGGGTATTTCTTGATTTTCTTTGTTGGATTTAAAACTCTTTTTATATAACCTATAGTAGATGCAGTGTTGTTGATTGTTGTCCATATCGGTCTCAATATTGAATCAACAACTTTCACGTAAAAATGCTCAGATATCTGTTGAATGATCATCTTTATGGGATAAATCCACTGGAAAAAGTAGATATTCTACATTTTCCTCATATTTTTGCTAGCTTTATGATAGTGAGTTTCTCAGAGACCTATTTTTCAGAAACCTTCAAACGTTGTTGCCACAATAAAAGCACCTAAGATAATGTTGATTGAGCATTGAAATATGTCCACAGAATGGCTGGAAAACCAGTTTAAAATACCATCTTTCCCAGTGCTTTCTTTAGTTTATGTGAAAATCAGGGTGGGTCAAAGCAAGGAAGGGCAAGCCTTGCCTCTTAAAAAAACAGAATCCAGTAGAACAAACAGTGAAGCTAATCCAATCTTTAAAACCTCAATTCAAGCCAAGCAAATAGCACAGCTGGATTTCTGCCAAATGGGGAGAAATCTGATGTTTTTTGGGGAATTTTTGACTCTGAAATGAGTGAAATGCTCTCAGAAGGATAAGTCATCAAGCAGAAATGGTGTGCTGGTTTACGCTGATGTCATTATTATGAGGTCAGTGTGAGAGGCGGCTGAATTTCAATTATTTTTTTTCATTTTAGTACAATAGCCAGTCGGACAGCATTTGTTTCCGAGAAAATATGAATTAAGAGGCAGTGGAGCACAAACAGCTGTTTATTTGCTCAAGTTATTAGATTTGGTTAGAGAGAAAGAGGAAAAAGAACTGGTAAAATGCCCTAATTTATTTATTTTTTTCTGCTTTTCTGGGTCAAATCTCAAAGAGAAAAAGCAAATTAAGCAAAAGGGAGAGATAGCAGGGAAAGCTACATGTTCAGCCCTCCTGCTGCTGTTGAAGCACATCAGAGCCAGCTGAGATATTTATCCAACACTTCTCTGTTGTGTGTGTATATATCGAGTTAAAGACAGAAACGTCCCGGTCCAAAGCAGAACCGACACAGGAGAGGTTTAACCATGAAACCAGATCAAAAGTAGAGACGGAGACCACACTCTGAGGAAGTGGGGTGTTTATTTTACCGCCGCTGCGTAAGTTGACAAGGAAGCTTCCTGTGACTTGGAAAAAATGACTTTCAGTTTTTAAGTGAATTAAAGAAAATATGCAAATGCTTATTAATGATGTCTAACTTCAGCTAACAATGGCGTTTATTGAGTATTGTTGTGTTCTTAGTTTCCATATAGGAATGCTTAATTTATAGGGGATATGAAAAATGAAAGATGGACTTACCTGGCTTTTCTTGGTCAGTTTCCAAAACTATTTGAAGTCTGAGGTCTTCATTCAGATTTTTGACAAATGTGTATATATATTTTTTTCAGACTAGTGCAGAAGCGTCATATTTTCATTGTGGGCCATATCAAAAATCTGAATGTTTTTAAAGGGCCGGTTGCGCCAGAATGTATTGATACATTCTGTATCAATTAAACTAATTGGAACAGCTATTTATCAAAATATCAAAAATGTGTTATTCTTCCAGGATTCTGTAATTTTTTTATTTTTTATTTTTCAATCAAAATTGTAGATTTTGTTGTACCAATTTAGAAATGTTTAGGAATTTTTATGACATTTGCATTAATATATGATGTAAAATATGACATTTTATTACTCATATCAATTATGGACTACAAAATAAAGGCAGGCCAAGGCAGTAGTACCTCAAGTTCAATGTTTTTGTTCAATATTTAGAAAATTTTCAGTAAAATCAGAAAAATTGTAGAGATTTGATTTAGTTTGAAATTTGTGTGAAAAACTGGAAGGACTTAGTGATGAAATTTGGAGTGTAGAAGGCCACACAAAAAGCTACAGCGGGTCAAATTTCGCCAATAAATAGATAAACATTAAACAGTTGTTTTAATCTTTGGCCTTATTAAAATAAATCTCAGTATTTCCAAGACAATTGTTGCTTTTTTATTTTTTTGGTACAGAACAAAACATTTCACCTGACTCACTTTTTGATAACTAACTATCAAAAAGTGTCAATGCTGGTTATTGTATTTGCTATAGAGCTAAAACGATTCCTTGAATGATTTGAGTACCTCAATTATATTTGATGATAATATCTGGGTTTTTATTGTTCTTTTGGGGAGTGGAAAGTGCTCTATACTTAAATGCTTCACCACCTCTGCATGTCTGTGCAAGAGCCATTTCATAAGTGACATGTTAGGAGTCAACATGATCCATATTTCTATTTATGCGCCGAACCATGACAGAAGTAATGGGACTACTGAAACTGGTTTGATCAGTGGGGCGACGCAGAGATTCGAAAATAGGCAAACAATCGTTAATGTGAGTGAGAGTTTGGTGACAAAATAATTGTATTCAGAGTATGGTGTGTTCAGCAGCCATACAGTGGATTTGCAGTGGTACATGCTACGGCGTACCGATTAGTTTAAGAGCCTCAGATATAAAAAGGGTTTAGCACATTTGACATTTGTTTGTTTTTACATGTTTCCATATATATATTCCCACTCTTTATCCACTGACATAGTCTTACATTTACTACATGTATAATCCAGACGTACAACAATGAAGGTGTTTGAAAGCAAACATGGATCTGGTGCAGAAACACACATTTTATCAGTGTAAACAAGAATTTAGTCCATTCAGATGTATTCAACTGCAGCCCTGTCCAATTTCTGCTTTTGGTAATTTTACATAATAATTTCTTTAGTAGTCTGCATCAGAATAGGTTGCACTGCTTTGCTTCATTGCTTTGCTGTTTGGTAGCCATCAGCTGATAAACATTTTCTTCAGTGCTGTTTGTTTTCAGTGTAATTAGAAAAAAAGCGATGCGTCACTGCTGGTGTATAGAGAATGCTGGTTTTCATGGAAAGTGGAGCTCCAGTAGCTGACCGTTGCCCTGATTCCATCTGACTTTATCATAATGCAAATAGTGACTCATTCAGCAGATCAAGACCTCAGAGGAAAAGCGCAGGATGGTTTCTAAAAGTATTTGCATGAGGTTTGCAAAGCTGCGTCTGCTCCTGAAGTCAGCTGTCAGGAGAACCCGAAACCTCAAAGCAGACAGTCTTAGTGATTCATTAAAGATCCTACAGTGTAATATTCTCATCAGCTCCTCAATCGCACAGCTCAAGACTGATCAGTACAAATACTGAAACCTCAGAGCTCTGTTTACTTCAGCTCTGGCGAGACAGAAAATGCTCCAGACTCATATTTGACGGATACTTGCTCTTGTAGTTTGTTTTATGCTATGTGTATTTGAACATCTTGACTATAAAGCAGTAAAAAGCATCTTAGTTGCCCTGACCTTCTTGCTGATTTAGTAGCTCTGCCCACACACTGACTCATGCTACCTGATATCAGAGAGACTTTTTAACTGTAGGATGCTGCAGTTGGTTGGAGAAAATCCAAAACTTATTAATTTTATTGTAGTTATGATTAAACAGTGGAGAAGAGCACACTGGTTGTTATGTAATATTATCTGTTAACCACAAGGTCATTATCAGGTCATCAGGGTTTCCCAGGCTGTACTTGCCCTCCAGGCTGCCAGGCTTTATTTGCTCCCCCACCAGGATAAACATTGTTTATTTATTTAAGGTTTCTTTTCATTTCCATTTTATTAGGACTTTATAGTTGAGATTTAGGTATTGTGAATAGTATTTTTCAATAACACTAGTGATATTTAAAAATTTTCTGTCAATTTTAAAACATTTTTTAACTTAAAAACACGGTAGGCCGCTGAATGATTGGCCTAGCATGCCTTCCACCGGGCTTAACGAGTTTTACGAAGAAAACCCTGGTCATCATGATTTAATTTCTATTTAGGAATAAATCAATTAATCACATGGAAAATTAAAACAAGCTCAAGTCTCTACATTTGACCCTGTAATTTTTTATTTTATTTTTTTCATCAGTTTATTAAAGGCTTTCTTGAAGTTTGTGTCCTGAAGAATGTTCTTTCTATTGTCTATAAATGGAGTTGCAGATATTCAAGAATCGGGAAGAAGACCTGATTTAGGAGTAACAATGAAAATGTCGCTTGCTTTAGGAGCAATTTATCTCCAAAGCTTTATCGATGAATGTCATAATTATTTCACATTTGAATTATTGCATTGCCTAAATGACGTAATCTTTCCATCTTGTTATATCCTTTATCTGCCAGGTTTGCAGTTTGCCTGACACTGATTGATGCACATTGTCCCATTTTACATAAAAATAAAGAAATGAATGACTTTTCAGGGAATTTCAGTTCTGCTTGTCTGCTGTTCATTAACAAACTGACTGCAGTTTTCCATTAGTGCCAGACTGCCAGTTGTCCACTTTATGAGCTCTGTATTGATTCAGTAGTTTTATAGTTGGGATGCATACAGTTACAACCTCTTACCTCCTCTTACACACAACATGAGCACCATATCTCTCAGTCAAATGCATATTGTGGGGCTAAACTGTGCTGTATTTATTTTACAAATGGTGTAAAACTCCTTTGTGGGGGAGGTTTTTGTAACATCCAGGTTATGTACAGAGATTTTATGTACTGAGAAATTAAGATGTATATTTCTGCTATGAAAATAAAGGCTGAATGGACAAAAGAATGAAGTTAAGAATGGAAGGACATTTTATTGGACTCAATGAGAGAAGGATCGGCTCCGGAGTGATGTGAAGACGGATAAGGGACAGATGGCAGGCAGCGTCCCGGTCCCTCCTCGCTGTTTTCTGTTTTTGTTTAGCGTAACAACCGGACCACAGGCTTCACTTTCACCCTTATTATCTTTCCTCTAATTAGCAAATAACTTGTGCAGCAGTTGAGTGCTGAAATCATTTATTGGTGTTTAATATCTGCTTCCCCCCTGTGTGTTAATGTAGCTCCTTCAATATCGCTTTTTTGCCTGGGAACATCAACTTTTTTGACTTTTAATGAGGAAATGTTTACCACTGTTTGGTATCGGACAGGAAGCTGAGCTGTGCAGATACATTAGAGCGTCTGTTTTCTTTTCATTATTTGAGGCCTGAATGTGCTCCATCATTTTTCTTATTTTGACCATTTCTCAGTGTCTGTAAATAAAAACAAAATTTTTGCTTGGAATTTCAGAGACATATCAGTAATTCATAGAATTAAAAAAACAATGTTCACTTTACTCACACATAAACCTATAAAGAGTAAAATCAGAGAACTGATCATTTTAGGTGGCTTATTAATTTTTACAAAGCTGTATATTATCATTATTTCTTCCATTTTGGTTGTGAGGTGTTTCTCTCTCTGTGTGGAGAATAGTGAAGCATCTAAACGGTTTGGGTCTCCGCCAATGTTCCCTAAAGAGCGCAGGAGAAGCCTGTTTACGACCGCTGACTGATCAGAATCGCTCTGTGTGCCGCTCCTCGCTCGCCTTCGGTCCCAGCGCTGCTGGCGCAGCTGCAACTCTGACTGATGGACTGTGACTTTGTGCTTTGCAGATGCCCATGAGCGGTAGCTGAGGACACCATTGGGAGTCCCCCCCTGCAAATATGAATGGTAAGACCTCTGCAGTGTGTGTGTGTGTGTGTGTGTGTGGGGTGTGTGTGTGTGTGTGTGTGTGTGTGTGTGTGTGTGTGTGTGTGTGTGTGTGTGTGTGTGTGTGTGTGTGTGAGGGAGGGAGGGAGGGGTAAATGAGCGAGTGTGTTGGTTTGCAAAGGAACATTGTTCTGCAGTTGTGCTGAGGCCAACGCACTGTCAGCTCTTTTATTTTTCAGTTCTACTTTAAGTATTTTTTCTTGATGCCATATTTAAGCTTGAACTAATGTTTGTTTTCCGACTAAACCACTGAGTCTTGTATAGCCGACCTTGTTTCTGTAAATAATAATTAAAGGTATCGGCTTGTGAGCGCTTCATTATCAGTTTGTCAATAATCAGTACATTCTCAACTCTTCACTACCGCTGATGTCGGCTTTTGTGTTCCTCCTTATCTGTGCTCCCATGTGAACACCGTCTGTTTGCTTTTCTTTCATTCTTTTTTTCCTTTTTTTTGTCCTTTTCCCTGTTTTTAGTTCTCCCTAATTCTTTTCGCTTTCTTCTACTGTTTTTTTCTCTTCCTTTTTCTCCCTTTTTCTTTTAAAAATTTTTCCTTTACTTTTTTTCCTATTGTTTTTTATTTTTCTTTACTTTTTTTTCTTGTTTTCCTTTTTTCTTTTTTCTTAACTCAAATAAATGAACTTTTCAACACTATTCTGATCTATTATGATGCTCCTGTTTTATTAGACTTGTCAGCCGTGTTTGATCATTTAAAACTTATTAAATGTAAATTTGTGACACCTCAAATTGTATGTGACTGCAGGTGGTTCTGCTGTTTGGGCGATCTCCCCAGAGGAGAGGGACAAACATGACCAGAAGTTCGACACGCTCTCCCCGTCGATGGGAATCATCTCAGGTTCACACATTAAGACACTCTGATGCCTGATGTCCATCATTATTTCTCCCAGTTTAAGATGTTTTTATTGTTATTTCCTGTAGGAGAACAAGCAAGAAAGTTCTTCCTCCAGTCAGGTCTCCCTCCCTCTGTACTGGCTGAGATTTGGTACAAAACATTAATATTAACGCCCCTAGGCAGAATTGGATAATGCGCTGTAATCATGAGGCACGGTTGTTTGAACTTATGATGTGTTTTTTTTGTTTTTTGTTTTGTCTCTCAGGGCTCTGGCTGACTTGAATCGGGATGGGAAGATGGACAGATTGGAGTTTTCCATCGCTATGAAGCTCATAAAGCTCAAACTTCAGGGCACACAGCTTCCATCAACGCTGCCAATCATCATGAAGCAGCCTCCAGTGTCGGCTCCCGCCTCAGCCATGCCCAACCCGGCCTACGGTACGGCGTCGCTATGGATGATTAACCATTTAAAATGCATTTCTTAAATTTAAAAGTTTGTTTTGGAAATCAAGAAGAGCTGAAATGACTAATCGTAGTAACTGTAATGCGTCAGTTATTGAAATAATGGTCAATTAGTTATTAACTGGAGTGTATAGACTCAAAAAAGGCCATTTCCTGAAACATCAACATGCTGAGAGCAATAATTAAGATGAAACGGTATAAAAATATCATACCTTTTGTATTTAAGAAAAAATAAAACCTTCTGTGTGGTAAATATGTTTTACCCAGAATTCATCTACTGGGAACTTTAGCTTCACCTGGTTCAAAATCTGTAAAAAAAAAAAATTGTATAAAGCACCTTTCTGTATTTCATTCTTAATTAGTCAATTAAAAGATAATCAATAGATCAGCCATACAATCAGGTATACACTGTATTGATAAGTCAAGCAGGAAGAACTGAACTTTTCACGTTAGAAGTATTTCTTTAGCTACAAATGCATTTTTTGCTATAAAAGATTAATCATTCACTAAATGTTACTTCATTTTTGATTATAAAATATCTATTTTCTTATTTTTAAAAATAGATCTAATTTCTAGTGTTAGTACTTAAAAACTAAATATTTTACTGAATTTGTAAATAAATTTAAGTAGTTAAATTTGAAAAAAGCCAATTTTTTTTTTTTTTTAAACATGCGCCAAATGTGGCCATGTTGGGAGTCGAAATTGCAACCAACAAACACCTCGAGGATTATGGCCTCTATACATTGGTTGTGCTTTGCCACTGCCCAACCCCAGATCAATCAATTACTATGATCAGTTTCAGCCCTCACACCAAGTATTTGACTTGTTGGATGTAAATGTTTGATGGTTTGCTGCAGGTCTTGGTTCTGTGCCCATGATGGGAGGATCAAACTTCGCCATGTTGACCCCTCTCTCCATGGCATCCCCTGGACTCTCACCTTTGACACCAATGACCGGCCTCAGCCCGATGGTTCCTACGTCAGCAGGGATGAACCCACTAATCGCCTCCACCGCTACCAGGCCTCTGATGCCCACGGTGGGGAACGCAGGACTGCCCAACGGCACCATGGGAATGCTCCAGCCAATGCTTGCTGGAGGTTTGAACACTGGTGTGTGATTTGTTGCTACATTAACCACAGTTTCTTTCTTTGTGCATTGATGATGAAATGTGTAGTTATCAGAACGCTCTGTTTTTCTTTTGCTTGGCTTGGTGGGGATAATGTTTAGTATTACAGTTCACACACCTGATAGATTTAAGGAGGGGAGCTACAGATTATCAAAGACTTGGAGCTCAAAACCAAAGATAAATGATCAAAACATCAGTGGAAACCTGCTGCTCAAGGGTGCAAATGCTGTAACGCCAATAATTAACTTTTTATTGATTATTAAGAAAGATATAGATCTTTTCTTTTCAACTTAATAATCTTACTACACTGTTTGAAATATCTAGAGAAAAAGTAGAAGAGCTGTCATTTTAATACCAGTTTCCAAGTGTTTGAATTTAATGAAATAAACCTAATAAATGTGGATAATGAATAAATGTGTGTTGTTTAGGCTTGCCTCTTGGTGGAGCTTCCTATGCCTCTCCAGGTGGACTCTCCTCTTCTCTGCTGGATCTGGGATCTGGAAGGTAAAACGCACAGAAACCTAAATGTGGGGCTGATACGTGGTTTGTTTTCAGTTTCTTATGGTGTCTTTCATCTCCTCCTCCTCTCCCATGACTGCTGTTCCCAGTGACTGGGCTGTGCCGCATCCCTCCAGACTGAAGTACAGGCAGCACTTCAACATCTTGGATACACAGATGGTTGGATACCTTACAGGTGTGTAGGGTTTTTCATCTGTCATGTTGCATTCACAATGAACGTGTTTGTGGGGATAAACTGCTGTATTTATTTTACAAATGGCGTGTTGATGCTTCAAGTTCGACGCATCTGCCCTTTGAAGTTAGACGCTTGACATTTTTCTCGAGATGTCAGACGCATCAAACTGCCCTAGGTGGCGTTGAGAGGGGACTCCTTTCAATACATGTCCTTCAAACTCTTCTAACGTCATGCATGTTTCGTCCAAATAAATACTTTTATTTAACACTTAATGTTTTCGCTGGACTTACTCAACATTCCAACTTCCTTGCTGATCCTCTTCCAAGCTTGATTGGTCATAGATTACAGGGCGAGAGCAAACTGCAACAATTAGTTTATCCTCCATAGTTTTATCTTGTAGGAAATTGCAAAACTACAAGCAGTGGAAGTTGAGATTGGACACAATCTAGCTTTGGAGACATCGGATGTGCGAACCGCAGTGCTCCCTTGACGCACCTCCACATATTCTTTGAATGTAAACCAGATGCTCAAAACGCATTTGGTGTGAAACAGGGTTTCTCTCAGTGCATCATAAGCCTGGCGGGCAATCCAGCTTTGATTGTGTCCCCACCAGGCTTAACATTGTTAATTTATCAAAGGGTTATTTTTAAATTATTGCCTGTTTTTAAGACTTCATAGTTGATGTTTAAGTAATAATCTTCCAGTCTTCCAAAAATGTATAACTATCAAATTTTCTGGCAACTTTAAACATTTTATAACTCAAAAACATGGCAGCCAGCTGGGTGGCTGAATCCTGGTGTGAATGCAGCATTAGAAAACTGTAGTCGTGGATCTGCTTGAAGAGTGATGACTGGCTATTTTATCACAGGAAGTTGTGGCTGTACTTATGGGTGTGTTTAAACACAGGGCAGATTTCTCAACCTAAATGGTGAGCATTTAATGTCTCTCTTCAAAGGTCTCGCCAAACCTGCTTCTATAAAAACAAATGGTTTATTGAAATGACAAAAGTACATGTAAACACTTTCTCACTATTTTCCTCCAGCCACGTTTACATATGTTTTCCAGATCAATGCAGTCAGACGCGTAAAACAAGTTACATAAGTGGCTTTTGTTGCATTGCTCCACCCAAGTTGTTACATTCATTTATAGTCTTTATTTATTTTATCTGACAGAAATCTGAGGTCAAACTGTTGTTTTTTTGTGATTTAGTTCAAACAGGCGCTTACTGCTCTGGATCTCATGTGTACTCATCCTTCATCAGCAGCCCATCTGTGCTGCACAAACCACCATGACATTTTTTTATTCATGTTTCCAGGTCAACAGGTGAGAAGCGCCATGGCAACTACGATGCTGACACAGACGCAACTGGCCTCCATCTGGTGAGAACATTTGTCTGCAATCAAAGAGAAAACTTAACTCTGTCTTGTTCACATCCAGTCTTTGCAAAATGATCCATGCAGCTTAAACTGTTTCACACTCTTCAGGTTAAAATCACAAATTTCAATGCATTTTATGAGATTACATGTGGTACAGACACACTAAGTAGTTCATAATTATGAAGTGGAATGAAAATTATACAAGGCTTGGTTAAAAGCACCCTTTACTCTAATACCCCTAAAACAATCCAGGCCACATATTTTCCTCAGTTTAGTAAACAGAGTCCTTTTGGGTGTAAATTGATATCAGTATAAACATGAGAAAACCTCACACAATGTTGGTGAACAAAATATCATGAGAACAGCTGAAGATTGTGGAAAGTTTAAAGCCCTGAATATGATAAAACAACAGATTAAATGAAAAATAGCAGACAAAAACAGGAAGAAAATACAATGTTTACTGAAAATAAAAGATTAGATAAGAATAAAAGAAATATCCAACATCCAAATTAATAAACACCAGAGAAAATATTAAACCTTAAAAACACAAAGAAAGTATATAAAAATTCTCAAATAAAATATAAAATGTTGAATGATTCCAGCAGCTTCTCCATATAGAGGCTGTTTCACAGTCAGATATCATAATGCTTAAAAATCATAATGCTTAAAAACCTCTTCTCCTGACGTTTTTCTTCTCAACTTGCTGGATAGATCATGTATAATATATAAAATATAAATATAAACCAAATCACAATAATTCTTTAGTCTAACACAAGTTAGACTTTTTAAACTTCCAAAAGTCTACAAACATTTATTGGAAATGGGACATTAAATGTTCCTTAGTTTTGACATATGTTTTAAATTCGCCACCTTTTATTGCGTAACTTTGACTTTACATCATGTTATAATGTTGTTTCCTCATCAAAGTGTTGCTTTGAGTTTATTATGCATGTTTGAGAAATCCCTTGATCTCTACCGCAACCATTCTGCTGGGCAAAATGCCTGGGTGGCCCAAGCCCCGCCTTCGAGACGCCGCTCCTCCTCAGAGTTGCAGTCTACAAGCTTTTGCCTCACAGAGCATCATTCCCCTACGATTCCTCCACTCAGCTCCTTCAGACTAGCCAGCAACAATTAGCCAACACAAGGTGGAACTGTGACAATATACGATCTACTTATATTCAATATCACTGTTAAGGGGTTAATAAGGAGCCATGCTGCGATGATGTTGGAAAGATCGAGAGTTTCTTAAAGAGACAGGGGCCCAATTTCAAGACATTAAATTACCAAGTAGAATTTTTGTAAGTTATAATTAACGTTAATACCATTTTTATAGTAATTGAAGATTACTTCATTGTGCTATGAAATGATACTCTCGCTGGAAAATGCGGCTTTTTACAGTTGTGTGAAAATGTCAATTGCTGATTTGTTACGACTGCAGGACCTTGTCTGATGTGAATAAGGATGGAAAGCTGAACGCGGAGGAGTTTGTTCTGGCTATGCATCTTGTCGACATGGCAAAGAGCGGACAACCGCTGCCACTCACCCTGCCGACCGAGTTGGTACCGCCCTCACAGAGGTATAATGAGAGTGTCTGGAAATACTTTAGAAAACATGGAAACATTCCTGGAATAACTTTGGCACAACACTGACTCTAGTTGCCAATTTAAGGATGTTTTGTAGTCATTTATTTTTAATCTGTGTTACAGGAGTGCAATGAATGGCTCCAGCTCTAATCTCTATTCGGCGATGATTGACGACCTCGATGCAGAACCGCCACAGAAACCCAAAACTAACCGTCAGTACTCCCACAGTCTCTAGTTTTTCATTATTTCTCATTCAATAGCATCTTTTTTTTTGTGTCATTAGCAAGATTGACAATGAGTTAAAAATATAAACATGAAAACTCCATTCTCCATTCTAGTGTCGTTTGAGGACAAGTTCAAAGCCAACATAGAGCAGGGGAATGCCGAGCTGGAGAAAAGACGACTGGCTCTGCTGGAGGCGGAGAGGAAGGAGCAGGAGAGGCGCGCTCAGAAAGAACGGGAGGAGCGCGAGAGGAAGGAGAGGGAGGCCCGCGAGGCGGAGGAGCGAAGGAGGAAGGAAGAGGAGCAAAGGCTGGAGCGACAGAGGGAACTGGAGAGACAGAGGGAGGAGGAGAGGCAGAGAGAGATAGAGAGAAAAGAGGTGAGGCGTACTCAGTGCTGAGCGACTTCCACTTTAGGTGTTTTGGAGTCTAATATTTGGTTACAAATGGAAAACATATGGAAAACATTTACACAGTGACAATATTTTTTCCTCACTGAAGTCAAGTCAGACTAAATTTTTCTTGTTTTAGGTCAATTAGAATTATCCAAATTATGCCAGAAAACTTCACATGGACAAAATAAATTTTTTAGAGGTTTATTTTTTTGCTGTAATTTTCTTTGTGTAATATGTTTACGCATTTAATTTAATGTAAACAGGAAAGTTGTTTACCTTAAAACAACTTGTTTGGATTGTTTCAATGTAATTAATATTTATTATTTCTATGGTTTGGCTAAAAAAACATCACAATATGAGCATTTTATATTGGTCAATATTAATAAATATTGATTAGCTTTTTGTTGTAAATATCTAAAATGTTTGCAAAATGAGAGCACTTTTCTGTTCCATCCACAGTTTTGGTTTTGTATTTTTAAGCAGTTTTGAAGCAGACTTTAAACTGTTCATGTATCAAAACATAAGATTACATGTGAATGCTATCAAAAATTATAAACGCTTATGAATGACAACATATAATAATGAATTGAAGCTGTATTTTTGTATTTTTATTTTCAGTCTGATGCTGGAAAAATTTAAGAATTTACCTTGAAAATGCTTGAAAAGTGCTTGAATGTTACTGTGCAAACCCTGTTGACCTCTGGTGACTTCAGGCGGCGCAGCGGGAGCTCGAGCGACAGAGGAAGGAGGAGCTTGAGAGGAGGAAGCGCGGCGAGCTAAAGATGAAGAAGGAGCAGGAGCAGGATGAGATCATCAAGCTGAAGGCCAAGAAGAGGAATCTGGAGATGGAGCTGGAAGCAGTGGTGAGTCCTCAAAAGACACCTTGTTTTCCTTTTCCGACCAGATGCATGCAAAGTTGGAAGTTTGTCTCGACTCTTTGTTTTCAGGGTAACAAACAGCGTCAGATTTCTGACCGACTGCGGGACATTCAGAACAACAAGAAACTCCAGAGGTCAGAGTTCGATCTTCTAGATCAGAAGAAAGACACACGGCAGCAGGATCTGAACACACTGCAAAGACAGATAGAGGTTTGATCTGTTCTTGTGTTTGGTCAAATAAATTATATGTTAATACATTCAATAACGATGTTTGGAAAGTTGTGTGAAATGTTACTTATTCATTCTTTTATACTTAATACTCATAGTTCAGAACCCAGGTTTAGTAGATTATATACCAATTTATCTTCATCTTTCTCTCTAACTTATCTGTCACTTTAAATTCTCATTTCTTTTTCTTTTGAATTTATCTATATTTCTCTAATTTATCTAAATATATATATATATATATATATTTTATATATATATATATATATAATCTCTAATTTCTCCAATTTATCTGTACCTTTCTCTCTAATTTATCTAATCTGATAGAAAAGTATAAGACGAATAGGATACTTTTAGATATCAAATTATCAGAAAACATCTATTTGATGTTAAATGTATTTAATTCATTTAATTGTTTGTGTTTGCATGTGGTCAGGATTTTCAGAGGAAGTTGTCTCAGCTGACTCCAGAGAAGAAACGACTGGCAGAAAAACTCCAGAATATGTCTCTGAATAACCTGCCTGGTTAGTACTGAGGGCTGGTCACACATACCACTGATCTGAACTCAGATTAATGTCAAACAGTCTGTAGCTGCTTAGTAGAGTGAAATGTGATTTTTAAAAACAACCACAACAAAAGTATTGACCTCTGCCTGGAAAGATGCTAAGAGTTTTCCTAATGTTCTCTGACTGTGAAATTGTGTGTTTTTGACCTTCTTGTAGCTTCAACCACGTCCAACCTAAAGATGAGAGTCACAGATAAAAGAGGGACATGCATGAAACTGAGAGACCAGCTGGAAGCTCTGGAGAGAGAAACGGCTGCCAAGCTGGCTCAGATGGACCAGTACAACAAAGACATGCAGGTAGGAGAGAACGAATGGCATTCAGGGCATTCATCTCTCTAATTTATTAATATTTATCTACAATTGTGGAGCTACTGACACTTTTTACAAAGATGTTTCTCGGCTAATTCAAAGAATCAACTGTTCTCCAGGTAGTATTATAAAGGAAACACCACCCTGTTGTTTGCACATGTTACTCTGATTCTAATCCACATGTGTCAAACTCGAGGCCCGCGGGCCAAATCCGGCCCGCCATAGCTTTTTATATGGCCCTTTAGATTCTAGATTAAACGCTAAGTGTGCTTAAATATTATGTTATCAATCAAATCAATGCATTTTTTATCCATTTACTGCCAAATTATATAAATCAGTCCCTCCAGTTTCTTGAGCTTCATTATGAAAATTCACACAAAATCAACAAATCCACATACTTTTCAATAAACTCTTAATAACAAAAATTTATTGAAGATTTTTCTCAATAAATGTCCAAAACTTTCTTACTTGTACCATACAGCTGTTTAGCTGTTTACAGAATTAGTACAGATGTCAGATAATTGTATATGATCGGCACAGCGAATTATAAAATTCGCATTTAACATCATAAATAAGTGGAAATATTTCAAAATGAGTACCACGAACACTTTGACTTTTATTGTAAAAAGAAAAAAAAACTCACAAAAACAATCTCAAAATTCTGGAGGAGCTGAAATAATATTATTTAATTTTAAGAATTCATTTATATTTTAAGTTTGTGAACAGGTTTTATCAATACATTCTGGCACAACCGACCCTTAAAAAGCATTCATGATCTGGATTTGGCCCAAAACGAAAATGAGTTTTACTCCCTGTTGTAGATGATCAGTGAAACATAAGGCTTTAGATGAAGGAGCCAACATTACTGCTGCTGTTTACATATTGACTAATGACTTGGAAAGATTGGAATCTGGATCTCTAAAAGCCTGCACTGATATGAATGATGAGAATGAGACGTTTCAAACAGGAGACTGATAGATTTGATCTCATAAGACTTTGTACTGATGTAAAATAGTTACATTTGTTTCAGATTAAATTAGATTTCTTCAATGTGTTGAACTCTTACTTTAGTCGGCAAGTTTGTCCTCACAAACGGTTTGACTTCAATTCTGCTTTACATTTAATTTTAAATATATAAGAAAAGACAAGTAGAAAATTGTGTTTATTTGTACGATCCATGTCTGTAAAGAAAATAATTTTTTCCTCACATCAATGTTACATTTCTGCAAACCTTTAAATCTCGAACACTCTTGGACTTATTTTGTTCTTTCTTTTTATCTTCTTTCTCGTCTCAATTCACCCTTTATCCTCGTCCGCTGCTCCTTCCTCACTTCCTTTCTAATCCGTCCTCCTCTTGCATCCCTGCTTATTCCCTGCCTCTCAGTTTTTGGGAGCTGAGGACAAAATGCTTCAGCCCGTCTTCTGTCTGCTGTCCTGCCTCCGTAAACTCTTCCATCTACTAAAGGTTTCGCCTTAGGTCTCTTTAAAACTTCTCTATTTTCTTTTTGTCTTTCACAGACTTGTTTATGTGTTCAGGTCCTGATTTGTTTCATTTCTTGTCCTTGTTTTTTACTGCCTCTTCTTTACACTGTAAAATATTAGTGCAGACCAGAGATGTTCAAACTTTTTGACATTAGGGACAAAATTGCTGAGAGAACTCGAGGGCCATATTTGTCTTAATAAAAACTGAAAATATTTCTTTGTTTTTATCTCCTCAACAAAATACTAAATAAACATTTGAATTAAAGTAGTGTAAATTTTGTAGAAAAGGAATCTGTGAAATCATATATAACGCATGTATAAAACTTAAGGCCCTCTGTAGGTTTTTATGTGGCTCTTAAGACTCCAAATTACATCAGTATGTAAAAAGCAAACAAAATTCACTGAAAATCTCCAGAGCTCCAGATGTTTTCTGATTTTTACTTGCAAACTTTTCTCAAAATTGTCCAAAAATGAGTTTGAGTGACCGCTGATTTAACTTTACTTGATGTCAAGTTAGTCGGTGATTGTTACGGCGATTAATAAAAAGCCACCTTTAGCAAATATCGTAAAATTCCTTACAAATATTTCTAAAGTAGCTCCACAAAATCTGTGATTTTAATTGCAAAAATAAATGATGGCTCGATAATTTTTATTCTGATTATGAATATTTTTCAAATGGCAATTTTGTTTACTGAGATGTCAGTCTGTTTCATTTATAGTTTTGGTTTTGTGCGGTTTTTAATTTTCCTTGCTTTTATTGTTTTTGGTTGTTGTGTTTTTGTTTTTGATATTTAAAGTGTCGTCCAGTTCCAGTGTGAAGTATTCTCTACAAAATTAAAGTTTAGATGTTTTTGAATTACTTGCTATTGAAAACGGTCTCAAAATAACAATATTATTGTTTATTGGAATCATTTTGGGACAATTATCGTCCTGGTAAATTGATGATCATGGTGTGTTTTTTTTTTTTTTTTTTTTTTTTTACGTGTGTCAGGATCTGAAGGAAAGCCAGAGAAACCAGCAGGTGGCTCTGGAGAAACTGCGCAGCGTCAAAGAGGAAAAGCGGCGCGAGTTGATCCGAAGGAAGGAGCAGGAGGAGGAGAGGAAGCGACAAGAGGAGGAAACTCAAAGGTTCACAGCAGAACTTCATAGATTTCATCATAAATTATATTTAAGATTTGATGATCTACTTCATTAGGAGGATGTTTTAAAGTAACGCCATGAATGTCTTCACAGGCGAATTAAACTGGAAAAGGAGCGCCAGTGGCAGGAGAAGCTGAAGAGGGATGAAGAAGAACGTCAGAGGAGACTTGAGGAAGAAAGGGAGGCCAAAAAGAGGGAGGAAGAGGAGAGGGAGAGACAGGCTCTCCTCCAGGCTGCCAGGGAGCAGGCGGAGCGAGAGCTGAGAGCGAAGGAAGAGGCCGAACGGAAAAGGAGAGAAGAGGAGGAGAGGAAGAAAAGAGAAGAGGAGGAGCACCTGAGGCAGATAGAGAGACGCAGGCAAGAGGAGGAGAGGAGGAAGTTAGAGGAGGAGAGGAGGAAACTAGAAGAAGAGAGAAAGCAGCTGGAGCAGGAGAGGAGGCAGGAAGAAAAGAGGAGAAAAGAAGAGGAGGAGAGGAAACGCAAGGAAGAGGAGGAACGAAGGAAGAGGGAGGAGGATAAGAGGAGGCTGGAGGAGGCAAAGAAAGAGGATGAGCGCCGGAGGGACAGGGAGGAAGAGCAGAGAAGGAGACAACGAGCAGCGGAGGCGGCGCTTCGAGACGCTGACGAGAGGAGAAAGAGAGAGCAGGAGGAGAAACGGAGGGAAGAAGAGGACAAGAGGAAGCTAGAGGAAGAGAGGAGAAGACTTCAACAGGAGGAAGACAGGAAGCGAAAGGAGGAAGAGGAGAGGAGAAAAGCGGAGCTGGAGGAGAAGAAGAAGAGGGAGGAGGGATCCCGTAAGCAGCAGCCGAACGGAGGGAAGGTGGATATCCAGGAGAAGCTGACGTCTCTGCTGAGAGGCCTGGAGGAGAGAAAGGGTGAGCAGAAAAACTCTGTTTTCGACTGGATCATAGTCCAGATTAACTCACTTCCTGATCCTGCTGCTACAGGTGGACAGCCGAAGGCCGCACAGCACAGGAAGTCTGCTGCCCTCACATCATACAAAGCACTTTACCCGTTCACCGCACGCAACAACGAAGAGCTCAGCTTTGAAGCTGACGACATCATCGAGGTAAAAACGTCTTCAAGAAACACAGCTGGTTTTAACCAGCTGTGTTCTTATAAAATCAAGGCTGATGGTTTTATAAAATCTGATTCATAAAACTAATTAAATCCAGTGAGATTCTTTGTGGACGGTTTACAACCCCAAAGTGACCCATATGTCCAGAAAAGATTGTTGACATCACACGTCAGAAACGATAATGGGCGGAGACGTTTATGGATCGATTTCAAAGTCTATTCAGCAATGGAGCCGACAACATCACACCAGATCATAACAAGACAAAAGAAGCTGATTTAAAAAAAACTCAACTAATGGCAACGACAATTGGTGGAGCATTAACTGCAACAATTTATTGTGATCTGAAGTGGACTCTTCATTATTTCCAGAGCTCTATAAATTAATTCTGCTGTTTCTACAGCTAAAATATTAATAGCAGAGTTGATTGGCACCAAATTTGTTGGATGTTATAAATATGGACTTGCTGCTTGACCTTTTATGACACCTGAAAACATCAATTAATATCTTTCTTAAATATTTATCAAAATAATCTTTTGCCAACTTCACTTAGGTGAATGTAGAAGTTATTCTCTTGATCCAAAGTATCCTCCCTCCTTCTCGTGACGTAAAAATCGATCCTGTTTGTTTGCTGCCAGGTGGACGAGACGACGGAGAAAGAGGAAGGCTGGCTGTACGGCAGCAAACAGGGGAAGATGGGATATTTCCCAGAGAGCTACGTTGAAAAGGTCGGCCCGTCGGATTCAGCTAAACTTGCCGCTGCCGCTCCTCAAGTGTCGATCCAGGCACAGCTTTCCAACGCGCTGGAAGCTGCAAAGGGATCAGGCACAAAGTCTGCCTTCACCCCGACGCAGTCTCCTCACCCAGCTCCTTCTGAGACGCACGGACAGGTAACCACGGCGACCGCCTCCTCGTCCTCAGGCGCTTTGATTGGTCGCTGAGCTGTCTCCTTTGTTGCAGCCGGTGGTGGGAAACGTTTTGGCTCAGGCGCTCTGCTCCTGGACGGCAAAGACAGACAACCACCTGAACTTCAACAAGGACGATGTGATTCATGTGTTGGAGCAGCAGGAGAACTGGTGGCTGGGGGAGCTGAACGGCGAAAAGGGCTGGTTCCCCAAAACCTACGTGACAGTCCTGGGAGAAGAGGATGGGTCAGAGTAAGTCCTGAATCAGGGCTCCATCAAAAGTTTCTTATTGTTGTTCATTTTCATGACCATAGCTCAGAGCTAATCAAAACCCTAAATGGAGTTCACCTTGAATGAATGTTGTTTGGTCTGGAACAAAAACTACAAAGTTATGTTGATGTTTCTTTTGTTGTTTTTTATCTCCAGGAGTTCTGTGTTTCAGTTCTGTGTATAACTGTCAACTGGTACTGAGGATGAATGTTGTTGTGAAACTGTAGCTGTTGCTCTTGCTTTACCTGTCAGTCCAGTGTTTGTTCCAAACTTTACTGTTTACTTCAGGAGCTTCTAGTTACAGAAGCTTACTTTCTGTTTAGGATTCATGCAAAAACAAATGTGAGAGAACAATGAAGGAAGTGTTTCTCTGTTTTTAGACCCAAGAGCTCTACCTCAGATACAGTTGACACCCTTCAGCTTGAAGGTAGAGTAAAACTCAAGTTACTGTGGCTTTACACCATTAACATTAAAAATTGTTATTCTTGTCGCGTCTAACTGCATTATCAGTAGAGTTCATCTATGTTTGTTTTTGTCGTTGCAGAGTATGTGGCGCTGTACACGTACGAATCTCCAGAGCCCGGTGATTTAACGTTCTCAGAGGGCGACGTAATCCTGGTGAGCCAGCGAGAAGGAGAGTGGTGGCGCGGTTCGACGGGCGAACACACGGGCGCCTTCCCCAGCAACTATGTCAAACCCAAAGAGGCTGACGTAAGGACACTCTGCACAAACTCTGACTAATGCTTCAAAATATTGTACATATTCATCACAATTTCCTGTATCGTAGAAATTGTGCTAAGTGAAAAGGCACAAGAATGATCCCAATAAGTTTGTCATGCTGTGATGGTAACAATAAACTAATTGATAACTGAAATACAAAGCGTTTTGTTTTTCATAGCTTTTACATTTATTTTGAAAAGATAAAAAAATAAACACCACAAACTAGAAATATAGCATGTTATCATTTGTTCCTTTATTTTGTGTGAATGTCTGCATTAAATTTAAGTTATTTTTTCTCCTTTTAGACATCAAGTGTATCTGGAAAGAAAAAGCAAGGTGAGCTCTTATGTTTTTTCTTGTTTAATATTTTCAACCTGGTGTCCTTTGACTCTTTAGTCAGTGTGCAGGCACAGTAAAAAGAAAGCTCTTTGAAGACACGCTGGTGTACTTTGCTCAATGTTTGCTTCCTGGAACAAAATTTTATTAAGTCTACCATTTTTCTAAGGAACTATAGAGAATGGAAATAAAAGTCTTGGTCATAAATTTAAAGTTAGGATGATATCATTCATGTGTGCAGAGATCGCTCAGGTGACCAAAGCCTACAGCTCTGCTGGCCCGGAGCAGCTGAGTCTGGAAAGTGGTCAGCTTATCCTCATTTTCAGCAAGAACCCGTCTGGTTGGTGGCTCGGCGAACTTCAGGTGTGTGATAATTATATTTCTAACATTTTTAAACATTCCTCAACACTGTTAACAGATGGGAGAGCAACAACAAGCGTATTTGTTGATCAACAGCCGTTTGTGTGACAACGAGTTAGAACAAAAAGAACAAGTAACGTATTACCACTAATATTGTTCTGGTCACAGAATATGATAGCTCCACAGTGTAACTTAAAGCTTTGCTTCTATCAATTTGCTGTCGTAAGAGAAAATATGTGGTGTAACTTCATAATATGTTGTAAAAATTCAGTTTGTGGATACATTTTTCTATATCCTCTCGATGCGTTTTGATCTTTTCTGACTTCAGGCGCGCGGCAAGAGACGTCAGAAAGGCTGGTTCCCTTCCGCTCATGTCAAAATATTGGGCTCCAACAGCGGAAAATCCACTCCTGCTCAGCAGCCTGGTGAGATGGAACGGCTCTGGATGCAACACCTGAGTAGAATAATTAAAGATTTTTATAAATAATAACTCTTTTCTTTCCTGTTTTCTCAGTCTGCCAAGTGATCGCCATATATGACTACACAGCGGCCAACCAGGACGAGCTGAGCTTCTCTAAAGGACAACTGATCAATGTTTTAGACAAGAGCAACCCCGACTGGTGGAGGGGAGAGGTTAATGGCGTCACCGGCTTGTTCCCCTTCAATTACGTCCAGATGACCACGGACAATGAGCCCAGTCAAAAATGTGAGTGAAACTCAAATTTTTCACAAAACATGAAAGCAAAGAAGTGTGCATTAAAACTGGGGCTCTTCTTTGATTCTCCGTATATCTGAAACTAATCCTCAATCTGCTGATTTATCAGATTTAACTAATAATTTCTGATCAGTTCTGCTATTCTTCTCATTGACCATCCTGTTGTTTCCCTCTTTTCACTTCCTCCTTTATTCTATTCCTCCTTTCCTCTCTCTCTTTTCCTTCCTTTGTCTTTCTCCTTCTAGGGTGGTGAAAAGCTCCTTCCTCTTCCTCTTCTCCTCTTCCTCCTCCTCTTCCTCCAGGCCACAGAGACCCACTATCACACTCTGTTGCTTTGATGGGGTGAAAATCTGGACTTTCTGTCTCCTAATTGTTCCACTCTGCAAACTAAACCATTTGAGGGGAAACCAGAAAAGAGAAATGTCTTCCTTTGTATAAATAACGGGTCTTGAAATGATCTTTGGCTCACTGTGCTGATTGTCTGGGTTTTTGAAACCTCGCTGCCTTTAATCCTTGCGGGTTTTTTGTTTGTTTGTTTTCAAATTTTGAACTGGTGTCGCTGAATCTGCAGGAAAGTGTTAAACGGAGCGATAGTGGGTTTCTGTTGCTTGTCTTTCCTTTCTTTTGCTCATCCTTGTATCCAGACATTTTTTTCTCACATTTTTAGAGGCTTTAGATCTTAAAACAATATTTATTAAAAGATTAAAAGATGAAGATTCTTTCTTTAGTGTTAGTAAAACATGGGATAGGCTTCTTGTTTAGCCATGGATTATATGTAAAAGATGGACACAGCCTGCTCGCCCCCTGCTGGTCACCAGAAGGAATGCAAACAGCTACATTCTCTCTAATTGCCAGCAGGGGGCGACCTTGTGTTTGTAAAAAGCCTATAGCTGCCATATTTGGTCATTTCCTCTCATTTCTCTGTGTTTTCAGAAAGAACACTGCCTTACAAAAATACTCCCAACTCTTTTGAGCACAAATTTATGTGTTTTATTGGGATTTAACAAACCAACACAAATTGGTGTGTAATTGTCAAGTTGAAGGGAAATTGTTAATGTTTTCCATTTTCTTCGCTTCAAATTAAAATTTGAAGCGTCTCAAATCATATTAAGCTTCCTTTAATCATCAAATAAAACATAAAATTATGGAGAAGTTCAAAGCAGAGTTACGTTATGAGACAATATTCTTATTAGGGCTGAAATGATTAATCAGATTGCTACCTGAAGATTGAAATAATTGTCAACTAATTTAGTAGTCGAATGTTTAGTGGACTATACAGACTGCTGAAATGACACATTCAGAGCAGTAACAAAGGCAAAACTTTACAAAAAAATTATTTAAAATGTAAAAATACCCTTTGTCTGTAAATCTGTTGTACTTAAAACTGAAGTGTCTTAGTGTTAGCTTCACCTAGTAAAAATTTGTTTAAAAAAAACAAATTAATCAAAAAAAAACCCTCTTATTAGCCATAATATTCCTGTAACAGTTCATAATGTGGAAACTCTTGGAAAAACTAATGCGAGGCATTGTGGAAAAGCTTAGCAGAATCCCAAACGGCGTCTCTGATTCTAGGTTTTTTTTTTTCCCCGCTGTCTTGGCTTTCTTTTACAGACTAGCGTTGATGCAGCTTTGTGACATCTCCTGGTTCAGATGCGCCCTTTGACCCCCCCACATTCTCCTCCGTTCCTTACTAACGAGACGGCTATAAACACCAAAGGCTCTTCAGTCGCACCTTGAGCAGACTGTGTGAAAAGGCCAGTCAGAAAAGGACTTTTCTTCTCTCCCAAATCTGTGAATCTCACTATCTCCAAGTGCAGGATTTAAGTATTCCTAAACTCTTATCTTATGATTGTCTTTTTGCAAACGATGAACAAATATAGGTTAAAAGTAACGGTGAAGTGGATGGGGCTTTTTGTGGACCAAATTCAGTCGGTGATTAAGGTAGTAGAAGCCTAAATTCAAATTAATTCTGAAAGAAAGGGATGTTGTTGTGGCTGCGTCCATCTTTTATGTACTCTGTGGTTACGAAACGCGTGTTTTTCTTCTTTGGTTTCTCATGTAACATTTGCTTGTTTTTAGATTTAATGGAAATGAAACAAATTTGGGTCATATTTTTTTTAAAATACATATTTAAAAGCCATAAGTGGTATTGGTGTTGCTGTTACAAACAGAAAGTTGTGTTTATCCTACACCTCTATAGGGATTTAACTATTTTTCTGCTGCTCTTATAGATTTTCTTGAGATGTATGAATTCAGACACTGCACTTGTTGTGATTATTACTTTGCAATGAACATAAAAATCTTCACATCCTCTTAAAATGCCAGCTCCAACTGAGATTAATCATTTTAAACCCTTTTCCACCTTTAATGTGACATGTTTCACAACTCAACTAAAATCTGTTGGAGAGAAAAAACCTGTTTCTACAGGTTTTCATTCTGGACATGAAGTAGAACCAGCAGAGATTTCTGCTTACGACTTGGACCTCCGTAAGGTCTGTGGGTTAAAAGACAGAAGCCTTTTCTTTTGTAGAAAATATCCAGACCTGACTAAAACATCCTAAAAACAACTCATCACATCACCATCAGATTTATTAAATCTTTTGTCTCCGTAAGCCACATGCAATCAGGCTTTAGTTTGGTGCTGTTTATTTTTTTATTACTCTGGTTAATTGCTAAACAAAGGAGACGCCACCTACTGGAGAAGTTCAGAAACGCACCTTTTGGTTTGGCAAAGATTTAAAGACTCTCACTTATAATAATAAACCAAAATTCAATAGGCATTACGCCGTCACCTAGCAACCGAAGCAGAGCTCAGCCCGTCACCTAGCAACCGAAGCAGAGCTCAGCCCGTCACCTAGCAACCGAAGCAGAGCTCAGCCCGTCACCTAGCAACCGAAGCAGAGCTCAGCCCGTCACCTAGCAACCGAAGCAGAGCTCCAGAACGTTTATATCAAAACTTCTGATAGAAACTTCTGTCAATAAAGTACGAGTCCAAGTCTAGAGGGAAGAGTTTCAAGTTGCGTTTTTGTTGAGATTTCAAGATGAGTTTTAAAAAGTTGGTTTTGTGTCAAAAGAGAAGCAATCCCAATAGTTGCAATAAAGTATTTTATTAGCTTGAGGCCTACAGAGACAAAAAAAAACATTACAATATTTTTATTTTTCAAATAGTCATTTGTCAATTGAGTCTATTTTACACAGATTCTGTGATGCAGATTCAAATCTCATACAAGAAAAAAACAGTTTATGATTTTTTTTCCAGGAGCTTAAATGTCATATCTTACATCTCACAAGCGGGAGGAAAAGTTATTTTTCAATTACTTGTTTTTACATTCCTTGAAAGGGAAATTGTATACATTATGATTTGTCATAGTATACATACTTTGTGAAGCATAGTGGTGGCAGAATTATGTCCTATGTTACTTTTCTTCAAATGGAGTTTGAAGAAAGTGGACTGTCGTAAATATGAGCCGGTTTTGGACCAAAACCTTTTGGATGTTTTAGTTTCAGTTCCATCAAATGTCAAAATCAGTTTTGTGGAAAAAGGTTTCAAATGAAATTATGATGGTCTTTCCAGAACACTAAAACCTATTGATCAACAATTACCAATACAGTACTTTGTGATGCAAACAGAAAGAATCTCAGGTTGTTGCATTTCTTTTGAAATGAAATGAAACTGTAGTGAATGTATTGACACAAAGCTGCTGTTTGTGTTATAAATTCAGAGCTTTTAGTCGAACAATAATGGCAAAGGTGTTAATATTTTCTGGTGTTGGTCGGTGTAACTACTTTTGCAAATCTGCCTGATACCAAATTTTTTTTTTTGATTCTTAATAAATAAATAAAGGGTTATTTAAGACAATGTTTCAGTCAAGTATTTTTCTTAAGCATGTTATTTCATCTTCAGAAGTCTTTACTGTGTAACACCATAAATGTGATTTAGGTGACCTCATAACTGTTTTTTTTCTCAATCACTTCAGATTTTTTCCCAAATGGATAAAGATTTTCTCCCATTTTTAACATACCTTTCTACGTTTTCTAGGAAATATTTGTAAAAATAATTTTGTTTTCTTCAGTTTTTAAGCGATTTCAAGGTGAAAAAGCAGAACAACTTTTAGCCTGTATCGTCTCTAAACAGGCCAGTGAGTAAAGAGGTAAAAGAGGAATTTCTCTTTCTGTTTTGGTACAAAACAGATTTCAGAGCGATGAGGAGATAAGAGCTCAGACGAGACAGGCAGGAGACGAATGGAGAGGAAGCTGTAAAACCTGAGCAGAGAGAATCAGTCGTAGAAATGGCTTCAGACGGCAGATTTCAGTTTTTAAGGCTTTGGGATGAGGATGAGGAAGAGTTTAGGGAGGAAGAGGAAAGAAATAACTCTGTTAGTGAGGAGCGGTCACTTTGTTTGGGAATCTCACAATGGCACAGGTGTGATCTTTTAGATGGTAAGTGTTAATTTGCTGATTGAAAATTGTTTTTTTTCTTCTAATTTCTTTAATAATGGAACATTTTTGTACTTCCATTTGAGTCTCAACTGCTTCTAAAAACAGAGCGCTTAAAAAAAAAACTTCCAGCCGTTTTCTGGCAATGAGTTACTTTTTTGCCAGAAAAAAAGTAACTTATTACAAATTAGCTGTTTTTAATAACCTGCTGATTATTAAGTCACATTTTCTGGGCACTACGCTGTTGCCTAACAATGTTTTTACACGCTGTACAATGGCTGCTGGAAAAGACATGTTTTGTAGTTCACTTCCTGCATTCTTGTTGTTTGTGCAGGAGGCTCTACGTCTGCTTTTCAGAGATGTATAACTGCACGTCTGTTTCACGTTCGAGTGTGAATGTGGAGTTTGTATTGAGGCTCTAAAACATTTCTTTGAGAAAGAAACTCAAGACGGGCAGAACTGATCAGACTAAAATCTGTTTATCTCAGAATGATTTTCTTATTCAAGGAAGCATAATGGTCACCTTTAAGAAAGTTTCAGAAATGAGCTGCTGTATTTTTTGTCTTTAAAATCAGAAGCTTTGAGGTTTTGTGGCTGAGATGTTCAGTTTGTTGCTCCCGTCCTGCAGGGTGTTCAGACCCAACCAGCCTGGACTCTCTCAGCCCCCAGGAGAAGAAGAGGCAGGGCTACATCCACGAACTGATCGAGGCGGAGGAGAGATATGTGGAGGACCTGCAGGTTGTACTGGATGTAAGTAAATGAAAGTAGAACAAATAAAATATGGCGAAACATTTGCTTTGCTCTTCATTTCATGTCTCCACATTCATCTTGTTGCTGCGTTGGTTGCAGGTTTTCTACAAGCCGATGTCTGAGTCGCGGCGGCTGAATGAGGCAGAGATGGCCATGATCTTCGTGAACTGGAGGGAGCTTCTGGCCTGCAACAGTAAACTTGTGAAGTAAATATCATCTGGTGGAGCGAACAGAACCAGAAACAGATGAAGTATTCAAAAGTATTTAAAAAATAATTTTTTTAACAACTTTCTGGTAACACCTCATGGCATGTGATGTAATTCAATGTGTCAATATAAATGCATATATAACATTAAAGCATGCACATGCAAACATGTTAATCTAAAAACAGTCTATAAATGAGTGCAGAGAAAATTAGATTCAAGTTACTCAGACTTGGACATTGTAAATAATAATAAAAATGAACCTGACCTTTTAGGAAGCAATTATACTTATGAATACTTCTGTTATCTAAGCTGATAATGTTAATGTCAACCACAAAAGCTGCATATTTTATGATATTTAAGTTTAAAATGGATCACGTGTTGCGTACAGGGCTCTCCATGGTCGGAAGAAAATCACGGGGGACAACATGCCGGTTCAGAAGATCGGAGACATCCTGGCCTCTGAATTGTCCCACATGCAGCCCTACATCAGCTTCTGTTCGTCCCAGTTCAACGGTGCCGCGCTGCTCCAGACCCGCACCGACAACGAGCCAGAATTCAAGGCGTTCCTCAAGGTAAGAGGGAGAGGACGGAAAACAAAATGAGGAAAGGCGGGAAGAGGTCGGAAGACCTTTGGAGAAGAGGAAACGTTTCCACTGAGGGATGTGAAATTTAATTTGTGGCCCAACAGAACTAACCCAGAGATTTATAGAGTCAAATTGTATTTATTTTCTTATTTTTTAGAGTCCCTTTGGGTAGTTAATAAAACTCATTTACGAACTGATAAAATCTGAATAAAAAAACGTCTCTGCATTCAAAATGTTGTCACAACAATAAAATTTGGTCAAATACATTTGAAAACTGCTTTTACCTGATAAATAAAATGATATTTAAGCTCACAGCCGTCATTTTGAAGCCTCTCAGAAGTGTGGAGGCCCAGACAACAGGGAAAAGCCGGGCCAGATTTGGGCCTCGGACCTGGAGTTTGAAAACTGAAAGTCTTTCTGCTGCAATATAAGTCTTGAGTTTGATTCACTTTATTCTGTTTCACATTTCTTTAAAGAACTAACTTTTACCTTTTATTATTGTGACTGTATACAAACTTGACCAAATTACAAGGTAACGTAAAAGATCCATATAATGTTTTTGAAAGCTACGTTGGCTAACGTCGCCTTTTTTCTGTCCAGAAAATCGCGACAGACTACAGGTGTAAAGGGATGCCGCTGTCCAGCTTCCTGCTGAAGCCGATGCAGCGGATCACTCGCTACCCGCTGCACATTAAAAACGTAGGTCGTCCCGTTAGAGACCTGAACCAGTCACTCTGTGACCCATTCATTGTTTGTTAAAGATGATCTTCGGTGTGTGTGTAGATCCTGGAGTGCACAGCAGAGGGCCATCCTGACCGTGGCCACCTGAAAGAGGCTCTGGAGAAAGCGGAGGAACTCTGTCAGCAGGTTGTTTGGCTTTTAATCTCATCTCATCAATATGCTGCTGCTTTTTCTTCTGGTTGAAACGGCGACCAGACGTTTTGGTTTCTGTCCAGGTGAACGAAGGCGTCAGGGAGAAGGAGAACTCCGACAGGCTGGAGTGGATCCAGAACCACGTACAATGTGACGGCGTTATGGAGGTAATGAGCATTAAGCACCAATAAACTCATAAGAGATTATAATCCAAAAGGAGATTAACTGATCTTCTCTCTTCTCACAGCATTTGGTGTTTAACTCTCTGACAAACTGTTTGGGCCCCAGAAAACTGCTGCACAGCGGAAAGGTGAGCGAATCTGAATCGATAAAAGTTGATCTGCATGTTCTGAAGAAGACAGAAAGTTTAACAATTTAAATGTTTTTAAATGTAATAAATGACAAGGTAGATAAAATCTTTACATATAAGCCCTTACAATGTTGGTTTTTTTTGTTTGTTTTTTTGCAAAAACAAAATCAATACATTTAACTCTCCTAAAAATAATCTGAACATCCCTAAAGCAACAAAAATATCTGACATTTTTTTCCACAACAGTTTCAGACAGAAATTTCCATATCAAATGTATTGTAATGTATTTAGTTGTAAATGAACACATCACTTTATGTTGGGAAAAATGAAGGATCAAAAATTACAAATTCTCTGTCAGTGTCAGAGTTGCAGTTTTTGGAAAATTCTACAAATAAATAAAATTTGGCAAATTTGAGGAATATTCAACCCAAAAAGAACCCAAAGTGTCCCTTTGCGCTCTTTTAAAATGCAGATCATCTTGTCTTTTCAAACTGTAATTGAATTGTTTTTTAATTATTTAATGTGTCTCTTTTTCAGATGTACAAGGCAAAAAGCAACAAGGAGCTCTGGGCTTTCCTTTTCAACGACTTCCTGCTTTTAACTCATGCTGCCAAACAGTTCACCTCTTCTGGGCCTGACAAGCTGTTCAGCAAGAGGAACCACGTCCAGCTCAAGATGTACAAACCAGTAAGAAACGTCCGCAGAAACCAGTTTCATTTTTAACATCCATCAGTCAGAAGTGTGTCCAGTTTCTTCAATCTCTGCAGTTTTGAAATTCTGAAGATGGAAGTTGATTGGATTAATCAAGATGAATCGATCATTTAACTTGTGAACTAATTTTGTAATTATTAATTAACTGGTATATACAGACTCAAAAAACATCCCAATTGCAGAAAAACAAAAACAAAGTCAGAGCAGCAATTTAACTAAACCTTTGTCTGTCAGTATGTATGAGCCCGAAATTGATTATTTTGCATATTTACCATATTTCTAATATTACATAAAAAGGCTTAAATAGAACATTTGTAGTCTGTTAATTTTCTTTCAATCTGATTAATCATCAGAATAATCATTAACTAAAATAATCAATAGAAAAAGCATTTTTAACCATTCAGTCTGTTTGGTCGTTGATTTTTACATTTAATGTCGTTAGCATCACCCAGGACCCTCCACAGTGTTGAAATGTTTTCTTTAATCTTGTGACTTAAATGGACGGATTCTGCAGTGTCTTCTTCAAAAAGTTGCAATCAAAGTTGCCAGCTTTATTTATGTTTTGTTAAATAATAGCATGCTCTTACAATCAATTTGAAATTTCTAGACAAGGCAGGAAAACAATATTCTCACTAAGTACTCCACAGTTTATAAAAGTAGTGAACTAAACCGACAGAAGGTGAAGAAATGACACATGAGAAAGTGAAAACCCGTTTTCTGTTCTCCACAGCCTGTTCTTCTGAACGAGGTTCTGGTGAAGCTTCCGGATCCCTCCAGCGACGAGCCCATCTTCCACATCTCCCACATCGACAAAGTCTACATGCTGCGGACCGACAACATCAACGAGCGGTAGCTGCTCACCAGCTAGCATCACTCTGATAAACTCAGCAGATTCAGTGTTTTCACGAACTCTCTGTGTGTCGTCAGGACTTCCTGGGTTCAGAAGATAAAAGTGGCTTCTGAGGAGTTCATCGAGACTGAGAAGAGGAAGAGGGAAAGGGTTTATCAAGGTTGGTCATTCAGAGTGGCCATGTTTGGCTCTGCTGTGTTTTGGTCTGAGTTAGACGTTAAAACCGTCAAACGTATGTTTGCAGCTCGTTCTATAAAGGGCACTGGCATCGGCAGACTCCTCGTCACCATCCTGGAAGCCACCGAGCTCAAAGCAGCAAAACCCAACGGTGAGACTCCTTCTCCTCATCTCCCTGCTTCACGTCCCCGTTGTCCTCAGACTCGTCGTATTTCTTTGTTTTCTGCAGGTAAAAGCAACCCGTACTGCGAGGTGACCATGGGCGCTCAGACGTTCACGTCCAGGACGATCAACGACACCCTGAACCCAAAATGGAGCTTCAACTGTCAGTTCCACATCAGAGATCTCTACCAAGACGTCCTCTGCATCACTATCTCTGAAAGAGACCAGTTTTCACCAGATGGTTAGCTGCAAATCAAATCCTTTTACCTCTTGGTTAAATACTATAATATTTATCCGCTTCTGATCTCTAAAATCCAATCCGAGCAGCACAATTCCTGGCTGATTTCTGCCTTACAACCCAAAAAAAAGCTGCATAATTAATTTTTTAGCCGCTCTAAATAAGAACTAACTGTTTTAGTTTCATGTGGACAATACGAATAAAGAATTTTATCACAATATTTTCTCATAATATTGTGATAACTATAAAAATTATAATAAAAATGTTACTAATTACTTCTTTTTTAAGTAATTGTACGGCTGTGACTCCCAGCATTCAAAGCACTACAAACACAAATTTCTAAAAACATTCCCAAGGTGGATATAGCTAAACACAGGATAATCCTAAAAAGAATTCTGCTAACAGAGACATTTTTATTTAAAATCAACTTTTCTTTTATGTTTACATTATGTAATGATGTCAGCCTGGAGTGTTGCTTTGGTTCTTTCATGCATGTCTGAGAAATCCTTTAATTCAAATTAAAGAATACTTTATGAATCCCAACAGGAAATTAAGTGTTGTTGTAACTTATATTAATTGTAGACAGTGATGGCTGTTGGCAGGAAACATCTCCTGCAGCAGTCTGTGTTGCAGTGAATTTGAAGTCGCCTCTGACTGAAGAAATTCAGAGGAAGGTGGTCCTCTGAAGATGATGGTCAGGGTTGTCTATAATTTTCTTGACTTTATGAAGAATCCATAATAAGAATCTTTCATGGAAACTATTTTCATACATTTTTTTACCTTTTTTTTCAATCTGTATACTCACGTTAATAATTAATTGACTAATAAATTAGTTGATGATTAAAAGTTTCAGCCCTACTCACCTCACTAGTACGCACTACCTTAATTCAGGACTATAAGGGCATTTAGCCTTTAATTAAAAGAAAAAACACGCCTTATAATTTAGATTGCCTTACATATTGATCTGGAGTAAAACAGCGCCGTCTAGTGGATTAATTTGAATTTATTCTGGTTGTGCTTACTCAGCTTGAAGAGGTTTTGTGTGGCCCACGACGCTCTGTCAAAATGTTTTGGTTACATTAGGGCTACCGTAGTCAGCAGCGTCGCTCAGTAATTTGTACTAGGCTTTGACTGACTGACTTCTGCTTCTATGAGGGGCATTGTTTCACTTAATGCCCCTCATAGTCCAGAGCACTTTACATATGAAATGATTAAAAATAGACTGTGTATTAGACAGTGCCCCTTACAATGCAGTGCCTCGTGTAATGCAGAAAGTACAGTATTTCATCCTGGTTTATCACATAAAATCGCAATGAAAGACGTTAAAGTTTTTCTTTAACGTCGTTAATTTTGACGCTCCACCGTTTCGTCTCTCTCTCCTCAGGGTTCCTTGGGCGGACGGAGGTTCCTGTGGCAACCATCAAGAAGGAGCTGGAGAACAAGGGACCGGTGAATCGGCGTCTTCTTCTGCACGAAGTCCCGACCGGGGAGGTGTGGGTCCGACTCGACCTGCAGCTCTTCAAATAGCAGAGGGACGCAAAGGAGAACTGTCCTTCTCAGAAACTTACCAAAGACGACAAGAAGCAGAAAAGCCCTGGACTGGTTCCTGTACAACGCCTTAAAAATGCAAAACTAACCTGAACTAATACCTCTGACGCTGCCGCCCAGTCCTCTGGATCAGCCATCATCTGCATCCAGGAGTGTTTGTTTCTACTTTACTTACTTGATTAAGGAAAGCAAGAGTTTCTATCCAACAAATGCTTCTTAATCAGAGGACAACCTTTTGTTTTATTTTTTTAAACGGTTAAATCAGTGAAATTACCCGTCATTTTTTTACTTCTCTGTTGCAAAAGTCGGGTTTTATTCTCCCTTTGCCAAATCTTCTCATCCGATTCCAGCCATTGAGTTCATGATCAAGTGGTTTTATTCCAGCTGTCAGGACACTAGTATGTTAAAGTGTTAATATTTATTTTTTTTGCGACTCACGCTGTTTGACTCGTTTTCATCACAAGCGTCACAAACGATGGACGACAGATGACGGACGGCAGCGTGAAGCGCCTCCGACAGCGGGACGAGAAATTTCAGATTGTTGCTGTCTTCTGCGCTGGGTTTACTGAAGTAGGCAGAAGATCTCCGGACTCGATGGTTTGAGTTCATTTCCTGTTTTCTGGTGTGTTTATGTCAATATACGTGTGAAGTTTAAGGATTCCCAAGTGGGGAGAAGTTGATGAAACGATGATGGAGGCTTTGATTTCTGCAGTTAATTTAGAGAAATATCACGTTAAGACTTAAATTGTTCAGATAAGTCAGTCTTCTTTGCTTTTTTTCAATCAAAGCCAAATAACTTTAATGAATTCATAAGACGCCGACCTCTTCCTGTGTTACTCTTACAGACTCAGGATTTAAGGAGGATAACATTTGAAGGCGGCACAAACTAATTATTACTAGTTGATCCTTTTGCTCCTGTTTAAACGTCTGTGGCTTCAGGAGTTAAATTCAGCAAATGCAGCATTATATCCTGGTCAGGTTCCCAGACTGAAAACTTCTATAGTCTATGGAAGCCCTGTAGGGTCATTTGTGTGTTTTTAGGGCTCTGACCAAATTTATCTTCTCATTATCAGCCAGTGGGGAAAAAATTGTTTTGGTTGCAATATTTTTTATTAATTTTCTTTTTAGAAAATAAATTATAATTTATTTTTATAGCTATTCTAATTTTTAGAATATATATTTATAGAATATTCTATAAATATTCTATAAATATACCATTCTTATTGTTGCTAATAAATGTAAATTTCAATTTGAATGAATCACAAATGGGGATAATTAATACTCGTATTATTAATGAGTGGAAGCTTATTCTTACCATAATTAATACTAGTAATATTGGCATTAATGTATTATTACTATTATTGAGGATAACTGATCCTGTTTACATAATCAGTGATAACTTTGTACATTCTTACTGATGGGATAAAATGCCGATAATAATGATATAATAATACATTCTGTAAAAGCAAATAAAGAATATAAAAATTAATCAGCTATTAAAAAAAGGAGAGAAATTGTATTAAAGTCAAACACAAAAGGAAAAATGAAACTTGCCCAGACATAATTATTATTTGCTTTGTTTTCCCTTTTGACCAAAACTCACTTTTTTATTTCATTCAAATTAAAAGAGAATATAAAAATATTTCCTTTCATAAATACTTTTCTTATTTGCTCATAACTCATAAAGTTAGATGGAAAAAAAAATCAATTAAAATAAAATAAATTTATCCCCCTTCAGGTCTTCCATACATTTGCCTTATTTTCTCCTGAATACAAACAGACTTTATATTTATTTCTTTATTTATGTGTGTGACTATCTGGAGGCCTTTTCTGCACCGTCAGCTGGTTTAAGTCGAGGTGTTAACTGGTAGAAGTCTGACCTGCTGCATGTTCTTTCAGTTTCGTCCCGTCCAGTCGGTTTGTTTTAAAGTGTCGTATTAACAAATGTTTTTCGGACTCCTAGAAAATGTGTTACATGACGTGATTATGTCTTATCTGTATATTGGTGGTGAAGTTGCCCAGAGTTTTAGTTTTTATTTTCTGTTTAGTCTGCGATGGCTGCCGCAGTGCCTCACGAACAGTGTTTTGGCCTTCACGTGACACTGAATCAGGTTTTTAGAAGGCAGAATAAAGACATTAAAGCTGATAAAACCGTGGGATTTCTGACTGATGGTGTGTAATAATAGATAAACAATTTCTGTTCTGATAGTATTGCTTCAAAACATAAACAATTCTATCACATACAAAAGTAAGCCATAGAAACCTTTGAATCTGAGGAAAGTTGGACCAATAAATCTATTTATACAAGCATTGAGCTAATAAAACAAATTAACCGAGTTACAGAAAAAAGGTCTTTGTATTGAATGTGAATGTCTGGTTTCAGTTCTAGATGAAAAACTGCTCCAGGTAAAATATTACAATAAAATGTTGAGACAGAATAGATTTAATTTTATTATTTTTAGCAAAATATTTTTGTAATTTGTCACTTAAAAATGCAATCACATATCAGCTTGAATAAGTTTCCTTTGTAGTCATTACATCAAAAATTAGGAATTTAAATTAGCCAACATAAAAACAAACATGTTTTCATATATATAATTATTTTCACAGCACAGCTCTGAAATTTCAGGCTCATATCCAAAATAGTGTAGAATAAAAAGATTGTAAAATATGTTACAACCTGGGTTTGTATTTCCTTTTTACCCTGGACATATTTGAACTGATGCTACTTGATACCATAAAAGAAAATATCTGGTATTTATAACCAGATATTTTCTGGCTTCTCTCGTCTCCTGGCCAAAAGTCAGTAGAGTGGACGCCAATGGACCTCAGTGAATCCTTCTTCACACTCCACCGACTCCAACTGGGGCTACAGAGCAGCAGCCATTATGCAACCACACCGCAGCTGACTGGACTAAATTAGCTGAACCTCGTCCCCTGAAGTGGCGCTAATGGAGTAGATGACATAACGTTTCCAAATGTGTTGCACCTGCTCCATTGTTTGGCTTTTGTTGCAACGGGGAAATCATACCATGGGATACACTGAAGCTGTATGTAAGAGAAATTATTGCAAATTGCACAATATGTTTTACTATTTTATTAGACAGTTTTCTGGACACAAACTGCAAAAACACAAAATCCTACCAATTGTCTTGTTTGTAGTGCAAATATCTTAGTATACTTTAAATAAGACAAAACCAGCAAGTAACTTTTTAACAAGGTATAGGAGGCTGTTTCCAGTCTGTCATTTCTTAATACTGACTAGAAAACTATCAAGTTTACTTGCAGATTTTTTTTTTGTTTTTAAGTAACAAAACATTTCTCCACGTTGTAAATGAAATAATCTCCCAGTGAAACTACTGGATTTTCCTCAATCATAAGGAATTACTTAAGCTCCTATATCTTGTCAAAAATATATTTGTATGTTAGTTTTGTCGTATTTCAAGCCTAAGAACCTATTTGTACTAGAAACTAGACAAAAATACTTGCTGTTATTTTGTATTTTTTACAATGCACTGAGCTTTAAATTAATGTAACTCATGAGATTCAGCTTTCCACAATATTGTTAAATTAAAATTTTCATTTTATTGGACATTTTTCTTATATTGGATAACAACAGCCTGAGTAGATACAAAAAGCAGTTTTCAAATGATGATTTTTAAGGGGAAAAGCTTCCCAAACCTGCAGGACTTTCTAATAGGGAGCAAAATTTATGATTAACATCAATTATGGTAAGTTGTCTGACATTTTTAGGAAGCAATCCAACCACAAACCACCATTTTGTGTTATTTTTCAGTCAGATGACAAACTTTTGTCTTGCTAGCCAACAAAATATTTGATCAAAAGCCCTGCAGTTCCTTAATATTTAATATAAGATGTTTCATTGAACATGTTTGGATAGGTCTGAACAAATTATGCTCTTTACACTTTTTACATAAAATCACTCTGAGATCATTTTGAGCTCCTTTCTGAATGACCTTTTTGGGGCTCTGTCACTTTAAATCCGAATCAGCGGCTGGTGACCCCAACTCAACATTTACACTCACCTGAAGAAAGCTGTAACTCAGGTGACGCGCTGTCATAAAGCCGCGCATTTAGAAGTGATTCAAGTGGTTTCTGGATGGTAAGACGACAACAAAACACCGTTTTCCCCCCCGGCAGCCATATTACACCTGATACGGTGGTAAAAACCAAACGCTCTGGAGCTCCACTGGGGTTGACTGTGACTTAACATCTGGAAAGTTTTTAAAACTGCTCTTTCTCCGACACAAAAACATTAAATTATTGCCAAAGAAAAGAACTGGGTGGTTTTTTTTCAAGCACTTGGTCTTTTTTCAGAAGCAGTTAAGACTCAGATAGATGTTTGAAAATACTCAAAATGTGAATTTTATTCAGATTTTATGAGCCAGTAAACAAAAGGATATGTTTTATTATGTATATAACCCACAGAGTGTGTATAAACTAGTTTCACTTATAACACTTAAATAACAGTAAGAGAACAATCTACCACATAGCCCATGTAACCAAAATGACCCTTAAAAGCATGGAAAATGTAGGGAGACTGTATGGACAGATATTTTATATTAAGGCATTAAATAGAAGAAAAGTGCAATAGAGCGGAATAGGATCAGCTTAAAGTCAGAGCAGGAACACATAATAAGACATAGAAAGAGGTTACAGAGACAGAAAGAGACGTGTGCAGAGAGGATGAGTCCGAGAGGCCCTCAGTCCCACTTGACTCAGTCATGGGAATGATTATTATCGCCACATGAACAGCTGTCTTATATAACACACACACATTTGGTTGTTCTGCTATCCCCATGGGGACACTTACCCACAATGTATTGTCCACAGCCCCTCACCCAACCCTGAACCGAAACAACTTAACCCGTACCCTAAAACCAAGGCTTCATCCTCGAGCAGCGGTCTGGACCAGACAGGAGCGCCCCACAGGACCGGGATGCCTAAAGTACCCTCAGGGACATGAAAGCAAAACGCACACACAGAGATAACTTGAATATAACGAGGTCTGTGTTCTGGCCAAAAGTCCTGGCCGAGTAAAGGTGCCCCATAGCTACAGAGACTCTGGGTAATAAAAGAGACAGTCCATGTCTCAGAAAAAGCAGGGCCAGTCGGTTCTCCTGCTGTGAAATATATGAATTAAAGAAACAGCTTTTACAGCACCTGGTTCTCCACAGTATCAGTTTAATATTAATAAACTATTTTGGGAAGTCAAATAGAAGTGAAACTGTAAACATTTTGACAAAGATTTTATCGGAATCCCTCTAGATTTATTTTTATTATTTCATATATTTCCTTTCTCTGACAATTGGCTTGATGGTGCCACGCTGCACTACACTGCAAAAACACAAACACTTACCATGATTCTTGGTCTAGTTTCATCCAAATATCTCAGTAAACTTGGATTAAGACAACAGACAAATAATTTTCTAGTGACTTTTTCATCAGGAAATAGTGACTTAAAACAAACTCATACGTCTCACTGAAAAGTTACTTGTAAGCTCGTTTTGTCTTATTTTAAGATATCTTACTAGAAACTCAACAAAAAAATACTTTTTATTGAGTCTTGTTTGAGGTTTGTTACTGGATTAAAAGACAGAAATTAGAAGAAGCATGACATCAGCAATTCAACCCTTTTTCAATAACAGATAGGAGCCTCAGAAATGTGTGCAGGAGCTAAACATTCACAACAGCCTGGCACTTCCTGTTCATGCTGGTCGCTAGCTTGGCCACACTCTGCTGTGGGATGCCGTTTATTAATCAGCATGTTTAAAAAAAAAAAAAAAAAAAAAAAAGATAGCCACTGTGGATGTGATGAATACTCTGGCATTATTATGCAAAATTCTCATTTCTATGTTTCTGTACTTCCATTTGGGTCTCAACAGTTTCTAGAAACATCGAGACATTTTTATGGGAATATACTAATATTTTTGGGGGTCTGAAAAATGAGCCGTTTCAAAAATCTTCCGATTATTAAGTCATAGTCGAAGGGCACTGCATCATTGCCAGCTGAGCTCCTGCACAGCTGGTTTGAGACAAACACTCTGAAAAACGGAGTATTTTTGTTATTGTTTTTTTTTTTTTGTTGCCGTTTTGTTTTTCAATTAGCATTTTTTTTCCAGGTCATACTTCTATCTAGTTTTATGCATCATGACTGTTTATAAAACCCAAAGAAGAGCTGTGATATTAATTTTATTGTCTCGTATAATGTGTAGTGACAATAAATCTAATCTAAACTGATATCTGAAGCTTGATATGTTTTTTTTCCCCCATGTTTACAAGTTATATATAAGTAATGATCTCACTACCTTAAACTTAGACGTCATTTATTTCCATTTTTCTCCACATCTATTTCTTATTTCCAGTAAAAATTTTCAAAATTTGTGAATTTGTAACTATCAACAGCTGAAAATAGTTCCCAAGAAACTACAACTAGTTGTTTTCTTGATTATTTTTGTTTAAATTACAGATTTAGCCTGCTTATTATTTTTTGCAGTTCCAACATATGCTCCACTACAGCATGTTATGGTTAATCTGTAGCTTTTATCCTAAATCATAGTTTTATTGGTAAAACAATGTTAGTGACATTTGTTCATTCTTTGGTAGTTAATGACTGATGATTTATCCGTCAGTAAAACCCAGCAGAGAAAACTGAGCTCCCCATCTTTATTTCTGTCCCTCAATATTTAACTGATGACAGATGATTCCTCACAGGATGCACTACATGGAGTTCAGACTCTTAATATTTCATCAACCTGTGCAGGAGATGCAAAAAATAGATGCACTGGTATGCAAGAGGTCCACATGTGGTACATTCAGCATGTACAGTATCAGATTGTGCTTAATGTTTATAATCTTTGATTAGTGTTTTAACATATTTAAGTTTGAAGCAAAAATATCAGTTTTTCTCTCTTTTGCTTCTTTAACACCTGTGATATTTTATCTACAGGAAAGCTTAAAGACACAGAAGCAATCATTGACACTTGAACCATAACTAGTCAGGCAAACACTTCTCTACACATACCATAAATAATTCATTTGTAAATGTGTTTGGATTTGGATTCAGCAACTTTGAGGAGATTTATGGGTTTATATTTTGAATCTGTTCTCTGGAAAAATGTGATTAGTTCACTAAAATTATTTATAAAACAGATTTCTGTTCCAGAAATGTTGCAGGTTTTCCCACTTTAATGTTACAATTTCAATTAAAAGCGGTTTTAGATTATCCAAAAATATCTTTTTGTTGATTTTACACCTAAGTGGAGAAAAACAGCAAAATGCTTAGAAATTAACTAAAAAACAAAATGAAAGGCTAAGATTAAAGGCAAACCTTACAGAGCTAAATTGGGGTCATAACGTTTGTTCTAAAGAAAAAAAATGTAAAGTAGAAAAAATGTATTTGAGAAAGAGTTTTCAGTTTCACATCTTTTAAACTTTTTTTCAATTTCATAAATTGCTTTTGGTCATAACGTAGCTCCATACATTACTGTCCACCGTTGAATATTAGCAGTATTCTCATGCATGTTTGACAAATACATTGTTTGTAGAGAAAATCCCTTCACTTCTCCACTTTTGGTACTTTACTGATCATATTTCCAGCTTTTTTTCTTCTTTTTTTTTCTAAATTTGTCACATGAAATCCAATTTGAACTCTTAATTATTGTTTGTCCTTGTCACTTCAAATTACTTCATTTATTTCAGAGCGCTTGCAGGCTGAGAGGATTATTGTCATTGAAGTTACCCTCCCGTTCACCTAACAGCGATGTACAATGTAGGATACGTACAGCGTTAACATTAAATTAGACGGCTTCACTCAGCAGGGGGTAGACGAGGGCGACGATACTAACCTCTGACAACTTGTCATTGGTGACAAAGGGATCTGTGAAGAGCTGCAGCAGCAAGGCATGATTGTGCAGGCATGCGGCAAAAAACACTGACGGTATAAGTTCATCTGCTTGATTTAAATGCAGTGCTGAAGAAGCTTTGCACTCAAAGAAGTTGGTAATATTTCTGAAGCTGGCTGCAGGAGCTAACTCAGATTTTCCCCTAGTTGTTTGAGAAATGCCGGTTGATTTGAGAAGTCGTTTAGTAAGTTCTGCCTCTCAGCTTTGTGGGGATGCCGGCGTGTTTTTCTTGCACATACCTGTTGAGAGCCGTTGGCCTGGAAAAAGCTGCCAGCCCCCCCAGCCAGAGGCGGGAAGATTTTCAGTCTTTTCCTGTTGCGTAACGTCAGCTAGAAAACTACCTGCCAGCAGGACAGGTTGGCTGATCAAAATTTAATAAACAGAATCTGGTCGACTTTAACCTAAATTAAACATGGTTTGCTGGCTCACCCTGGACATGCAAACTTCTGTTTCTTTATGTTTTTCTCATCAGAAGAATTTATACACTTCAAACTTTTAACATTTTATTACGTAGTTACATTACATAGATGTGTTCTTCAATGTTGGGATTTTATGATTATTTATACAGAGACAAGAAACTATGGGATTGTTCAACCTTTACAACCTGAGGAGACATTTTGCTCTCAGGAAAATAAAACTGGTTCAGAGCCACAAATGCCAGATTACTTTTTTGAAAAATTCAGGTTCGTTGTGAAGAATTTGACTTAATATGAGTTACTACAAAAATTTAGTTTCCATTTAGGATCAATAAGGTGTTTTTTTGAATTTTATGTGAATTGAATTAAATATATCATCTTGTGTTCTCAAGATTATCTCATGTTGAGAAAACCATCGGGAAAACGTAGATTTAGAATATGTCCGCTCTCAGCTTCCGTAGGTTTTTATCTCAGTTTTTGGTTGTCATAGGTATTTAAGCTTATTGCTCTTCAAGAGCGCAAACTTGCATTGTTATGCAATTATCAATATATTTCTTAATAATAGTCTCAAGACATCGATTTCATCGTTTATCGCAATAACGTTTGGGTCAGTTTATTGTTCTGTAAATTTGTTATTCTGACAGGCCTGCTTGTGACAAGTCTCACATTGTAACCACTGATTTAGTGACATGACAAATTGCTCTGTGTTTTCCTCTCCTCTCTCTAAACAGGAGTGGCACCCGGTCTGCATGTACAGTTATGTGAATGTGTGTGTGGCATCGCTGCCTGTAAGTGAGAAGAAGAAAAGGATGCAGAGGTTTGGCAGCGAGGGGAGAGGGAGATTCACTCGACCTGTCCGGGTCTTTCATGTCACATTTCTGCCCTCGCGATCTGACCTCTGGAACTCTGTCTGGAAAATAACCTGGAAAAACTAAAATGGAATAGTGGAAAACTGCCCTCTGGAAAAGAGTCGGAGCAACGCACCTCCTCTTCCTCCTCCTCCTCTTCTTCCTCCTCTTCCCTCCGCGTCCTGCTGCTGCATCAGACTGGAGAACTGAAGAGAAGAATGAAAGACGTTTTTAATTTGCTCCTGCAGAACTCAGGGAGGGGCGCTGGAGCTTGTGTGCCCAAGTGAAGGCTTTATGTGGATTTATGCATCTGATTGTACAGTTTGAACTGTTTTAGTTTCTGTGTAAGAGGAAAGAGCAAATAGTGAAGGGAGAGGGGAGGAGAGCGATGAGCAGTGAGATGAGATGACTACAAAGGACAGGAGTAAAGAGGAGAGTTGAAGAAGAGAAAGCAGAAGACTGGAATCTGGATCCTGTTATTATTAAACTGTAAGTATAACAAAATACCTAATATTTGCTAAAAACTGCACTTTTTGGTAGTCCAGATGCAAGTATTGTGCAGAAAGTCTCCTCTGTATCCCTTTTTGTCTCGATATTTAACACTGCTCCTGCTCAGTTTGTCGACTTTCTGCTGCTTTCTTTGCATTTTTGTCTCATTTGATTGTTTCTGTTCTTTCTGCGTGTCACGTTAGCAGCAGGAGAGGGAAAGGCCACTGTCACATCGTGTTAGTGTTATTAGACATGCACAGAGGGAGAAATACACTTCAGCTTCAATGAGAGCATTCTGGAAGATGTGTGTGTGTGTGTGTGTGTGTGTGTGTGTGTGTGTGTGTGTGTGTGTGTGGGGGTGTGTGTGTGTGTGTGTGTGTGTGTGTGTGTGTGCTTAGAGGCAGAGTTGTAGGAGCGCCAGTTTTCTCAACCAACATTTTGCTGTGTAATAATCTCGTTAGTCACAGCAGAAAGGTAAAGATTACACTCTGTGATACAACAAGTATCAGAATTACTTTGTTCCTAAATGTTTTCTTAATTTAACAAAAAAAGAAATAAAAATTAGCAATGAGAATACAGCATGTACACCAAGAGCAGATAGTCCTAGTCTGAGAATTGTAAATACATGTGTTTTATTTTACAAGGTTAATGTATTTGAATTACTTCACACATTGAAATAACTAAAATTACAACCTGGTCATTAATAATAAAATGTATTTTCAATGCACTTTTACGCTATTATCCAGTCATTAGAAGTGAGCAGATATTAAAGTGCACTGTAAAATAAAAAGGCATTTTTTTTCTTCTCTGTTCAATATTAAGTTCGACTAAATTTTACCTGCATACGACGACCAAAACTATTTTAATTTGAACGTTGCCGGAATGATGACAAAGAACAAGATTTTCTTTTTTTAGATTTTTAAAAATGTATTTATTCAAATTCAGAAGTTCACAAGAAAGCTTTTAAATATTTGGGAAAGCCAAATATTTATGATCTCAAGGCTTTGTTAGATTCAAATTTATTCATTTAATTTTTCTTTGGAATCAGTTAAGTACTTTTGAATTTGAATTAATTCACAACTTACTGTCATAGGATGAGATCTCAATAAAAAAAAAATCATATTACTTTTTAGATACAACAAAAGGATTTTGACCCTGTTTTTTTTTTTACCTTAATTTTTATTAAATGTTAAAATCACTAACATTCAGGATTTTTACTAAAGTGCAGACTTGTACACACAAGTCATTCAACATTAAACTTGGATGAGTTTTCAAAGAATATTGCTTTATTATTGTTTTTGTAAAAAGTCCTTTATACACTGACTTTTATTAAGAGAATGGGGTTCACACTGGAGAACACAAGTCGCATTTATTTGAATGACCACAGCAAAAAAAATGTTTAATTTCACAAAAAATCAGAATTGGGTCACTTCATGCCACAGTGTGAACGTAGCCCAATACAATCTCATATAATATCTGTTTTGTGAATAAGGCTGTTGTTCTACTATATGTTGTGCAACTCATGAAGTATTTATTATGCAAGTATATAATTTTAATTAAAAATAAATGCAGTTGTACAGTTTTTATTATACTGTAAGAATGCGTCCCTTTATCACGCATGTTATTGTTTTTATTCCTTAGTGACTCCCACCAGAAACGTGACGCCTGTTTCTTTTAAAAGAATATTTTGTGTTTTCTATTTAAAATCGGGCGAATGGACAGTGTCAGTGATGGATGCAGCTAGATGACGGTGTTAGGTTATAGCTTGTGTTGTGTTGACTCCTGGGCAGAGTGGCGTTGATGACGTGGCTGGAGGCTTTGAGTGTCTGTCTGATGACATTACATAACTGTGATGCTCAGTTGCCTGATATCAGAGTGAGATATTCATTAGATGCCTGTTTTAAAATCTGGGCTTGTAATAACCTTAAATAAAAAAAGTCATGTTGACGCGTTTCCTGCTGTAAGTGGAACTGTCGCATCCAGACTTTGGAGGGAAAACAGCAGAGGGTGAGAAGGAAGGGCAGCCGCTTCCTGGAGCTTTTCCACACACCGTCACAAAGCGACTCTGACAGTCGGTGAATTTAGAAGTGCTTTGAGGTTGTGTTCACGCTATGGTCAACAGCCACGCTGCTGAATTCCTCGGTTAGTTTTGTTCAACAATTCAAACCCTGATGTGGTGCTTTTCTGAGAATGAACAGGTATGACAGGGGGGGAAAAAATCTGGATGCTTTCAGAAATGTGACAGCCGAAACACACATCTGTCCTCCAGCATGCTGTCTTTTTATTGCAGGTCAGTAGTGCTGTCTTTCTGCATTTTTACAGCTGAAGACATCCTGAGAAATTAGGCCACTTTGATCTCCTCAGAGTGCATCATGCATTTTTTATTTATCAGAGTTTAAACTCGTGCCCTGCCTTTATAGCTTCTCGTCACTGGAGTACAACATTTAGGTTTTAACGTTCGTGTTTTCGCCACAGTTTAAAAGTTAAATGTTTAAAGACAGTGTGAAGCAATTTCTAGATGTTAAAAAAAGAAGCTGCTCTGTCTTCACAGATATTTTCTTACACTGGATAGGAGGAAAAAACAAACAATACATATCCTGCATATTTCACTGACATTTAATTCAACTCCACTCACCCTGTTTTGGTCAGTGGGTTTTACTGCTCTATGCGGTGAACAGTGACTACTGGAAGAAGCTGTTGACTTACAATGTAGAAACCACTTTCTTGATTCTTGGGGCCAGCAGCAGCTTATTTGGATTTAAAGTGACAAGACGCTCTAAAACAGCTCAATCTGAAAGGAGCTCACTGAACTGAGCAGGCTGAAATCTCATTATCTAGGAATAATTTTGTGCAATCAGAATGGAATGAGCATGTTTTGTGACCTGACCGAACCTGTTCAATGAAGCATATTAGGTGACCTTTAAGGTTATTCTTGTATAAAACAGTGAACCTAAAGGACTCTGAGCAAACGTGTTTAATATTCTAGTTGCAGAGCTGAACACAAAAGCAGAACCACAACAAAAGCTTAAGTGGGACCCTGGAAGGTGATGTGCCAGAATGTGAAAGGTTGAACGCAAGAATTTGTCACACAGGGCATTAACTTTTACATTATGTTGGCATTTTTACCTCCTACAAATATGTTATAAGGATAAAACAAACGCCTATGCTCATCAGTGTTTTTTTTCTGTCAGGTTTATTTTCACAAAACACACTAAAAAGGGATCTTCTGCTCTTTATGACCTTTAAATGTCTAATTAGGATGCATTAATCAGTGACCACAGCAACATAGAGAGAAGCAATTACAGTAAAATATTAACTTGTATCTAAGAGTCATTTAAAAGTCCAACCAATAAATATAGTACAGGTTAGAAATACTTTGTTGAAGTTGGAAGAACATTCTGACTTAAAGATGAGAGCACCAGTAGCAATGGACTGGGATTTTTAGGAACTTAATCCACAGAGTCAAGTTTAATCCAATCACTGAGTGGTACAACTTCATGTTCACTGCATCTCATCTTCTTGTACCATCACTACTTATTTCCACTTGGAGGAAGAGCTTATCCCTTGTAATGCCATTCATTGGTTTTTGCCAGTCATAAACACTGAAAACATGCAACATCAACTAATTTGGGGTGAATAATAGACCTTTTTCACGCTACCGGGTTTGAAAGCGGATGTGGGGTTGGACAACTTCCGGTGGCTATAGCGTTAGCATTAAAAGGCTAGGAAAATGGCTCAGTCTCGGCGCAGTTGCTTTTGTTCAGTCCCTGGTTGTTCATGTGGGGCAAGAAAACAGCCTTATCTGTCATATCATGCGTTCCCGACGGACCCGGACCAACGGAGGCAATGTATTTTAATGCAACGTAAAGCAGATGGGATACATTCTGGAAAGTATCGACAACTTCAACCTTTCTGATGGTGACCTTTCGGGGGTGATAAAGTTCATCAGAGTCATGAGCTCCTTTCAGTACGTTTTCCACTCAGGCTGGGATTTTGGACATTTATCTGTGGTGACATGGTCACTGTGTGAGCACTGAGCAACACCTGCCCTTTTCCACGTGCTCCACACAAAGGTCAAGTGTACAGACCCGGCTGCCTGGGGATTATTTCACTGCAGCCAGGGAAGAAGAAAAACGAGGTGCGAAAGTGAGGTGCGAAAGTGAGATGAGTTTAGTTCGCTGTACATAAGCAAGTATAAATGCGAAAATAGATTAACTGCTTTAAGCAGCTGAATTGTGAGTAAATTAAAGAGAACCTATGATACTTCCTTGAACAGGTTATTGTAGCTCTATGGGCTACACAAATCATGTTTGTTACATTTGTTACACAAAATAATTCTTATGACATAAGATTGTCTTGTCACTTTAAATCCAAATTAGTTGTTGCTGGCCACGCCCCACAAACTCAATCTTGTCTTAGAAAAGCAGAAGTAGAGCCTCCTGCACAAACAACAAGAATGCAGCAAGTAGTAAGTCAGTAACAAAACACTTGTCTTTTCCAGCAGCCATTGTACAGCACATACAACAATAAAACCAGCTGGCTAAATGTGCTGGAGCTCGGCTTCGGTTGCTAGGGAACAGGCTGGGTTGCTAGGTAACAGGCTGGGTTGCTAGGTAACAGGCTGGGTTGCTAGGTAACGATATTGATCGTGGAATGTGACTTAACGATCGGGGTTTGTGAAACGGCTCATTTTCTAGGCATCAAAAAACATTAACTTATTGCCTAAAAACTCCTGAATGTTTTTTTTAGGAACAGTTGAACTGTTTTTAGAAGCAATTGAGGCCATAATGTAAGTATAAACATTGTTATTGTCTATAAAAACCTGCAAAATGTGAATTTTGCATAATAAATCCCCTTTAAATAATGATCAATTTCTTCTGGTGTGCTTCTTTCGTTGCACATGCCTGCAGTTACGAATCATTTGCCATGACCTTGTATTGTGATGAGTTTGTTCTGCGTTAACCATGATCTAAAACTATTGATTCATAAGGAAACTCAGCTGAACATTCTGCTGTTTTATCCAGTAGTTCACATTTTTCATCTTGATTGTGTTTTTAATAAGGATGTTACTTTTTTAAGGTGAATTTGAAATCCTTTGTAGGCACTAATAAATGAATTGCTTTATTAATATTACTAATGATATTATTTCAAATGCTTTGCAGAATTGTTAGTTTGGATGTGACAGAGCCATTCACTAACTCTTCTGCTTTTTCCTAAAAACCTGACAATCCAGGAGGAGAGATGAGGCACTGATCTATCTTCTCCAGGAACTTATACCGATCTCATCTCTGCCACAGCATGAGCACTCCAACCCCCGGAAGCCCAAACATGGAGGTGAAGATGCCTTCCCAGGAGATGGCGATGCTGAGCAACCTTTTGGCTGCTTACACTTTCATTGCAGGTAGGATCAACAATTCATGCGGGACTGTCTGTGATCAGTCTTTTAACTACGGCCCTCACATATTTCTGTGTTGAACAAGCATTTGAAACATCAATGGCTCAAACATTGTACTCAAGTAAAAGCAAAAACTGTCCAATAAGTTACTCAAGTTAGAGTGTAAAAAGGTTTCTGGTTTAAAGGCGAACCAAGTACTGAGTTAACTGATCAAAACATCTGATTTAATATTTAAAAATTACATCATCAGACAGAAAACATTGTAAAGTTATGTCCAGATTCTGTTTTTTAAAATGAAAACATTCAAATAAGTAGCAGGAGATCTTTCCTGTCAACAGCCATCACTGTCAACAATAACTCTTCGAAGACTTTGAATTAATATCAGTTACAAGGTATTAATTCAAATATTCAAACATTTAATTTCCCTTTGGGAATTTGAATTTTTGAAGCAGTAAATGAATAACTAAAACATGAATTTGTGCAAATACATCGTCAATGGAAACGTAGCTCTCTGTTTCAAATCAGACTAAACCTTCCCACCGTTTTTTATCTTGATTCTGTAAATATGAGGAATCAAAGGTGGAAACTAGATGAAGATCAGGCAGTGGAAACAGGAAGTTTGATTCCAGATGAAGAGTTTGAAGAAGCAGTGAAAGGAGGAGATGCAGAACGTAAAGACAGAGGAGGATGAAACCATCAGCTGCCCGTTTAACTCTGAGTTAATTGTTGCTTCCCTTTATCGCAGACCAACCTGAGAGAACAGCTCTTGTGTTCCTCGGCGGTGTGTGTGTTGGTCTCCTGGTCACGCTGTGCGCCATCGTCTTCCAGATACACTGCCGAGCGGACTGCCACTATGGCAACAGCAACGACCTTCAGAATCGCCAAAGGGTCAGACATCACCGTCGCCAGCGCCTCTGTGCCCGCCCTCAGCTCACAGACGGCAACCCAGACAACGCCGGTGCTGTGGTTGTGGCCTCTGGAGTGACTGGGAACACTGGGGACTGTGAGCCAGAGGACTGGGATGACACGTCTGACCTGTCAGCACGGCGACGCAGGCGCTTCGAGAGAGCTCTGCTGAACGCCACCATGTTCACATCGTCTGAGGGTATCTGTCACAGAAACACTTTTGAATGGTTCCCCATCATTTAGTCTCCTTCAATCAATCAATCAAGTTTATTTGTACAGAACATGTAAGCAGCAAGGCAGCTCAAAGTGTTTTACATAATAAAAACACAAGATTACAAAGTTTTAAAGAAAACACCATGCAGCCAACAATTGAACAAACGTTACATTTTGATGAGTGCCAACACTAAAATCGGACACATTAAACATGTTGGTCAATGTTTCATGTGTTATGTTCAATAGAAACTCTAAACAGGAGAGTTTAATGAAAAACATTATGTTACAAATATGCATTCAAGCTGCAAATGTGAATTCAGCTGTTGTTACCTTTGATTAAGATGCGTTAAAGAGCTTAAAATAAATCTAATAAACTGATCTCACGCTCTAAGTTCTTTACTCTCTGGGGAAAAATAGGAGACCATTATCCAAAATGTACTTTTTTCACATTTTTCTTCTTCCACTTGGGACCCAATTGTGTCTAAAATCAGCCCAACACTTAAAATAAACCACGCATCTGTTTTATGGCTTGATGTCAATGTTTTTTGGTGTCTGGAAAATGAGCCATTTCAAAAGCCTCCTAATTGTTTAGTCAAATTCGGTGCTGTCACCGAGCAACATCTACCGAGCCCAGCCCGTCACCGAGCAACCAAAGCATAGTTCCAGTACTTTTGGTCAGCTGGTTTTACTGCTTCATGTGCTGTACAGTGGTTGCTGGAAAAGTTGCAAGTTTTGTCGTTGACTGACTTCAAAACACAGCTCTCAGTTTCTAAATTGGTGAAATATTATAATTAATGTAAGAGGTACGACTTGAAGATTTAGGACAATAAGGTTGTTGTTGGCATCTGTAAGAGTCCAGCAAGAGAAACATGTTAAATGTATGTGAAATGTTCAATCCAGTGTGTTAGAAACGGTGATGACACAAACATAATCAAACATTGAGGCAGGGCTAAGAATGACCGAAGAAGAAATGGTTTGAAACCTCTGCTCACCAAGTAAAACACTAAATAAATAACTCACCAAATGGATGAAAATTATTTTTTATGATAAGGTTTTCTTGTAAGCTCTGAGTTTAGCTCTAATGTTCTGGGTTTCTGCCCACAGTCCAACTTTATGTGGTAAATGAAACGAAATGTTAAGTTCTAACAGGAAGTCAGGTTTGTTTAAAAGTGTCTGCTTGTGTGTCTTTAGAGCTGGACCGGGCCCAGCGACTGGAGGAGCGGGAACGGGTTCTTCGAGAGATCTGGATGAATGGACAACCAGACATCAGCACAGTGACCCAAAGCCTCAACAGATATTACTGATGGAAAACCAAAAAGACAGGCAGTCAGATGGTTGACTGGTGCAGAAAAATGAACAAAAGCATGAAACTATTTCCTCTGCCGCAGTGAGCCTCTGAACAATGAGGTAACACTGGTTTGTTTGAGCTGAACTAAAAGAGAGGACAGAAATGGATTTTTCAAAGACTGTTTAGCAACAAAATTGTCTGTAGCTGATATTTAATGGACTCTGGGCTGCCATTAATTTTCTTCTGCACTTCTCAGTAGAACATGAAACGGAGCAGAAGGGAATAACAATCTAGCATCCACAGCTTGATTTTATAAAATAATGTTGCACTTTTCTCAGCTGACCCTATATTGTTTGTGAACCTGCAATAATCAGTGTTGCAACTTGATACTTTTATATTGAAGGCCGACTTCCTCTTCCGAGACAATCATGAAAACCATGAAGACATGGCGATATGAATACTGGTGCTTTTACTACTGCATTTCAATTTCATCTGGTTGCACACTGAATGACATCAGACACATGAAGCACTGAGGATTATCAGATCTGTTGCATCACTTTATGAGAGTCCTCAATCTGAGCAATTACTAAGAATTATTAACTTAATTTTAATATTTTATTAACTTTGTTTTGACGTACTGATTAAACTGCTAAGGCATTAAAGTGGTGTGGCTTTGCAGTTTTTTTTAAAAGCACAACATGGACCTATTATGCAAAATTCACATTTTGCACAATATTGTACTTCCATTTGTTTCTCTACTGCTTCTAACAACAGCACAAGCACTTAAAAATGAATGCATAAATTTAATTTGTGTGGCTTATAGGATATCAGTCAGCTGAAGCAGTTTCAGAGTATGCAGAAAAATCTTGTTTTTAGAAAATAAAATGAAAATCTCTGATGCATTATTAATCGACCTTGAGTAAAAAGAAGAAAAAAATGTATTTTAAACCCTAAAATTAATATAAATTCATGCAGGTGAATTTATACTAAATTCATCTGCATGATGAATTTAATATCATGCAGATGATGTGGTCCAAAATATATGGATATTTTGGACCACAACAACCAAGAAGAAAAAATTTAAAAGTGTGTAAAGTACGTCATCTGCTGTCGAAAAAGTGCAACTGCATGCTTTCTACGTCTTTCTTTTTTTCATTTCTTTTTTAAAAACGTTACTATGTTAATTCAGGTGAAATGAAAACAATCTAAGCTAACTAGCACAAGATAAACAAGCAACAAAATCCCCACAAAGTACTAAAGTAAATACAGCAACAACAAAAAAAATGAAAAACAAAATATCAAGCAACTCCAACAAAATGGGACAGTAAGCCAATCACATCTGGAAATGTCAAGAAATGGGCAGAATAAGACAAGAAAAACTTTGTACGAGACAAAGTGGATTCAGGTGACAAATAAGGTGAAGTCAATCAGGTGATGTGGAAAAAGCTAACTGAGGACATCTAGCGGTGATGAGGTGAAACAGCACACAAAATGACAAGCTTCTTGTTGACTTCTATATTTTGGGTAGTTTTATTTCTTTTACACGACTTAAATTACTGTGATCGTTCGATGCTTCTTTGTGTTGGATAAATAGTCTGTGTCGCTCTGGGTTCTCCGCTTACGGCCACACCACCCTGAACACGCCCGATCTCGTCTGATCTCGGAAGCTAAGCAGGGTCGGGCCTGGTCAGTACTTGGATGGGAGACCGCCTGGGAATACCAGGTGCTGTAAGCTTTTGCTGGCTCTTTCACGAAAACAGCACAGGCTCTCTTTAACCATGATGGGGTTTCTGACCTACACAAAACCAGAAACCCCAGAATATTTAGTTTGGTTTATTTTGCTAAATATACGCTGAATAAACCAAACCTGGTAATTTAACTTTACAAACAGCACCCATAGTTACAGAGTAGGTCTGTTTTTGATTGTCAGAAACAAATAGAATGCATCGTGAATCCTGTTCCATCTGAGGACAGTCGGGAAATAAAACCCACGCACGTTTTTCAGTGGATGTGTTTGTCTCGACTGTACGGAAGAGGATTAGGGCCACTGGAAAAAAAAAAAATGTCCGAAAATTTTTTTTCAGTGGTTCAGAAAAGGTTAAAAAAGAAGAAAAAAAATTTTGTGGCCCAGAAAAAAAAAAAAAAAAAAAATTGTGCCGCAGGAAAAAAAAAAAAAAAATTGTGCTGCAGAAAAAAAAAAAAATCTGACAGAAAAAAAAAAAAATTGTGGGCCAGAAAAAAAAAAAAAAAAAAAACAGTGACAGAAAAAAAAAAAAAAATTGTGGGCCAGAAAAAATAAAAATAAAATAAATTTTTTTTATTATTAAAAAAAAATTTAATAAATTTAATAAAATAATTAAAAAAAAAAGTCAGAATTCGGACTGATGGGCGCCAGCAGCAGCCACACAGACGCAGGTTGAGTTACGGCGGACAGCCAATGTTCTGGAGAAAATGTCTGATTTAAGCGACTTTTTACGTGCCAGAAGAGTACCAGAAGCGTCCATTGCACTAATGGAAGAACAAAAGGTGAGTAAATCAAATGGGATAGTTCAGTGTCTAAAGCCGAACGGTTATAGGTAGCTGTTAGCATGTTTGTTAGCTTACGCGGTTAAAGGAATAAGCTGATTTACAATGTTAAATCACACGGATGAATAAAGGATATAACAGCTGTTAATTGCTGGAATTGTCTCTAAAGTGTTTGGGATGTTTATTTTATTGTTCTTCTGTTTGAATGTTTTACAATTAAACTAAGGTTAGCTGTATATGTCAGCCACCTTCTAAAATAAGATGTCTGCTGTGTTAAACTGCAACTTTTAGTTCAGTAGAGGACAGAAACTATAGTACAAAGTGACAAACGTTTATATATGCATACATTTAAAAGGAAAATATCATACAACTACTGATATATTTACCAACTTCAACTAATGCGCCTATCTGTGCTATTTTATTTATGTATATTATATGTTTGTGTTACGACGTTGGAAAAAGTTACATTATGAGATTCACTAAATCATTTTGCTGCACTGTGTGATGTGTCAGCTCAGGACTGAAATTGCATGTCAATCCCTGAACTAAACTATCAGCACATATATCGCTCAGGTGCAGAAACGATAGGCTTCATTTGACTAAATCAAAGTTAATGTGATATTTAACTTTTGTAATAAAAAGGAACTGTTAAATTTCCTTGTGTGTTTTTATGCCTGATACTTTTTATCTTAAGTAGACTGTATATTTATGAATCTGTGTTATATAAGTATATAAACACAGCTAATCAATCCAGTCCTTCCTCTTTTTCAGTAAAATAGAGGACTGAACATTTACTGCTATTATTGTCATTCTCCCCAAACAGTAAATGGCTTTAAGCAGAAACGTAAGGATACAATCTTAAAGGTAACTTTGACGTTGATTTGCAGACTAAGTAATTGTCCTTTCTCATCTTTTTCTGTGCAGATTGACTGTGATGCCGTAGGTCTCATGGACGATGCAACACTTGAAAACTTCTTACCTTCATATGGAGACAGAATTGCTGTTTTCAACTACTGCAAAAGCAAACAGCCATTGTCCAAAAGAAAACAAGGACTTCTTCAAAAGCTTCGGGACAAAATGAAGAACAGAAAGGAAAGTCCACAGGAGACCATGACACATGAAAGTACAAGACAGAAAAAGAGGCCAAAAGGAACAAAAAATGTTGAGATTGGATGGATACATAGTGATGGAAAAACTACCAAACAGGTGAGAGCAAAGCAGGGAGGTGGCACTAGAAAAATTCAAATGGCCACTGATTCTGGATTAAAAGACATTCTTCAAGAAGGAAAGACACTTTTTTTTCCTGATGGAACATCTCCTAAGGGACCTGAAACAGATTTTGAGTTTGAGGTTTGGGACTTTAAAACAGAACCTTTACAGAAGACACCGGCCTAACTATTGGGAAAATGTATGAAGCAGTGAGACTGTCAATGTTGCGCTTCTACATTGCAACAAAACCAAAAGATGCAGAAGAAGATAACAGTGACGCATCTGAAGTTGCGTTTGTTTTGGAAAGCAGTAGCAGCGAATTTAATCCATTACAGGTGGTGGATGTCAGGAGGAACTCTGTTGAAGTCCAACAGAGTTCAGAAGTTTTTGATGATTCCCAAATTACTTTGGTCCCATTCTTGATGCTGAAGAAGATACAGATGACACATTAATCTATGAGGGTTTTGTTGTTCCCCCCAGTCCAGCAAATCCAGAAGATGCAATAATGATCACTGTACGCAATGCTGACACTTTACATGACCTTATTACTGCTTTCTCTGATGAAGAAATTATGAGAAAAACACTGAACGTAACGCGCATACTTCCAGACAACACCGAAGAAGCAGGCACTGGCTCAGGAATACTGAGAGATGTACTCACTTGCTTCTGGAATGAATTTTATGAGCGATGCACCCTTGGTACAACAGTGAAAGTGCCATTCATCCGCCATGACTTTCAAGCTGAGAAATGGAAGGCAGTTGGACGAATCCTTTTGAAAGGTTACCAAGACTGTCAGTATTTTCCAAATAAAATTGCAATCCCTTTTCTTGAACAAGTGCTTTTCAATAATGTTTACAGTGATCTTAAAGCACATTTTCTACAGTTTGTGAGCAGCCAAGAATGTGAAGTTTTGAGGGAGGCAGTTAAGAATTTTTCTGCTGTTGACCTTGATGATCTTGTGGAAGTTCTTGACAATTATGGCTGTAGAAAAATAATCACTCCTGAAAGTCTCCCTACAATCCTTGATGAAATAGCTCACAAAGAGCTCATCCAAAAATCGATGTTCGTCATTGACTGCTGGAGGGAGATCATCTACCCACATCTGTCCCTCAGCCCAGAAGCACTGACCAAGCTGTTCTCAGACCTGCAACCAACTTCCAAAAAAGTCTGTCAGCTGCTGAAATTTGCTCTAGATTTAACTCCAAAGCAAAAGGAAGTACAGAGTCATCTCAAAAGATTCATAGAGAGAGCTGGATGACATAAAGCTTCAGAAATTTATGAGATTTTGCACTGGATCTGATCTCATTGTGACAAACTGCATATTTGTGGAATTTCAAGATATGACAGAGTTCACAAGAAGACCAGTCGGACACATGTGTGGAAGTACTCTGCAAATAGCAGATAGCTATGAAAACTTCCAGATTTTAGATCTGAATTCAATGCAGTTCTTGACAGCAATGTCTGGGTAATGGACATTGTTTGATTCATCGTGCAATGCATTACTTTTGAAATGTTCAATCAGTACAGCAGAACTACAAAGACACATAAAGAAAAAGTATTTTCAACAGAGAGAAATTATTGTTTAAAAGAAATTGATGGAAGTTAGCCATTTCTATTGGTAGCTCAGTTTTTCACTGAGAATATACAAGTTTCCTTTGTTCTCACTAGTTTCACATCATACAAAGAAGTTGCCACAAAACAATTAATAGCTGTTTGTTACATCCAAAAGCATCTTGACTTGATCTCAGATCTCCAACTGCTGAATAGAAACCTTAAATGGAAACAATAAAAATATTGTTAGAGAGCTATAAAATTAAAATAAAACTTGCTTTTAAGCTTTCCTTAGATAAGAAGTAAGACTTTCAAATTCATTTGTTATTTAATAATTGGGTCTACAATAGATGTAGAATACAACAAAAAAATTGATTTATATAGAAAATCTTGTACAGTGTGTCCACACTTGAAACTTGTAAATACGGGCCAGTTTATTTTGAACTTTTTATGTCCGCAAAATGTTTTTCAAACCACGCATCTGTTAAGGAGCATTGAGGTGTTAGTGTTTTGTATTTGCTGTTAAATACAAACATACAATTTAAAGTTATAGAAAACATTCGTCTACATTTTCCTTAATTTTATAAATGTTATTGTCACTAAGCATATGTGCTGTTAATCTGTCATCAATCAAGCTGTGTGATTCTCAGTATGTTTTGAAGAAAACCACTTGTTCCTAATGTTAGAAATAAAAACAATGCAATGGAAAAGCTGAGGTTATTTGAATGCCATTTTGTCATGTTCAAAAACAAGGTATTGATCTAACACCTGTCGACAAGATAGATTTTTTGTATGTGTATTTTATCAATTAGCACTTATTCCATCTGTGCATCTGAGATGAAGTTGTTTTTGATAACAAAAGCTTTAATGTTTTATACTAATTTACGGCTGTATACAAGGTTATATTCAATCTGAAAGTTTGTTTTAAAAGTTAGGTCATTCTAATGACCATGGTTTTTTTGGATTAGCAAAAGAAATGTTATTTGTTATATTTTGCTAATAAAATGTTACTTTACCAAATACTTTTCTGTTATGGTTTTCAATATGTTAGCTAAGCTTGGCTTTTATTTGAAAAGGTCTAATAACCAAAAGTATTGAAATTGTTGAATTTGAAGATAGTTATAAAAAAACTAAGAAATGTTTTTTTTGGAATTAGCAAATACAATTTTGTTAATTTTAACACATTTAAAACAACAGTTGGGGCTGTGGTGGAAAAGCAAAAGTCCTGTATGGAGACCGCAGTCCTGAATGTGGACATCAGACGTTCCGAGTCATGGCCTGATGACCTTAGTATCAGTTTCCTCTCTTATTGCTCACTTTCCTGTCTGACCACTGTCTTATCTAACTTCAGATAGTGATAAAAACAAATGACTTTTTTCAACTGTTCCTAAATATTTGACATCAATTGTATTATGAAAAGACTTGGTAAACAAAACATTGAAGTTCATTTTTATTTCACAGACAATTGTTTTCCATGTGTTCAATTTATGACATCCTTTTTGCTCTTCTGCCATTTAGTTCACATCTCAACCATACACTTACAATATCTTTAACAAAAACAAAAAAAACATATATATATGAATCACAACGCATACCAACTTGAAAGGACTGACATTTGGCTCATAACTGATTATCATTGAATAACTTTGCATCAGCATTGTTCCTTCAAATGACTGAAAGCGAAACAAACTATGGGTTAGGAAATCATGTCAAACAACCTGCAATTTTAATTTTTATCAGCACAGTAACAGCTTGTACATTAATGTCAGGTCATCAGAACTCTACAAATAAATAATGACAGCAATAAACTTTCATGTTCTGGTAAAATGACGTCAAAAAGGTTCTGTTTGCTTGCATACTTTTCATTCTTTAATTAGATGTAGAGCAGGGAGCCCTGTTTAGAGGGCACCTATCACATTGCAAACACTATCCAATGGCATGATGGAGATAAATAGCAACACTTTTTAAATGATCTTTATGCACACTGAAAGTTGCTAAATACTTTGAAGAATTTCTTCTCTTAACCTTATATACAAATCAGCAGCAATAAGTGGATCTCTTGGGGCCTCCAAGTTGTGTTCTACCATAAGCAGACAACAAAGTTCAAAGACTGTTTCATCACAGGGATATGGACCTTTTGGTGTACACTCTTCCATACACACAGTGACCTCATCCAGAGAAAGGTTTCAGTCTATCCTCAGCTTTGTGCAGCTCGGAAATGAGTACATCACTACTGGTCGGCCCGATACTGCACCTCCACTTGCCCGGATTTTGTGTGAGTTCCATGTGTTCACAACATCATCAAGGTCATCCTGCATAAAAACAAACCATAAATGTTTAAAACTAAAATTGTAACTGTAGCTTTTGCTAAAGATGAGGCATATATTAATCAGCATACATAGAAAGTGACCTCTAATCAAAACCAAGCAGCAAGAACAAAATTGCAATTCCAAAACATTTTATTCTGCACATAAAATGATTCCCCAACGTATGGAAAACTTTGTAATTTACGGATAGAACTTATTTTTAAAACTACACCAAAGGAGTTTAGGGGAACACATTCCCAAGTAATTTAAACCATTTTTATTTTTAGTAAACATACCAGAAGATATGCTTTTAATACCTTTTTTGAAAAAAAAAAAACATTGCAGTGTACCAGTATATACTTTTACCTGAATAAGATTAAGAAAGCAGAATTGGATAAGGCTTTTATCCAAAAAATCTCCTGTAAAGTGACCATCATCCAGAAAGGTTTGAAATAAGTTCATCCAAAACTGTGCGCTCTGTTTACGGAGGGTGGACCACCATCCTTCAATGCGCTGGTTGGATGTACTTCTTCTGTAAAGGAAACTTTTGTCCCCTGCAAAACTGTCTGTGTGGTTTCGCCTCAGAAATATCTGCATTTGTTCAACACAAATGTTTTCTGTGCCTCTGTCGGCACGTATCCTTTCAGAACATCCTTTGACACATAAAACGGTTTTCAAAAATAACTTGCAATCAGTTTTGGGTCATTGTTCGTGGTATAAGCCTCCATCCATAAAACATGCCGGCTAAAACCATCTATACAGCCACTGATAGCAATGCCATAAGGTTTTAGTTTATCGTAGCCATCCATATGCCAGAGCGCATTTGGTCCTCTGCAATTGTACTGACGTCTTCTCAACCGTCGTGCTCGTCTCAGTTCCACACCTTCTGGGTCAAACAATTTGATTAATTGTCTCACAGTGTCTTGTGACACCACAAATCCATGTTGAATCACACGAAGATGTAGCCACCGATAACCTTGCATTTGTCCATTAGTCATTATTTGTTGTTGGACAAAGGCTAGCACTTCTTCAAGGTCGGACTGATTCTTTCTTCGAAACAGCCCAAGTCTTCTGCAAATTCTTTTAGAGTTCGATTACTTAATATAGTATGATGACTGTGCGCTAAAATTTGAAGGATTTCTTTGTTATTTAAAGAGAGTCTGAAGTAAAGCCTAATGATATCATCCAAATCTGACATTTTCGAGCTTCTTTCACTTTAAGAAGGGAACAGTCTTAAACAGAAGGCCTTTTTTCCTCTTGGACAGTTTGTTGATTTAGTAGAAGTTTAAAACAGCAAATCCATCGCCGTGATTTTTCAGCTTTGCTGCGGCATCACAGTCAATCTGCACAGAAAAAGATGAGAAAGGACAATTACTTAGTCTGCAAATCAACGTCAAAGTTACCTTTAAGATTGTATCCTTACGTTTCTGCTTAAAGCCATTTACTGTTTGGGGAGAATGACAATAATAGCAGCAGTAAATGTTCAGTCCTCTATTTTACTGAAAAAGAGGAAGGACTGGATTGATTAGCTGTGTTTATATACTTATATAAACACAGATTCATAAATATACAGTCTACTTAAGATAAAAAGTATCAGGCATAAAAACACACAAGGAAATATTAACAGTTCCTTTTTATTACAAAAGTTAAATATCACATTAACTTTGATTTAGTCAAATGAAGCCTATCGTTTCTGCACCTGAGCGATATATGTGCTGATAGTTTAGTTCAGGGATTGACATGCAATTTCAGTCTTGAGCTGACACATCACACAGTGCAGCAAAATGATTTAGTGAATCTCATAATGTAACTTTTCCAACGTCGTAACACAAACATATAATATACATAAATAAAATAGCACAGATAGGCGCATTGAAGTTGGTAAATATATCAGTAGTTGTATGATATTTTCCTTTTAAATGTATGCATATATAAACGTTTGTCACTTTGTACTATAGTTTCTGTCCTCTACTGAACTAAAAGTTGCAGTTTAACACAGCAGACATCTTATTTAGAAGGTGGCTGACATATACAGCTAACCTTAGTTTAATTGTAAAACATTCAAACAGAAGAACAATAAAATAAACATCCCAAACACTTTAGAGACAATTCCAGCAATTAACAGCTGTTATATCCTTTATTCATCCGTGTGATTTAACATTGTAAATCAGCTTATTCCTTTAACCGCGTAAGCTAACAAACATGCTAACAGCTACCTATAACCGTTCGGCTTTAGACACTGAACTATCCCATTTGATTTACTCACCTTTGTTCTTCCATTAGTGCAATGGACGCTGGTACTCTTCTGGCACGTAAAAAGTCGCTTAAATCAGACATTTTCTCCAGAACATTGGCTGTCCGCCGTAACTCAACCTGCGTCTGTGTGGCTGCTGCTGGCGCCCATCAGTCCGAATTCTGACTTTTTATTTTTTTTATTTTTTTTTTCTGGCCCACAAATTTTTTTTTATTTTATTTTTTTTCCTGGCCCACAAATTTTTTTATTTTTTTTTCTGTCACTGATTTTTTTTTTTTTTTTTTCTGGCCCACAATTTTTTTTTTTTTCTGTCAGATTTTTTTTTTTTTCTGCAGCACAATTTTTTTTTTTTTTTTTCTGGCCACAAAAATTTTTTTTTTTTTTAACCTTTTCTGAACCACTGAAAAAAAATTTTCGGACATTTTTTTTTTTTTTTTTCCAGTGGCCCTAATCCTCTTCCGTACGACTGTCTACACTTGGCCACATACATATCATTAAAGTCTTACTGGTGTGTGTCGCTTTAACGGGACGGTGGGACGGGAGGGGGGACGCAGAGCTGCTGCAGCTGGTCCGGGCGGGAGCAGAACCACCCCGGCCTGCATTCACCCATCTGAGGGAATCCGAGGAACCGATCACCTTTTTCACGCCACGCCATGAGGGATTACACGGACACCCCGAGCAACGGAGGGGGCTGCATGCCGTGTTGCCAAGTTTGCGTGTTCGTGTTTACCGCATTCCTGCTCGTTGCGGAGAGGACGGCGGGTGAGTGTCACCTGGGACACGAAGAGTCCACACAGGCTGGATGAGAAGCTGCACGTTTGCTGCTGTGCTGATCTTGTGATAATCGGTTCTGGCTCTGTTACATTTGCGGTGAGATGCGGGTTTGCTGCGCGTGAGAGCCCGTGAGGATGCGGGGCGCCGCAGACATCAACATCAGCATCAGCCGCTCTGAGTTTTAAACTCATTCTCACTTTAAAGCTGGCCTCTGCAGCGGGATCTGCAGAGTGTTTCTAAACCTGCACGCATCAAGACTGCTGACTCATGTCAGCGTGTTCCCCGCCTTAAAGTCTCATCTTTAAAGGGTCTGTGTGATGTTTTGTGATTGAGTCCAAGAGGAGCCATGTTGTTATATTTTAGCGCTCTTTTTGGACGGATGAGGGGATGGGCGTTTACCCCGGGATGGGGCCTAATCTGGCCGAACAGCCCGCCTGTTTGGCGGCTCAGAGGTTCAGATTACATGTATGGCGGAATGCGGGGAGGCAGAACTGCGGGAAGATGATGATGATGATGATGTAGCTGCTGTCACTAATGGGATGTTGAAGAGAGGTCATTCAAACTCAGTCTGGACAGTCATGACATACAGGATCTGTTATATCTGCAGAGTGTTGCTCAAATTACTGTCACTGACATACAAACCTGGAGGATAAATCAATAGAATTAGTTGCAAAATTAAAAAGACAGCCCAAAATGGAAAGACAAACTAATTTAGGGGCTTTCTAATATAAATTAGTGATAGAATTGCTTTGTTTATCACTTATTGTGGTAAGAATTGTTATTTATTGTTGCCATATGATTATTTATTAATGCAGATTTTAAAAAAACAAACAAACCGTCCATATTGTCAGGTTTTTACTTTTTTCTCCGTACTGTTTGTTAAACCAGTGTATCAATAAATACCAATACATTTAAATTTTTGATCACTGTGTGCAGTTTAATGATACAAATCCCACCTTTTTATTGTAAAGATGAGTATTACTGGTTTTTCGTGAGCGGTATTTGTGTTTGTGGGTCTGTGATTGCATACAGTTACCTAAAGAAAATCACAATAGTACCACAAAATATCCCGACAATACTTTAAGTCCATGTCTACATCCATCACTATCCTCTCTGTTCCAGATTGTTTGTATGTAAATGTCATAAAACTTCTGTAGTTTCATGGTTTTCTGCTATAACCCAACAGCAGAACTCAACATGTCACAGAATGCATGTTGCTTTACACTAAAATGAGTGTAAATTAGTTGATTCTTATGATTTACTAGGTCAATATCAGTAAGTATGTTTTGAAATCACATTTATTTCTCTAACTTATAATCTTCCGTGTGTCCACAGAAGACCAATTAATACAAATTACAAATTCACAGGTCACTGCTTGCAAATTTGTAAAGTAAGGATCAAATAATTTTCAGTTGTGTATGTGTTACTCCAGCAGGGACACCAAGAGCACAATTTAAAAAAATATATGTACATACATATATTAATAAATAATCGTTGAAATAATAATCAAGATATAATAATTTTATGCTGATACTGTTTGTATTATAGTCACATTTTAAAATTAAAACCCTTTGAAACTTGCAAAATTAATAAATCTTCAAATCAGCAGACAGAATTATCTTTATTTTCTGTGAGAAATCAAGCTCTCTGTATAAACATGTAATATGTTAATTTCACATTAAAGTTTTCCTTTATTTATTGTGTTTCCTGTGTTTTCCCCCAGTGATCTATTGCTTTGTGTATTACATCTGGATTGGCCACAACTACTGTTATGCTTATCTTGCTGGCTTCACGGCTCTCTTCCTGCTCCCAGGTAAAAAATAATCACATAAATCCAATTGCAGCCATAGTGAAAACTTCACTCATTTTAACTTTTATTCCCCTGTGTGTTTGCAGGTTGGGGTCCACAGTGGCTCAGTTTTCTGTGGTATCTCTCGGATGGAAAAATCCCCAGGAAATCTCTCAGATGGACTCACATATTACACCTGGGTATCTTTAAAAGGTGGGCAGAATTTACAAAGCTGTACATTCATTTCATTCAACCTTATGTCTGACTGTGTTTGTCCCCAACAGGCTGTGGGACTGTATGCGTCTTCCGGATGAGGACGTTTATGGAGAAATCATGCAGCAGGCCGATGTATCTGCGTTACGTCTGTTTGAGGCCTTGGTGGTCACGCTCCCCGAAACGCTGCTCCAGACCTACGTACTCATCTGTACCGACATAGGAGTCCGCTCTCCTGGTGAGCCGAATCTGAAGACCGCAGTGTGTGATTAGTGTGTGTGGCTGAATAAAGACAGCAGCACGGCTCAAAACATTTAAATGTTATCAGTTATCCTCAACGAAATTTCAATTTCATAAAACTGGAGCTTTAAATTGTAAAATAATAATAATAAAAAAGCAAGCGTGTGTAATAAGCTGAAACAAAATCTAATCTAGAATATTCTTTTTGATTGAGCTTGAGAGGGACTTTGGCAACGTTCACTCTGCAGCTTGAAGTGACCCAAATCTGATTTGTTTTCCCCCTTTGCTGTTCACACTTCTCAATACAGGCAACACTTGTATGTGTTCCCCAGTGTGAACCGCAAACGACCTGAAAGAGTCCCGCATGCACAGCAGAGGGCGCAATAACTCCCTGCTCTTTCCTCCCTGCAGCCTCGGTGTGTTTTGTTGTGTGTTTGCTGTCTCTGGCCTGGGCGCTGGTTCTCTACGCCAGATCCTGCTCACTCATCAGACCGGGACACCTGCACATGACTCCAGCTGCCATTCTTTGCCGACTCCTGTGGAGGGTGGGGATTGTTCAGCACATACGCCCGAGACTCACAGCAGTCGTTTGTGTTTTCTGTGCGTAAAGATGCATTCTGTGTTCATTCAGGTTGGCATGTTGGGATCCCGGTTTGCTGTGCTCATGCTCTTCACACGCATCTTCAAACAGTGGGTCCTGGGAGTCATTGGTAAGCCAAGACCTCATGCTGCGGTCCAGTTACCTCGATATAAGAGGCGGGAGGAGTAACAGCACTTCTACCTGTTTTAATCACGTGAAAAAGTAAAAGACAAAAAGGTACTTGGTAAGGCGCAGGTACTGAGTAACTGATCAAAACACCAATTATATTTGAAAATTATATAATCAGATGGACCAAAATATAGTTATGTGAACATTTTGGTATTTTAAAAATAAAAATGAAAAGCATTTTAAAATAATATATTTACAAAATAAAAAAAAAAAATCAATAAAAAATATTTGACAATTTCTTTCAATATAAAACTTATGGAATTTTAACAAAAACTGCAGGAGTGTTTCAGGGTCTGGTGAATGCTTGACTAAAATAACAGCTAAAAGGCTGCTAGAGAAGATGGAAAATTTGCTCAAGAGTAGCAACAGTTCAGAATAAAATTACTCAAGTAAAATCAAAAAGTACAGCATAGAAAAAGTGCTTCTTAACATACAACTGCAGATTAGTGCCACTGCATAAAGAAAAAACAGGGAGGGATAAGTTTCCTCCAGAAATCTTGTAGAAAAAAAATCAGAAATTTCTGGGATTCAGAAGTCAAAATTTTCTACTGATAAAGCTAAAATAATTTTGAAATTTTAAACTCAGAAACATCCAAGATTTTCTACTGAGATCTAAAATTAGATTAATTTTTTGGCAAAAGTGTTCTAATACGCTGTTGTACAGAACAGTTTATCATTTCTCCCAGCCTACATTTAAACGTTTTACTTCATGTTCATAAGGTGTTTGAAACTGACTTTGGAAGTGTGTTTGTGACAGGTGTGCACTGGCTGGGTGCAACTTTCTGGATGGTGTCTCAGCAAACCGACGTCATCCGTTCAACTAGTCGATGGAGTATTTTCAACCTCGTTCTGGGAGCCGTTCACGTCTTTCTCTTCCTCAACGTGAAGTACGGTCCATCCAGATACCGCATGGCTGCGTTTTACCTGGTACGTCTGCCTGCTGGCTCATCTCTCTCTGAGTGGAAGCCATTGTGACAACCATGATTTATTTAGGAAAATAGAAAAGTTTTATTTTGAAGAGTTCTTAACCGGATCTGATTTTGTCTAGACAGTCTTCTATTGCTAGGATACAAAATATTTGTTGATGTTGCTTGCTTAATAAAAACTGAACCTTTGTCGTGATTACAAAGGCTCCTACCTAGAACCGTTGAAATTTTAAAGCCTTTACAACCTTTAAAATTTCAATTTAAACCAACCAACCAACCAACCAACCAACCAACCAACCAACCAACCAACCAACCAACCAACCCAACCACCAACAACCAACCAACCAACCAACCAACCAACCAACCAACCAACCAACCAACCAACCAACCAACCAACCAACCAACCAACCAACCAACCAACCAACCAACCAACCAATTTTATTGATAAAGCAGCCTTCATACTAAAAGCAGCTCAAAGTGCTGCACAGATAAATAAAACCAAACAATTAGCCACTCCAACCCAACATGGAAAAAACACCCCACTGCATGGAAAATGCACAGACTAAGCAGAAATAATTCAATTCAGGAAATACAGTTAAAAAGATGGGTTTTCAGCCTGCTCTTAAAGGCAACCACGTTTTCTGGCACACCGTTCCACAAACTGGGGCCATAATACTGGAAAGAAGCCTCATCATAAGTGTGACTTCTAACTCATGGAATAGTTTATAGTCTGGTGCCAGACTATAAACATACGGTAAAGCAGTTTAAGATGGTGCAAGACCATCAGGACATTTAAAAACTAGAGAAATAATCTTAAAATCAACCCTGAGACATACTGGGAGCCAATGCAATGATTTTAAAACAGGTGTGATGTGAGGCTGCCTTGTGGTCTTGGTTAGCACAAATTTCAACCTCCACTAAAATCCACAGGTCATGTTTTTAGAAGACGCTCTTCTTCTTCTGGCCTCCTCCTGGTTTTTTGCTATGGTGTCCTGGGACACTGTGGGGATCCCAGCTGCAATCTTTTGCAGCTTCCTCATTGGTAAGGCATGCAGCCCTTTTCTCTATGAAGCACACATTGAAATTTTAAAGCTTTCTGTTTTTAATGAAGGTCTACTTTTTGATGCTTTCCCTCTACAGGTTTGATAGCGTTGGTGCTGTACTACCGTTTCCTGCATCCCAAGTCGTTTGAGATCTTCCAGAGTATTCGCCACAGGGGGATTGGTGGGGCTTGCATGGAGCGAGGATCTACACTCTCACTGGAGGAGAAAGTTGATCCCAATTTCCATCACCGTACAACATTGTCTGGTTGGTGATCGTCATATCTGCATATTTATCTTTGTTTTAACTATTTTTGTAATGTGCATTAAATAATTATTTCACTTTTTTACTGTCTAATTTGATCTGCTTTGTTTGAGTTCCAAATATGCAATTAAAAAAAAAACATTTTACTTCGTTTTTTAAAATTAATTTTGTCTTTTTTTATAAAAACCTGTACTTTGTTTAAACAAAACATGTTTAAAAACTTTATTTTCAGGAGGTGGGACCCTCATGGACCTGCCCATCCAATGGGAAGGCTGGAAGCATCACCACTGGCTGCTGATTCGTTTGGCTCTTAAGACAGGAGACGTTTCCAGGATCTGGTCAGCGTACGGAGAAGGCGGACTGGCCGGACTCATGGGTCTCCCGGAAGAGGTTCACTCCCCTGATATGCATCACGTACCTCGGGTTTGTTGCCCTCCTGAACTGTTGGTCTCCGTTTAATGATCAAATTTAAGATGCATTCACACCAGCCCCGTTTAGTCCGTTTTAATCAAACTCTAGTTTGTTTATCTAGAAAGTCTGGTTCATTTGTGAAGTTGTGAATCCACAATCGAACTTTGACAGAGACCAAAAAAGCCACACCCAGGTCTCTGTTTGGTTGAAGTGGACTTTGGTGCGGTTCGAATGCAGATGTGCATGCATCCACTCCAAATGCAGGAAGTGGACTATAGCGCAGGGCATTCTGGGTAAATCCAACCAATTGAAGACTTCCTTAATTTTACCTTTCTTTCAAGTCACAAAGGTTACAAAGTTACAAAGTGTGAACTCTATTGCTGTTTGTGTTGGTGGAATGAGGAAAAATGCCCTCCCTTCAAGACAAGATTGGCTTATTTCGAAATGTTTTTTTATTCCTATTTGTCAGGTTCCACCTCCTCAACCAAGAGTTCTTCAAATCTCACACCCAGTTCCTCAACCAGCCCCTCCAGCTCCTCCACCGCAGGTCGTCCAAACTCCTCAGGCAAGATATTCTGTCAGAAACCGTGAATTGAAACCCAGCTGGTGTGAAATTGATGAAAGATAAAAACTGTGTGTATCTGTGTTGATTGCAGTCGCCAGTTTTAGCTGTCTTTTCTGCACCCCAGGTGAGTGAAGTCGTCCAGCCTCCTAAACCAGCTCACTGCAACATTGTGGCCCGACCAGTGAGAAAAGCTCCGCCCACAACCATCAAGGACATGAGGTTTCCAGAGATCATCCCTTTCCAGGAGGTCATTCCTGAGGAAAGCGCCGAGGATGAATTAAGCGCGGCTCCATCAGATGATAAAGGTGGGAAACCAGAAGCGCCCTTATAGTGTTTGGCCATGTGGGTGCAGTAGAAGCAAGCTATGAATACTGTTTTGAGACGGTGTACAAATACACATAGACATAATAAAAGAATTGACGCCTCCTGGACCACTCTTGCCTATTGTAGCTGCCGAGATTTAAGGCGGCCATCTTGGAGTGGTCGACTTCTCCATTCAGTGTCATTTGTTTGGCAGCCGCATTGACATATCAGCACATTTAATCGATCGTAATACACTTTTTTTATTACTGGAAACCTTATTCAAACAGCTACCAAAGCTACAATTTCAAATAATTTTATTTTTAAGTGTTTTTGAATTGTATTGATACATGGCTCAGCATATTTAGATATGCTTAGTGGGGGAAACGATAGAAAAGCAATAGAATATTCTGACATTGACGTATGATGAGCATTTTACAAAGCACACAGTCTTAAATAATTTCAAAAATATGTATCAGTACATACCTATATATAAATATAAAAATACAAATAATGATTAATATTGAGTAATATAGGCTATACATGTTTATATGCATGCACACTCTTCTTCCTCACATCGTGTCTTTAGGAAACCTTCAAACCAAAAACGTAACATTTGTTATTTTTTTGTAATTTATATAAATTATTGTAATTTCCGTCCTTAAAATACCAAAATGTTTACGTAACTTTATATTTTTCTCCATCTGATGATGTACTTTTTAAATATTAAATGATTGATTAATTTGATCAGTTACTCAGTACTTGAGCAGACTTTTTACCAAACACTGTTTTACTTACTTGAGTCATTTCTTTCCACTTTCTACTTCTACTTGAGTAAAACAATGTTGAAGAAGTGCTACTTTTACCTAAGTACATTTTTTGGGTCCTCTGTCTGGCACCAAAACCTTTCATTGAAAAGTTTTGTATTTTTTAAATTACCTTCTTTCTATTAAGCATTTTATTTTCAGAATTTATGCAATTTTAAGGTGAGCGGACATTGTTTGGACATTGACTGTTTTGCTCTAAATCTAAAGGTGATGAGGATTTCCAGAGTGCTGCTTACGGCTCACCGTCTCTGTCATCTCCTCAACATGGCGGAAGCCTTCGCCACATCGACAGCAACGCCGCGTCTCTCACAGAAGCGTCCTCCTCTGTGGCCTCTCTGGACATCAAGACGCCCGGCTGGTCCCCTGAGCGCCGCTCTCCCCTCCTGTTGGCCTCCCCAGAGAAGAAGGAGGGAACCCCAGCAGAATCCAACACTACTCTGTATTTCAGTGCAGATGCGCCGTCGCCGTCTAGCGGCAGCTACCTGGGCTGGGGCTCAGAGCTGTCACCTATTTCCTCCTACAGGAGACCCTATCGGATCAGAGAAGCCCGCTTTGTCACGTCCACCCCTCGACTGGAGGCCGCAGGCGGAGCTGAAAGTCCCGGCGCGGCGCCGGTTGTTATCATTCCTGCCACTCCCGGCACAACACCGGGTACCACTCCAGGAGGAACACCTGGAACCACCACACCTGCAGCTTCCACTCCTGGTGCTGCCACGCCTGGTACTCCACTCACACCCGTCATCTCCCACGCTCGCAAACAGATGGTGCAGTTTGTGGACTTTAGAGAGAATTTAGTGTAAAGTAAAGGAGAAGCTAACATTTCCACTTCAGCTGTTCAGTATTTAAAAGCGTTCTTGTATTAACTAACTTGTTGGAGAATTGTGAAATCTTTTTAGGCAGTCATAGAGTTCATGTATAAAATATTTATCATTTATGCAGACAGATTATATTACAGAAGATAGGAATGTAAACTGATGGCTCTTCCAATATCTGGACAGTACACAGATTTGTAAGAGTTAACCCTTAAAGGTGACCTATTTTGGTTCCTCAGTCAGGTTAGGATTGGTTGATGGGGATTTTCTTTGCACTAAATAATTTTAGATTATGACATTTAGTCTGTTTTCAGAATGAGATGTTTTAGGGCCTTGTGTCACTTTAAATCCAAATAATCTGCTGGCCACACCACCAGTTCAACGTTTACACTCACACGTGTAAATGGCTAAAAACAGATACATAATTTTACAACCGTACATTCTTGAAAAGCATTAGTAGAGCCTCCTCTACAACCAACAAGAATGTATCACATAGTTTCTGGATGGTAAATCATCAACTTTCTGCAGCCATTGTACAGCTGACCATTGTACAGCTGGTTTCACCACTGAAACCAGCTGACCAAACATGCTGGCGCCCTACTTGGGTTGCTAAGTAACAGCGCAGTGCCCACTTAAAGTGAATTAATATTCAGGAGGTTTTTGAAGCGGCTCATTTTCCAGACACAATAAAACTGTAGCTTGTTTCCACAAAACAGCTGGATGTTTTTTTTTAAACATTCAACTGTTTTTAGAAGCAGCAGAAACACAAATAGAAGTACAAAACCTTGCAAAATGTGGCATTTGGGAGATAAGTCACCTTTAATTAACTCGTTGCAGAGTTATGAGATGTTTTTAGGTCATCATAGAGTTCGTCCATGAATTATTTATTCTGTCTGCTCTTTTGTGTAGACGGATTATATTACAGGAAATTAGAATGTAAAATGATGGCATTTCAAATATCTGTACAGATATTGTGAGAGTTACCGCTTGACACCTTATTTGTTTGTTAGTGGTTTGGAATCATGTTATCGCACTTACATCTTCCAGCTGGTTGGAATATGGATGGACTGTGAAATTACTGTTATTGAAGGATCTCAGTAATTTAAATAAAAAGGGAAACTCAAATTATAAAGATTCATTGCACAGGAAGGGATCATAATTGATTACTTTCATTAATCTTGATGAGATGGATTAGAATTAATGATGAGCTCCAAACTTTCATAAATCTGAATATTAGAAATGACTAGTAAAAATAACCTTTAACATGACATTACAAGCATACAGAAAGGGATGTTGACTTGGTTTGGGCTCCTTCTACCACACTTTTTCCTTCCACTCAACATTCCATTGATATGACTGGATTCAGATGTCCAGATACTTTCAAGGAAATGGCTTTTACACTGTGAAGGATATCAATGACTGAAAGAAACTGTATGGTTTCTGTATTGTAAATACTATTTAAATTATCCTTGGTATTAGCAGCTTAATTTTGAGTTAGCTGTCAGCATTATTTATCGCTGAATGCAATACTTCACGGTAACATGCAAGTCTCACTTTGTTGCATTAAATTACGCATCAACAAATGCTGCTTTCAAACGGACTAATTAAAACTGATGATAGCCCAAATAATTATTACAGAAGTCCACATTGTCTTTATTTGGATGTTAATTTAAAAAATATATTATAATTTGTGAGCTAATGTTGAAAACTTAATTGTTAATTGTTGAGGGATTTCACTCATTCTTGAATCAGTTTCTCAGTGTTGCTGTTTACACACAATTGTAACGTGAAAGGTCAGAGGTCACACTTTAAACAAAGGGATCTGTTCATATTTTATTTCCACTTTTGTCAAATGAACAAAAAACAGAAAATATGCATGTTCGCCGGACACAATTTAAAATACTTCTCGTGTTGTTGTTCACAGAAAACGCTGAGGTCAGTGTCTGTTAGATTATTAAGAAATCACGTTTGTTTTTACTTTACTCCAGCCTTTCTCATGTTCTTAAAATAGTCCTGATCAATATTTTATGGTTTCTGAAGGTTTTTCTGCAGAATGTTTTTGTTGCTTGTTAAGATGCCAAGCTCTGAATCATTCAGGCATGAAAAAGTTTTGAGCAAAAATATTTTTGCCTCATAGTTGATGGCAGTTTGTGACTAAAGATCTGTTTTTGCTAATTTCTAAACACAAAATAATTTGTTGTTCAATCTGTTATGCAAATGTCTTAGTTCACTTTAAATAAGACAATATGAACAAGTAACTCTTTAGCATGAAATTTTAGCTTGTTTAAAGTTAAAAATTCCTTAGTATTGATTTTAAAAAGTACCAGATCTACTGACAGATTTTTTTACTTAAAATTTGTACTTTTTTGCCAATATTAAGGAAATATTTGCTTAAAACAAACTCCTCCATCTTGCTGGAAAGTTACTTTTGTTTAATTTCAAGTCTATTAAGATATTTGAATTAGAAATTAGACGTAAAGTGGTAGAAATTGGTGCGTTTGCAGTGTGAGATTTCCTTTTATTATCCTGCTGTTTTTTCAGAAACAAATCTAAACATGGTGATCATGATGTTTTGACTGGCTGCTGGCTTGTTTTTTTCAGAAGTAGAGCTTAATGACTCGGTGGAAACATAAATAAATAAGTTAAGTAAGTTCTTGAACCAGTTAGGCACTGGTACCAGTATGGTGAGATGGGGCCTGAAAGAGACAGCATCAACTGCCAAAACAATATATTTATTTTATCTTGTCCTAGCTACTGTTTTTATCTCTTCTAACACTTCTAGAATAAACGTGCTTCTCCATGAGTGTTCTGGTAATTTAGTTTAATTTTTGAAGTGATCTCACTCTCGCTCTTATCTTATGTCAGGAAACCACAGATATGGACCACTTTACATTTCAAAGCTGTGAACTGTTTCAAAGCAAAATAAAAAAACAAAACAAAATTGAGGTAAAGCATAAGACTTTCACCTGAGTGTTGTTTATTATTACTTACATTTTACTAATGCATATTTCTAAAGTTTGACTCAGTTCCTTATTAAAATATAAATAATTAGCCTGGAATGAAAACCATGTAACAGTAAAACAGAGAATGTTACAGAGAAATTACTACAATAGTCATATTTATGTGCTTGTTTGGTTTGTAAAATTAATCACCAATTTTCACTCAAGACTAAGGTCAGAAAACCAGATATTAAGACAAGAAATGGAAAAGTGGGGAAAGACAACAAAACAAAGCCATAATGCATTGAAAGTAAAAGAAAAAGCAAAATTAACATAACTTAAGAAACAATGACAAAAACTGATTAAATTAGATTAAAAAGTAAGAAAGGTTCAATCAAAAAAATGGAAAATGACCAAACTGATGTTTTATTCATGTCGTCCATGTTGTTTGTTGTGTTGCTTTTTCATTGCACTGATATTATAGCAAGCATCGCAATACATCAGTGATTTTGAACCTGTAAAATAAATGTGTGGTATATTTCATATGCAGGTAAACTGCTCTTGTTTGAAGACATGAAAACAGAAAATAATAAAGACATTATAGAAGAAAGAAAGAGCTAAAGCTAACATGCTTTAGCCAGAGCTGCTCCATTACTTAAAACAAATCCATTCACAGCACCATCCCTGCATGGTTCTTTAAGAAGCATATAGGAAGAAATGACAGTATTTTGAAGAGACATGCACAGTATTGTAGCTAACAATAATTTATATGTATGTAACAGCAATAAGACAGCTTATGCAATGGGTAGGTTAGGGGTCAGAGTTAGGTCAAGAATCAAAATCAACAGCCCAACATCCTTTAGACCCAGTTTTTTAGGTTTAACCTAACCCTAACCCCTGACCCAGCGTGACTGAGAAAAATACACGCTCATGCTTTACGCCAGAAACGCTTCGCCTTGTAGAAATACTGTCAGCTGCCACACTTGCCTGCTTTTCTTTCTGTGCTCAATAAAAATAAGAATGTTGTAAAATATTTTTGTTAGGTTTTTATGTTTCCAATTTAAAAAATAAACATTTGTGTGGCATATTTTAAAAGCAGAACTGTGTAAAGTGTATCACTGATGCAAAAACGTGTCTTTTTCTTTTTATTTACAAACAAGCATCACCTTATTTGTGCAAGGCTTTACACAGGACCTCTGTGGTAGAAGTGACCCATAAAGTGTGTTATGGATGTGGAAAAAAAATAAAGACATTTATCATGACAAGCAAAGCTTTGTTTTATTTCTTTCATTTATTCATCTATTCTCCAACTAAGGTGTACCACCCAGGTCCGTTTACCAGTTTCAGGACCCAGACTGTTGTCAGTCTTAAATGTTATGATTGTGTCAGTGTACAGCGGTGTGTATGTGAGCAGATAAAACAGAGAAAAGACAAACAGTCCTTTTATCCATAACAGAGTGTTCCTTATAAATTGTAACATTTCCTGTCTTTAAAATCACAAGATTTAAAGTTTCTTTTACAAAGGACATTTTAGTTACATTTTTGTTTTTCACAATGTAGCATCAGGGCTTTTTTTCTATTTTTTTGTTTGTCCTTAACATGATCTTTGTTAGCACATTAGCTCCACTTTACACCAAACTAACTTTTAGCCTAATAAAACATGTTTTTTTTTATTAGCAGATAAATATGTAATCATATCTTGAATTAATCAAACCACAGACTGTTACTCGCCGGTTAGTCTTGTCACTCCACACCACTCCAACTCGTCCCTTCTCCCTGGTTTCCTCATGGTCTCTTATTAATAAAATCATATTCTCTGGTTAATAAACATCAGAATTGTTTTCATGTAATTAGGTGAATTTACACCAAATGGTCTTCACCACCCAACATTGTAAAATTGTTCTTTTTCAAAATAAAAGCAGCAAACCCTTTTCTGTTTTTCACAGCTCATAAATAAAAAATACTTTTCTGCTTTCAGAGCCAAAGGAAGATGTGAATTTTTGTAGATTGAAAACCAAACAGGTTTTTCTTAAAAAAAAAAAAAAAAAAAAAAACATCAACCTGAAAACAAGAATAAGTAACTTTTTCTTCAGAAAATCAGCTGATTTCATCAAGTTTATAATCAACTTTTCTAATCAGCAAAACTCACTGCAGGCTTGTGCACTGAAAAAACTGAACATTTACCAAGATACTTTACTTACCTTTTAGTTTATTTTTAACTTCGAATCTCAGTTCACTCTAGATAAGGCAAAACTAGGAACTTTGAGGAAAAATACATGAGCTGCTTGTTTTTAGTCAATTCCTTAATATTGATGAAAAAGTTACCATTTCATTCGTTAATTAAGTTATATTAGGCGGGAAAGTTTTATTATTAATGAAACAATGCGTCAATGAAACAAGAACTTTTTTCAAGTTTCCTTAGAATGATGAGATTTTACAGTTCCTTTCTACACAGATGACGACACGGATCAGTATCTGTCCTGTGATTGGTGGCTTTCTTTTCAGAAGGAGGTTGTGTACAGAGTTTAAAAGCTGCTGCAGGACTGCAGACATTCACAAGAAGCTGGACCACCAATGGCTCTGCTGAAGGTTCTGCTGCTGCTGGGGCTGGGTGAGTTGGAGATACTGGGCACATTGGTCACACTTCTACTGGTTCCAGGGAGGCTGCTGGTCTCCGGGACTCTCAAACGTCCCTCTGATTCTGTTTCAGGCTGAAATTTCTTTGCATATAAATTGTGATGCTTTCTAATCTTTAACTGTTTATCCTATTTCTGTTCCTGCAGCCATGTTTGGACCATATTTCTGAGTAAAGTCCTCCTTTTTCTTCTTCAGGTGTTTCAGTGAACTCAGCTGTTTCTCTACAGAAGAGAATCATTGGAGGTGAAAACTGTAAAGACAGTGAGCGTCTTTATCATGTTCGGCTGGAGAGCAGACAGGGTACTAAAATAATCCGCTGTGGAGGATCTCTGATTCACCCTCAGTGGATCCTGACTGTATCTCACTGCTGGCAGTCAGAGCCAGGATGGTAGGAAAGAGACATGAAGACAGTTTTATATACACATTGTCAGGTTTTCTGTCTGTTCATTACAATCTAATATTTTCTGCAGGACTAACGAAGCATTCTTAAAAGTTCATCCACGGACTGCTGGGCAGCAGAGACAGGTGATCCAACAACCTCCTGTGATTCTTATTAACCTTGGCCGTCATGACATCATGTTGCTGAAGCTTGAGACACCAGTAACAGGTGTCCCACTTGTTCAGCTACCAGACTGCAACAATCGTCTCAAAATGTAAGTCTTTCTCTGATCAAAAACATGACTTCAGGTTTTCTGTCTCCACTCCTCCAGTCCTGCTTCCTCTGCTTCAGCACACCTGAGTCAGGTAATCAGGCCACCAGCAGAACCAGAACCTGTTTAGCTCAGGTGTGTTGGAGCAGAGACACATGTAAAGGACGCAGGACACTGAGGACTGGAGATGGACACTCCTGTGTCAGTGGATGAAGTCCTTCATGAATTTATTTTCTCTTCTTTCATTGTTCTTCATAACAATTAATTGTCCCCTTTTTTTTCTTGTATTGTTGCATATTATTTTTAGAGGTGATATTGTTCAGCTGGCAGGAGAGGGAGGAACTACAACCGGCCCCAATAATCAACGATGTGAGAGAAATATTGAAGTTATGAGAATAAAATGTTTGTTTTTATCTCTACAGAGAAGGATGAGTGAAGAACATTTTATGATTCTCATGTTTCTCTACAGTACCTTCTGGTGGTGCTATTCCATCACATCTTCAATGTGTCAACATGAATGTTGTTGCTGCTGGTGTCTTCGAGCCGTATAGTGGGTTTATATTCGGTGCTACATCACAGAACAAGGATATCTGCTATGTAAGTTTGTTTCTTCAATATCTCTTGACAGTGATTTGAAGACTTTTCTGTTTTACAACATAAATAAATATATTGATATATATTTTTCTACAGGGCGATGATGGTGGAGCAGCGGTGCACAATGGCATGATTTATGGTGTGATTTCTCATGGTGGAACAGATGCATGTCAGAAACCAGTTGCAATCATGGATGTGTGTGAATACAAGCAGTGGATTAAAAGAATAACTGAGCTTCAATAAAACATAAACTATCATGAAATAAAATTCTCATCAAATTTCCTCTCACATATAATTGCACTTTCATTAGTTTCATCCAAGTATTTTCAAAATTAGAATAAATCAATTGTTTGTTTGTTTTCTCACCTGATCTTGAGCTTTCTCTGCCTCAGTAATGAAAAATAAATCAATAAATGCATGAAACAGAAACATTTCCTGGCTGACATTCATGGTTCATTTTGTTCAGTTGATATTTTCCCTGAACTGAGTCTAAAAAAATGACGAGTTTTAAATCACATGAAGAGGAACCTCAGAAGTCATCTATTTATTCAGTTTTTGTCTGTATTTTACATCAGAAATGAACATGCAGCATCTAAACTCTGCAGCTCTGGACTTACTCTTCCTGATTTAGTTCTAGAGAACTTTAAACTGCAACAAGACCAAAGAGCTCTGCACAAAATAATGAAACACATACTACAACAATTGACAAATAACAAATAAGATAAATAATTTTAATATTTTAAAAGTAATAATCTGGAATGAAAGACGTTTTAAGAAAATATTTAAAAACACATAAAAGTAATTAATGGTAGCTTCTTGTTCCCACAAATTTAACATAAAAATGTTCTTTTGCAGTTGAAGTGTCATTGTTAATTTGTAATTTTAACAAATTAACTTTTTAATTTCAACAAATTAAACCATTTCTAGGGGCCCCTTAGTTTTCTTTGCCTTGATATCCCAGTCTTACAATTCCAGACCTCAGAGATGCTAACGTCAAAATATTATATAATGTTAACCCCTTTGAGTTTTTTGATCTATAAAGTAGTCTGCAGCCAAGTTGTTATCGAGATTATTAAATAGATATTGTTGAGGGTTAATTAGTAAAATGAGCACTAATCTGCTTATTTCATAACTTCATAACCTTTGACCGTCTTTCCTCTGCTCTGTTTAACACTTATTATATCTTTTGGGAAAAATAGACTACATTTGCTTTGCAGAGTTTAGATGCTGCATGTTCATTGCTCATGTAAAACAAAGTCAAAAACTGAATAAATTACTTCTGGTGTTGCTCTTCAAGTGATTTAAAACTCATGTCACACTTTTAGACTCAGTTCAGGGCAAATATCAACTGAACAAACTCAACATTAATGTAAAGACAGTCAACCAGAAAATGTTTCTTTTTCATTCATTTACTGATTTATTTTTTATTTCTGACGCAGAGAAAGCTCCATTAGGGAGGTCAAGATCAGGTGAGAAAAAACAAAACTATTGATTTATTCTAATTCTACAAACATGAGAATTTAATTTCATAATAATTTATGTTTTATTCAATCCCAGTTTTTTGTTTTATCCATCCCAGGTATTTACACACATCTGTGATCATAGCTTGTCTCTGACATGCAAAGTCTGGTCCACCAAAAGAAATCACACCATAAATCATGCCGTTGTACAGCGCTGCTCCACCAGCGTCGCCCTGTGGAAAAATTGATATCAATATATTTATGCTGTAAAACAGAAAAGTCTTCTAATCACTCTAGAGAGATAATGAAGAAACAAACTTACATAGCAGATATCCTTGTTTGTTCCTGAAACATAGAATACATGCCCATATGTCTGATGGACTTGGGAAACCAGAGCAACTTTCATGTCGACACATTGAAGATGTGCTGGAATAGCACCACCAGGAGGTACTGTAGAGAAACAGGAGAATCATGAACATGTTCTTCACTCGTCCTTCTCTGTAGAGACAGAAACAAAGATTTTATTCTCATAACTTCAATATTTCTCTCACATCGCTGATTATTGGGGCCGGTTGTAGTTCCTCCCTCTCCTGCCAGCTGAATAATATCACCTCTAAAACACAATAAGAATAAAATGTAAAAATACAAGAAAAAATGTAGGAAATGAATTGTTATGAAGAACAATGAAAGAATGGAAAATAAATTCATGAAGGACTTCATCCACTGACACAGGAGTGTCCACCTCCAGTCCTCAGTGTCCTGCGTCCTTTACATGTGTCTCTGGTCCAACACACCTGAGCTAAACTGGTTCTGGATCTGCTGGTGGCCTGATTACCTGACTCAGGTGTGCTGAAGCAGAGGAAGCAGGACTGGAGGAGTGGAGACAGAAAACCTGAAGTCATGTTTTTAATCAGAGAAAGACTTACAAGTTAAGATGATAACTGCAGTCTGGAAGCCGAGCAAGTGGGACATCTGTTACTGGTGTCTGAAGTTTCAGCAACAGGATGTCATATTGGTGGTAAATAATACGATTATGTTGTATTTCCTGAATCTGCTGCCCAGCAGTCCGTGGATGAACTTTTAACATCATTCTGCTGGTCCTGCAGAAAAAGGTTAGATTATAATGAACAGACAGAAAACCTGATAATCTCCAGATAAAACTGTCTTCATGTCTCTTTCCTACCATCCTATCATCAACAAGCAGTGAGCTGCAGTCAAGATCCACTCAGGGTGGATCAGAGATCCTCCACAGCGGAATGCTGCATCACCCTTGCTGCTCTCCAGCCGAACATGATAAAGACGCTCCGTGTCATCACAGTTTCGACCTCCAATGATTCTCTTCTGGAGAGAAACAGCTGAGTTCACTGAAACACCTGAAGAAGAAAAAGGAGGACTTTACTCAGAAATCAGGTCCAAACATGGCTGCAGGAACAAAAAATGAATAACAACCAAAGGTTAAAAAGCATCACAGTTTATATGCAAAGATGTTTCAGTCTGAAACAGAATCAGAGGGAAGTTTGAGAGTCCCAGAGACCTGCAGCCTCCCTGGAACCAGTAGAAGTGTCTCCAGTGTTTCCAACTCACCCAGCCCCAGCAGCAGCAGAACCTTCAGCAGAGCCATTGCTGGTCCATGTCTGGAGTCCTGCAGCAGCTTTTAAACCCTGTTCACAACTTCATGCTGTAAAGAAAGCCACCAATCACAGGACAGTGCCGTCATCCTCAGATCAGAGGAACTTTAACTCCTCATTGTTCTAAAGAAACTTGAAAAAAGTTGTTATAAAAACAGGTTATTTCTCTAATAACTAAACATTTCCCACTGTTAAGACTTAAATTATCAGCCAATTACACAGAAACTTTTTGATCAATATTAAGTAATTGCTGCAGTTACTTGAAAGTTAGTTTTGCCTTATCCCCAGCAAACCGAGAGATCAGAACTAGAAAATAAAGCCAAACCAGAGACCATGAGGAAACCAGGGAGAAGGAGCAGAGGCATGGAGTAACATGTCTCTAACATTAAGTGATTTGACTAATTAGAAACATGATTACATATTTATCTTCTAATAAAAATAAAAAAAATCCATCTATTTTATGTGGCTAATGTGTTAACAAAGATCAAGTAAAACACAAACCTAAATACAATGTAGCCCTGATGCTACATTGTGAAAAACAAAAAAAACTAATGTAACTAAAATGTCCTTCTTAAAATAAACTATGAATCTTGTGATTTTATAGACAAGAAATGTTGCAAGAAATTCATAAGGAACACTCTGTTATGGACAAAATGACTGTTTGTCTTTTCTCTGTTTTATCTCCTCTCATGCTGCACACTGACACAGGGCCGTGCAGAGACCTTTGGAGGGGCAGGGGCTCAAAGGTAAAAAGGGGCACATTGAAAGAGATCTTAAAAAAAACAACATCCCAAGTTAGTCATGAATCTAATATTTAATCAGATCATACTATATCAATGCAAAGCAAATGTCGTCTGTGTTTCCCTGACAGGTTCAATGTTGCTGTTTCTGCTGCTGACAGTCCTGTAGGGCTGAGTTGATCTGAGACTGTAGTTGTTAAACAGACCAGAGGAGAGAAGGTCAAAGGTTATGAAGTTATGAAATAAGCAAATTTGCTGCTATTTGCTACAGGTTTGCTTCAAACTGTGAGACATTTAATGTTTTGTTTTTTTTTGGTGTTGAATCCTGAAATATATAGTTGCTATGGGAAGTAGTTAGCATGTAGCTTGGCCGATACAGAGGGCAATAGAGAAGTGGTTTTGAGTTGTACTTCAACACCTTTTCCCTGTGTTGTCAAAGAATTGAATTTTTTCCCTCCAGCGTTGCGCGCATGTGTGAAATTTCCATATGTAAACAGTAAACGCAAGTTGTTTATATTTGTAAATCTGATTATGATTAGTCACCGCTTTTAAGTATGAAGAATCAAAATGAACAAAAAGTTTGTATCATTTAATAAGAGCATAATTAGGCCTGTCAAAATTAACAATAAATCATTTAATGGCACAATAAATTAAAACTATCCACCTCATTTTAATTATCGGATTTATCGTTTCTTCCGGCCTTTTTCTAGTTTTTAGCTTCTCTTTAATTACAGAAAAACTTTTTTAATATTAAAACAAAGAAAATGGAAAATGTTTATTTCACATAACATCAAGTAATTTTCTTGTTTCTCATTTTAATTATCGGATTTATCGTTTCTTCCGGCCTTTTTCTGTTTCTGTTGATGACACTGAATAAAAACTGGCTCTCCACTGAACCTCCCTTCCTCATTTCCTTGGTGTAATGCCCAGCGGACTTGACATGATGTCAGAGTTGTCAGCCGATTTTCAATACCTGAGAGACCGCACATTAGCTGACAGAAATCCCAGGTTTAATTGTTCAGTCGGGTTCGATCGTGTTTTCCAAAAATGGGCAATTTTGTTTTCCAAACAAATCTACCAGACATGGTAGATTTAGCACATAGAGAGCGTGCTCAGGGTTTTGCTAAGCGCCATAAAAAAAGAAGTCCTCATTGTGTGTGGAAGTAATGGCGCTAATGCCAATGGTGGAGCATATCTTACTATTTTGAAGTTGTGATCCAACTGGTTTGGAACTGTAACAACTTAATTCTCATTATAGTCCACCATGGTTGTTGTTTTTCTTCCCGCTTGCACATGTCAGGACACTGAATAGTGACGTTTGTCGAGTATCAATGATATTTTGGTCATATGAATGTGACTTGGACGTTCAGACACACATTACATTTCATATTATTTCACACGAAAAGATCAGTCAGGTTGCAAAGTCAAAAATCGGTTTTGGGTCACTTGAGGCTGCAATGTGAACACAGCCTTAGAGAATAATATTGCAAATGGCATGTTGCTCAAGAGATTGTATCATTTAGAAACAGCCATTCAGTTATCTTAAAAATAAATAAAGAAATAATCATTCACCCACACCTTTTATCCCTCTCTCCTTTTATCTCCAGCCTTTCTGTTCATGTTTTTAAATCAATTCAGTTAATCTTTCTTAATTGCATCTGTTTCAAAAATAAACATTTAGAATCAGAAAGGTACTGGACACAAAATATTTTTTGCATTTATTTGTGATTTTTTATTTATTTTTAGTATGCAACAGCAATAAAGGAGTGTTGACATTTACATTTTGTTTGGTCTTACCAAACTGAATTTCTGTAGAATCTGTTCAAAGAAAAATAATAGATTTATCACATGAATTATGCTTTTAAAAGTTGGTAGCAATGCAATTATTTCTACGAACTAAGAAAGTCAGACAGCTACTTTCTCTCTGTGTGACTCTTTCTCGGTTGAAGGTCTACTATATTATACTCTGAAAGTTTTTAGCTTCTCTTTAATTACAAAAAACTTTTTAATATTAAAACAAAGAAAATGGAAAATGTTTATTTCACATAACATCAAGTAATTTTCTTGTTTCAAATCTCAACAGAAAAGTACTGGAATTTCAAAACAATTTTGCGTTTATTGATTAAGCTATTTTTAATATACAACAAAATATAGAGAATGTTGTTAATTCCAAAATTTAGCTAAGCTGACCAAATTTTTTATAGAATCATATAAAATGATCACATTTATCAAATAAATTGTGATTATAAAGATAACATGGCAGCAATGCAGTATTTTCTGTGAGCTAAGAAAATAAGGCAGAAAACAACAGAGGGACCAACAGCAGCATCAGGATGGGACTGGCGCTGCTGGCGCTGTTGCAGTAGTCGCCTTCGCAACAACTAATCTTTGGTCCAGTGAAGTATCCAGGGATCTCTGAAGTGGACTGTTTCAACAGTGAAGAAAACTGATCTGAGCAGATCAACTCAGAGGCACATCCTTTCGACATCAGACTTACTCCTTGTAGATTTCCTGTGAAGATGAAAATAGTTATGATTCGAGTAAGACATTTGGATCTGGTTTTTACAATCTTCTGATGATAAATATGAAGCAAGCAAACATGTTGGCCTCTTACCTGTTGCTTTGACGCAGTAGTTTTCATCCCCTGCACAGCTAACAGTTTTCATGCAGTTTTCTCCATCACAGCTGAAGCACCTTCTGCCATTTGACTTGAAGACTAAGATATAGAGACAATTATTCCACTGAAAAGAAATTAATAATTATTATAATTATTTCTTAAAAGCTTTCATCTTGTTGTCACCAACGTGTTTCTTCTAAAATATGTGCGGATGAAGCTAGAATTACAAAACTGTATTCTACTTTTTAACTCATTTTTGAATTTGACTTAAAAAGCTTGTGAGTGCTGCAAATTCAAATTGTGCTAAGTGTTGAAAAATACCATCAATGAATTAATTACCAGGTTTTGTGTTGTTAATCTGGGCGTTGCAGAGGTCTCCACTGCAGCAGCTGGTCTTTTGTGCAACTCTATAATCTCCATTGTTGACAGAGAAGTCATGACACATTTCAGATTCATGCAGAAAGGGGCGAGGACGGACCACTGTCAGTCTCAGACCTTATATGGAAATGGGACTATTGCATTCCGGAAATGAAGGGGGCGCTATTTTCACAATCACTAATACCTTAAAAAAGCGGCGAGAAGAGGTGGATTGGAAGAAGTTTGAGAAGTTTCGCCATTGACGTTCGGAACGCTATTCATAATGGAACAAGCACAAAGTCAGCAAAAGGTATTTTCTACCTTATTAAAACTTTTTTTTACATAGTAAATCAAAAAGCTTTTCTAGATTAGGTTGAAAATATAATTGACAGCTGTAAACGAGTGAAATTCGTAGTTCGTACAGGGGAAGGCTAATTTTAGCATGTAGCATAGCTAATTATTTCCGTGCAGGGCACCATTACATAAAAATCGAAAAGTAGAAAAATGTATAATTAAGAAATGTATTTTATGCCCCAATTTTTTAAATTTTATTTTCATTGTACAGATGCACTTATCAATTTGCAACATTGGGATCGGACAGAAAATGAAGACAAATACCGCTGTCCCCTTTGCTAATACAGTGCGGAGGAGTCTTAAAGGTACAGTACCACATATCAAGAACTGCTATGGTTCAACATAAGGGTATGTAAAACTACACTTATGATTTTTCTTTTTTACATTCTTATCAGTTGGATCTGTGATCTAGTGTTTTTATTTTATTTTTAAAGGTTAATATTTTTTTAAATATGTTTTTGTACACCAATGTTAAATTTATTGAAAGTCTAATATTTTTTTATAAACTAACAGCTTTTTTTCATAAGCTGACAGCAGTCATCATAAGTGGGTGTAGAACCCAGAGATGATACTGTAATGATGAGCAGCACTACTTCAATGTTTTTTTCTAAGTAGTTTAGGACAGCAGATAATGATTCATTTAGTTATAGGTTGATCTATTAATTATTTTTGACGATTAATTGAATTTTTTTTTTAAAACTAGCACATTCCGCAGATTTTTCATTTTGCCTTTTTCAGACAGTTTTAGAAATAAATCAAAGATGCAATTCAACAAACAAATCCCTTTTAAATAAGAAAACAAACATTTGTGCAATAACAGCATTTCTTTAGTGAATGCTTGATTATTGCAAAGAATGTATCTGCAGCAAAAAAAATGCTGACATGAAAATCTCACCCCTTTCTGTTTTAAACCCAAAACAGAAATGTATGTTGTATTTGTTGTTCAAGGAGCTTGTATTTTCTGTCTCATGTTTGTAGCTCACAGAAACAACTTCATGTTTTCATTTTAAGAATCACTCATTTAATAAGTTTGCTCTTTTTTCTTGAGATGATTCTCTATAAATTTAGTAAACTAAAACCAAGCAAATCTTGCAATTAATGACATCCCCAATATTTTATTGATAAAACAATTATCTTCCTGAATAAACTTAAAAAAAAAGAAATTCTGATTCTAATGTTTATTAGCAAAAATATCTTTGTGATAGATAACATTGAAGCAACATGTGTCAGAGATGTAAATAAATCCAGAAGTTTTTGATCCGTGCCGAGTTTATAAAGTGTGAAAATGTTAAAGAGTTGTTAGTGCCCCCTGGTGGTCGCGAAATCTTACTGCACCTGGTATGACTATATCAGATGCCTTTGCCACCATAAGGGGGCACTAAAGACTTGCATTTTCACACTTTTTATTTCACCACTGACCACTTCCACATGTATTATTACCTATGCTGGTACATTTTTCTTTTGCATAATTTTTCAAAAAATATATTTTGGTGAAAGAGCCAGTAAAAGCTTACAGCACCTGGTATACCCAGGGAGTCTTCCACCCAAGTATTAACCTAGACGAGATCAGCATAGATGGGAAGGAGGCGCATAATGAGGTGATTTATTAAGCAGATGGAAAGAAAAGCATATTCCAGTTTGAATTTACACCAAGGTTCATTGCAGTGCATTTTATTCTTTATGTTTTAATTTTAAATACTGATGATTACAGCTTACAGTTTTTAAGATGAACATAATTCATTGTTGATCTTTTAACTTTGCAGAACAGGAAAACGAATCTCCAGTGAAACCAGTGGCCTGCACTTTGCTGCAGTTAGAGCCAAAAAAGAGCCGTGTGCCATTTCAAGACATCTGCAGGGTTCCAATGCAGAGACCGGTTCTTCATACTTTTTAGAATACTCAGCTTTTTATGACGGTTTCACCCCATGAGGGAAATTGCTCCATCATGTGGAAGACGACGCCAACGCAGAGGGGCTCAGAGCGCAGTCCCGAGTCAGAGGCCAGGCCCGACCCAGAGGAACTCAGAGCCCGGTCCTGACTCAGACGGACTAAAAATCAGAATTGTTTTCATTTAACTGGGTGAATTTCTGAGTTTTAATCTTTTTTTGTAATTTTGGATTTAAAACAAATGCAAATGCTCCTCACCACCCAGCACTGAAATATAGTTATTTATTATTTTTTTTTAAAAAAAGAAGCACACCCTTTTCTATTTTTAGGGGGTCATTCTCACAGCTCATTAATAAACAAAAATAATTATACTTTCTGGAGCAAAGAATTCTTCCAAATTGGAAAGCAAACGATTTTTTCTTAAAAAACATCAACCAATTATTCTTATTTTATTTTCTCGTTCTTATCCGTCAGTTCACTTGAGATAAAACAAAACTAACTTACAAGTAACTTTGCAGCAAAATATATGAGCTGCTTGTTTTGAGTCGATACCTTAATATTGATGAAAAAGTTTTTGTTTCATTGACTGATTATTTAAAATATAATAGGGAGAAATGTGTAGTTATTTCAAAAATAATCATTGGAACAAATTTTTTCAAGTTTCTTTAGATTGATGTGAAGTTTGAAGTTCCTCTGTAAGCAGATGACAGCACAGATCAGTGTCGGTCCTGTGATTGGTGGCTTTCTTTCTAGCAGGAAGTTGTGAACAGAGTTTAAAAGCTGTTGCAGGATTGCAGACATTCAGAGGAAGCTGGACCAGCAATGGCTCTGCTGAAGGTTCTGCTGCTGCTGGGGCTGGGTGAGTTGGAGATACTGGGCACATTGGTCACACTTCTACTGGTTCCAGGGAGGCTGCTGGTCTCTGGGACTCTCAAACTTCCCTCTGATTCTGTTTCAGACTGAAACATCTTTGCATATAAACTGTGATGCTTTTTAACCTTTGGTTGTTTATTCATTTTTTGTTCCAGCAGCCATGTTTGGACCTGATTTCTGAGTAAAGTCCTCCTTTTTCTTCTTCAGGTGTTTCAGTGAACTCAGCTGTTTCTCTCCAGAAGAGAATCATTGGAGGTGAAAACTGTGATGACACGGAGCGTCTTTATCATGTTCGGCTGGAGAGCAGCCAGGGTAAAGCAAAAATCCGCTGTGGAGGATCTCTGATCCACCCTGAGTGGATCTTGACTGCAGCTCACTGCTGGAACAAAAAGCCAGGATGGTAGGAAAGAGACATGAAGACAGTTTTATCTGCAGATGATCAGGTTTTCTGTCTGTTCATTATAATCTAACCTTTTCTGCAGGACTAACAGTGCAATCTCAAAAGTTCATCCACAGTCTGCTGGGCAGCAGGTTCTGGTAATCCGATCCGAAACTGTTACTTTCCAAGGACATGACATCTTGTTGCTGAAGCTTCAGACACCAGTAACAGGTGTCCCACTTGCTCGGCTTCCAGACTGCAACAATCGTCTCAATATGTAAGTCTTTCTCTGATTAAAAACATGACTTCAGGTTTTCTGTCTCCACTCCTCCAGTCCTGCTTCCTCAGCTTCAGCACACCTGAGTCAGGTAATCAGGCCACCAGCAGATCCAGAACCAGTTTAGCTCAGGTGTGTTGGACCAGAGACACATGTGAAGGACGCAGGACACTGAGGACTGGAGATGGACACTCCTGTGTCAGTGGATGAAGTCCTTCATGAATTTATTTTCCATTCTTTCATTGTTCTTCATAACAATTCATTTCCTACATTTTTTTCTTGTATTGTTACATTTTATTCTTATTGTGTTTTAGAGGTGATATTATTCAGCTGGGAGGAGAGGGAGGAACGACAGGCGGCTCAAATGATTATCGATGTGAGAGAAATATTGAAGTTATGAGAATAAAATCTTTGTTTCTACGGAGGTCAAGTGAAGAACATGTTTATAATTCTCCTGTTTCTCTACAGTACAAGATCCTATTCTTCCAGCACATCTTCAATGTGTCAACATGAAAGTTGCTCTGGTTTACCAAGACCATCAGACATATGGACATGTATTCTATGTTTCAGAAAAGAACAAGGATATCTGCTATGTAAGTTTGTTTCTTCATTATCTCTCTGCAGCGATTAGAAGACTTTTCTGTTTTACAGCATAAATATATATAATGATATAAATTTTTCCACAGGGCGACGCTGGTGGAGCAGCGGTGCACAACGGCATGATTTATGGTGTGATTTCTTTTGGTGGACCAGACTTTGTATGTCGGACACCAGCTATGATCATGGATGTGTGTAGATACGAGGCGTGGATAAAACAAACAACTGGGCTTATTTAAAACATAAGCTATCATGACATAAAATTGTCATCAAATTTTCTCTCACATATGATTTTATGATTGTATCTTTATCAGTTTGATCAACATGTTTGTAGAATTGCAATAAATCAATGATTTTGTTTTATCTCTCCTGATCTTGACCTCCCTAATGGAGCTTTCTCTGCCTCAGAAATGAAAAATAAATCAATAAATGCATGAAAAAGACATTTCCTGGCTGATTGTCTTTACATTCGTGGTTCATTTAGTCAGTTGATATTTTCCCTGAACTGAGCCTAAAAACGTGACATGAGTTTTAAATCACATGAATAAAAATACCAGAAGTAATTTATTTATACAATTTTTGTTTTTATTTCACATCAGAAATGAACATGCAGCATCTAAACTCTGCAGCTCTGGAGTTACTCCCCAAAATAATGAAACATTAGTCAGATAATACAACAAATAAAATCCTAATAATTTAGAAATAATAGAAAAAACTCCACATTTTTCATAAATATATAAAGGAAATAAAAAGTTAAAAACAATTTAAAAGTCAAAATTTGTAATGAAAGATGTTTTAAGGAAATACTTTAAAAGATGTAAAACTAATTAACGGTAGCTTCTGGTTCCCACAAATTTAACATAAAAATGATAGAAAATGTTCCTCTTTTGCAGATCACATTTTAATTTCAACCCTTTTTATAGGGCCACATAAATTTATAAAAAGAGTTTTCTTAAAGATATTAAAGTCCTCTTCCTGCATGATGTTGAGATATCAGGCCCATAGTGAGGAAGGGGCAGGTCTAACTATTTGGGCAAGATTTTTTTTTCAACATATACTTTATAAATATAAATATAGGTCTTATGTTTCAGTTAGAAAAAGTGTATTTATTTTTTGTAATTGTCCTCACAATAGCAGGAAAACCCCCCTCACGCCTAAACACAGAAATGTTTCGGCTGCAGATAAATCTTCTGACTTTAACTTCACCTGGCTGCCCGGTGCTGGACTAAATCAAGCCTGAGTCGGTCCCACTGTCTGTCTGCTGATATAAAGAAACGGTACCATGAGGTACCAGGTACCACCTACTCACTGTTCACTCTCTGCTTCACCTTAACGATACCACCAGGTGCTTCGCAGCTCTTGTGGGATTGGGGCTGGAGGTTCACAGCTGTGAATAGAAGTTACTGCAGAACCTCAACTGACAGAGAAAGATTCGGCTCACAGCATTTGGAATTCACGAAATATCATATAAACATAAGCGAAAATACCGCAGCATAAACCCAAACATGCAACAATTTAATAAATCAAGATGTTCCAAAAGCGTCGTGGATTCCAGCTCAGAGATGATAGCAGCTTTAGCTCTCCATGCAGAGCAAATGCAAGGTAATATAGGGGCTTAGGTAGATTCAGGATTTAGACTTCTCAGCCCCTCCCTACTAAGAACATCAGCATCATTAACTGTGTTTAAATATAGATTTCAGGAAGTACATGTTGTCAGTACATGTTGTCTAATGTCAGTTCCAGTTGCTACAAGTGTCGAAGTTATTGCTGTTACTCACCTGTGCTGCCTGCGTTTCTGTGATTCACTTCAATAAACCATCATTATTCATTATAACCTGGGTCCACCGCATCTACCTCACCACCTCCAAATACCAGAATTCATGAGGCTGTGTTACAATTCAACCATTTTTAGGGGCCTTTGAGTATCAAGAGGGGACCTTAAAGCTTGGAGGACCCCCGAAACTCTGGAGAGCCTCTGAATGTCTGGATTTGCCACTGAATGTTTGAAACAGCCCTGAATATCTGTCAGCACCCTGAATGTCTGCAGGGCACTGCCAGCAGTAAAAAATTTTCTTGATTTCTCTGTCTTATGATTGTAGATCTCAGAGGTGCTAACACAGAAAAACGATGTAGAGCTTTCTTGATCTTTAAAGCAGTCTGCAGCCAAGCTGTCATAGAGGTTAAACAATCAGATATTATTAGGGCTTATTTAGTAAAATAGCAGCAAATGTGCTTATTTCATAACTTCATAACCAGTGACCTTCTCTCTGGTCTGTTTAACAACTACAGTCTCAGATCAACTCAGCCCTACAGGACTGTCAGCAGCAGAAACAGCAACATTAAACCTGTCCGGGAAACATAGACGACATTTGCTTTGCATTGACTCCACATGATGGCAATGATATAGTAGGATTCGATTGAATATTACATTCTTGATTAATATGAATTGTTGATATATTGTTGTACGATGCTTTAAGCTGTTGTTCAGTGTGAGCCTCCTTAACTTTGAGCCCCTGGCCCTATAAAGGTCTCTGCACGGCCCTGTGTCAGTGTGCAGCTTTGTGCCTGTGACCAGATGACACAGATAAAAGACAAACAGTCATTTTGTCCATAACAGAGTGTTCCTCATGAATTTATTGTAACATTTGTGGTCTATAAATTCATAAGATTCATAGTTTCTTTTACGAAGGACATTTCAGTTACATTTTTGTTTTTCACAATGTAGCATCAGGGCTTTTTTCTATTTTTTGTATTTATGTTTGTCCTTAACTTGATCTTTGTTAACACATTAGCTCCACTTTGTACCAAACTAACTTTTAGCCACATGAACGTTATTTGTCAATTAGCAGATAAATATGAAATCACACCTCTAAGTAGTCAAATCACAGACTGTTACTCGCAGTTCGTCTTGTTACTCCAAGACACTGCTCCCTCATGCAGTGTCTCCTTCACTGCATGAGGGAGATTTGAAAAAGATTTTTCAAATCTTTTTTTCAGTTTCAAACTTTTTTTATGGTCCCAATTTAGCTCCATACTAGAATCACAAAACTACAGTCTAATTTTTAGGCCACTTCTACAATGGATCCTTAAAATGTTCAACATTTTAAGAAGCAAAAAGTCTGTGAGTATTGTAAATCAAGATTGTGTAAAGTATTGAAAAATGTCATCAAGAAATTAATTACCAGATACTTGAGCATTGTAGAGGTCTCCATTGCAGCAGATGCTATTTTTCAGCACTCTGTAAGTTCCATAGTTGAACTTACAGAGTAAGTAAGTAAGAGTAACTTGCAACACATCATTCAGGCATCATGCAACCTTTGAAGTTGACAATAGGAACCACTACTATTGTCAACCTGCAGTAAAATAACACAAATTTTAAATGAGACGATGCCGAACTAATAACTAACAACTGGAAACCACACAAAGACGAACCTTAAATTGCAACTTCTGTTGTTAGAAAACTTTCTGAACAACAATAATCCTGCGAGGGACGCTCAGTTGTTTTCCAAGAGCAAGTTCCAGGGCTGCTTGATAAACATCCATGACATTTCAGGGTGTCAGCTAATTAAAACGAAGAGAAAGTGCACTTTTATTGCCAACAAAATATGAAAAAGAAAATTTTGTCTTATAAGACAAAAAAAAAAGGTTGGATCAGCACAATGTACAGAGTGGGAAGGAAAAGTTTGAAAGGCTTAGCAGGAAGTTAGATTATCATTGCAGTTTTTAATGGAAGGAAATGTAAATAATACAACCATAGACTAATATTAAATGTGATTAAAAAATGAATAATAAAAGACAGCACTCCAAGCATCAAAGTGAAGAGGAACATTTTGCTGGTGGTTTACAAAATCAATTATAGTTTCCCAGTTGAACGAATATATTGAAAGTTTTCCAGGGAGGGGCTCTACTCTCAGCTCTACACCACCCCTAACTGAGCACATCCTCCTGTTTGTAAATGGTAGATTTGATTGATTGATTGATTAACAGGCTGAACTGCAGTCATCTGAAAAGGCCCGTAGAAGCGGGTCAGCGCGCCTTGAGCTCCAGGGATGGGCAAACATTGGTTTGCAGTTCACAGTGGAGATCGCATTCAAGTCGCGTACACTTTGGAAAAAAATAGCGAGGAGAAGGATGCTTCATTTACTTTGACATGCTTAACACGATGTGCCATAAAACACAACTTTGACAGATCATCAGTAGAAATGAGCTAATCTCCCACAGCTTAACTATCTCTTGATAGTAATCACAAAATGCACATAAAGCCTACAAACATAATACTGCAGCGGACTCAACGCTCTGCTTCGTGACGGAAACGTTTTTGAATTGTCACGTAAAGACGTTGCTGTCGGTTGCTGTGGCAACGGGTGTGTCGCGCAACTGTCGGAGAAAAACAAAACAAAACAAAACAAAACAAACTTTAGGATCTGCTTAGCTCGGGGAGGTGTGAAGCTGAGAACAGAGCCCCTCCCACAAATAAATATTTCTATATATTCATTTTCGGCGGAGACGATTAAAAAGCTCACATAATTCACCAGCAACATGCGGCTCTTCACGTTGGTGCTTGGAGTGCTTTTTCTACCGAAAGGCAAGTTTTTGATTCCGATTAACATTTAGTGTGATTTTATGAAGCTTCGCGTTTCTTCCGTTGATAACGAACATTGATAATCTGATTTATTTGTCCTCCCACGCATTGTGCTGATGTGATTCCGCCATTTCTTTTGTTGTTGTTGTCTTAAGATCAGGGTTTTGTTGTCTCACTTGTGTGCATTCTCTCTTTGTTCTAATTAGCCAACAGCCTGATGTGTTATGAATGTACTCCGGCTACCCCTGAACGTTGCACCAACAAAACAATTGAGTGTCCCTCAGAGAAGTATCGTTGCGTAGCAGCAAAGGAAGTCGGGATCTTAGGTTCGTCTTTACTCGGTTTCCAGCGACTGGAAACCGCCTCGCTTTAACATGTGCGCTTTATTTGACTGCAGGTGGCGTCGTGGTTTCTGATGTCAGCGCCAAACGCTGCGTTTTGCCTGAACAATGTATTGAAAAGTCCGTCAACTACGGAACTCAGAGAGTGGTGCAAACTAGCGTCTGCTGCAACGAAGACCTCTGCAACTCTCAGATACCTGGTACTTCATTCCCTTATTATGATCGCCAGTACTTTGCACAACTTGGATTTGCAGTTCTCACAAGCAACTTTTTGCTTCTTAAGACGCATAACATTTTAAGCAACCATGGTAGAAATTACCCGGCGAGAATCGAATGTTCAGGCCACATCCTCTGAACGTTCACGCCACATCCTCTGAACGTTCACCAAACAAATAAATGAAACGCTCGGACTTTCAGCGATCGTTCGCAGTATTTCAAAATAAAATGGCATATCTATCGTTTAAATAGGTGTGTGGAATTGCTAATATGGCGGCAGTTTTCATTGGAGTGCAAGGTTTTCTC